CTGCTGGAGGGCCTGGTACTGGTGGCGCTGGAGCTGGAGGTTCTGGAGCTGCTGAGGGTGCTCGCGCTGGAGGTTCTGGAGCCGCTGGAGGTACTGGTGCTGAGGGTACTGACACCGGAGGTTCTGGAGCCGTTGGGGGTGCGGGCGCTGAGGGTTCTGAGTCTGCTGTTGCGCGGTCTCCTTGGAGTGGCCGCCTTCGTCCACGTGTGCCTCTCACCCCACAGCAGCTGCAGGACTGGTACGGTCGCCGTCAGCGTCGCGCTGCTGGAGCTAGGAGTGGTGCTGGTCCTTTGTCTACTGGAGGTGCTGGAGTCGCTGGTTCTGGAGGTGCTCGTGCTGGAGACACTGAGGCTGGAGACCCTGGGACTGGAGGTGCTGGTTCTGGGGGTGCTGCTGCTGGAGACACTGAGGCTGGAGACCCTGGGACTGGAGCTTCTGGAGCTGCTGGAGGTACGGGAGCTGCTGGAGGTACTGGAGCTGCTGGAGGCACTGGAGCTGCTGGAGCTGCCGGTACTGGTGCAGCTGCGCCGACACGGCTGTTCTTCGCTCCGCCGTCTCCGTCGTCTCTGCCGCCGCCTGACTCTGCTCTTCGTCAGGTTGTTACTCTCCCGTCGTCTACTGGTCTTCCGTTACAGCCTGGCTCACCGCTGCCTGCTCCTTCTCCTTACACTGAGCAGATTGGTAGTCCTTCTGAGCGTCGTGAGCCTGCGTCGCGTCCTGTCTCGCCTGCTCGTCCTGGTCGTACCGGTCGTCGTGTTCCTCGTTCGCGTCAGCCGGCTGTCCCCAGCGCACGCCTCGTAGTCCGTCGTCCTTCCTCTGCTCTGCAGCCTGTTCCTCTGCCGTCTCCCCCTGCGTCCTCTCTGCCTGCTGTTCCGGACCCTGAGTCTGACAGGTTTCGTACTGAGCACCCTACTGTCACGCGTCTCCTAGCCACTGTTGTCACTGACCCGTCGTTTGAGTCTACTGCTGCGTCTGCCTTGGTCGCTGAGCTTGTTGACTTTGCTGCTGCCTGTCGTCTAGACTACGCCGCTAGTCTTGTTGCTGAGTCTGAGTCTGTCTGCCCTCCGTCCGTCGGGGGTGAGTGTGCTCTTAGCACGGACGTCCTTGAGGACAGGCAGGAGGAGTTCCAGTGTCTTGCTACTGCTTTACCTCATCTTGTGTCCTCGCTACTTGCCCCTGAGGGAGACCCGGATGCACCAGACATCCCGACTCCGCGCTCTTACGCAGAGGCGATAGAGGGTCCCTACTCCTCTCAGTGGCAGGCAGCCATGGACGCAGAGATGGCTTCCTGGAAGTCCACAGGCACCTACGTTGACGAGGTTCCCCCACCTGGGGCGAACATCGTCAGTGGCATGTGGATTTTCAGGGTGAAGCGGCCGCCGGGTTCTCCGCCTGTCTTCAAGGCGCGTTACGTGGCTCGAGGCTTCAGTCAGCGAGAGGGAGTTGACTTCTTCCAGACCTTCTCCCCCACCCCGAAGATGACCACTCTTCGGGTGCTGCTGCACGTTGCTGCTCACCGTGACTACGAGCTTCACTCCCTTGACTTCAGCACAGCTTTCTTGCAGGGTAGCCTGCACGAGGAGATCTGGCTGCGCCGCCCCCCGGGCTTCACTGGGTCGTTCCCTCCTGGTACCCAGTGGAGCCTCCGGCGGCCGGTCTACGGTCTCCGCCAGGCGCCACGTGAGTGGCACGACACACTGAGGACTACGCTTGCGGCTCTTGGGTTTGCGCCTTCTACTGCTGACCCGTCGCTGTTTCTGCGCACCGACACTTCCCTGCCGCCGTTCTACATCCTCGTGTACGTCGACGACTTGGTTTTTGCCACTGCTGACACTGAGGCTCTCGCCCACGTGAAGTCGGAGCTGCAGAAGAGACACACGTGCACAGACTTGGGTGAGCTGCGCAGCTACCTTGGCTTGCAGATCACCCGAGACAGAGCACGTCGCACCATCACCTTGACTCAGTCACACATGGTGCAGCAGGTCCTTCAGCGCTTCGGCTTCACCTGGTCTTCAGCACAGGCCACTCCTCTGGCTACAGGTCACACGCTCTCAGCTCCACCTTCGGACGAGTCCGTAGAGCCGAGTGGTCCTTACCCAGAGCTAGTCGGCTGCCTCATGTACCTGATGACTTGCACTCGACCTGACCTCGCGTACCCTCTTGGTCTCCTGGCTCGCTACGTGGCTCCTGGTCGGCACCGACCTGAGCACATGGCTGCTGCTAAGAGGGTACTGCGTTACTTGTGCAGCACATCAGGCATGGGGCTAGTGCTTGGAGGGACGAGCCCAGTTGTCCTCACTGGGCACTCAGACGCTTCTTGGGTTGACGACCTGGCTACTCAGCGGTCGTCACAGGGTTACACCTTCAGCCTTGGCTCTGGTTCAGTTTCGTGGCGTTCTACACGCTCGTCTTCAGTTCTCGGCTCCAGTTGTGAGGCTGAGATCTACGCCACCGCCATGGCTGCACAGGAGTTACGCTGGCTCACCTACCTGCTGACTGACTTGGGAGAGCAGCCTCGTTCTCCTCCAGTGCTGTACGTTGACAACAAGGCCGCCATTGCCTTGTGTGAGGAGCACAGACTAGAGCACAGAACGAAGCACATTGCTCTGCGGTACTTCCTGGCTCGAGAGTTGCAGCAGCGAGGCCAGCTTCGTCTTCGCCACGTGGCCACTCGGGCCAACACTGCTGATATATTCACCAAGGCACTTCCGTCTTGTGATCATCAGCGCTTTTGTACTCTGTTAGGCCTTGTGCCTACGTTTCCACACTTGCTGTAGTCTCTGCTTGTACTGTGATCTGTACATATATATATATATATATATATATATATATATATATATATATATATATATGCATGCTGGCTCTTGCTAGGTAGCCATCACTGTACTGTTATTGCTGCATATATATCTCTGCATGTGAACTGGCCCTGTGGCCCTTTGCTTGTGCTCGGAATGCGTGGTGACGTTGTGATCCACCCTGAGCTTGTTTTGCTTCTCTTGACTGGTCGTGTGACCTCTTGTTCTCCCCCACTTTGCCTATGGGGATGTGTCAAACTATATGTGCTGCATATTGTCTAGGCTGTAGTGGGGTAGCCCATATGGGGTACAACCCAATTAGGGTTTACTACTTGTACTCCTGCATCCTGTTAGTTCACTCATTCCTGCTGCTAGATTCTAACAGCTGGGATACGCACAGAAACAGCGGTGGCTGATCGGCAGCACCTCTGACTACCAGAACGGAGAGAGGAGAGTGTAGGCTGCCGGTGTTACACACCAACGGTTGGATAGGAGGAGGAAGCCGGTGCATGATGCGGATGAGAGGAGGAGGAAAGGTGGAGGCCATTGGAGAGGCGGCTGACTGATCATACCCGCCACCCTCACACCCCCTTTCCTCTCCCCCACTGTAGCAGGGGCGGGAAGGGAGAGAGGAGGAGGCGGTAGGTGTTGTAAGCACGTTCCCCCGCCACCCCCTCACCCTCCCCCCCACAGTAGCAGATGCGGCAGTGAGAGAGAGGCGGTGGGTGTTGAAAGTGCAGGTTCACGGGGGCTTAAGCACCCCCGTAGCCATGGGCTAGAGCCCCGCCACCTCCCCCCCGCAATGTCCAACGTGGACGAGAGCGGCGGCAGGTGCGGAGGCGAGGAGCGGGGCCGTGATGGCGGGGGCGCTGGCGGCCGCTGCTGGCGCAGGCACTCGCGACCAGCGCTGGCGCATGTCGCTGGCGCTGACGCTGGCGCTGGCGCTGGCGCTTAGGACCGGCGTTGGCGCTGGCGCTGGCGCTCGCGGCAGTCGCTGGCGCTGGCGCACGTCGCGGGCGCTCGCGCTGGCGTCCGCGACGGTCAGGGGCGCCGGCGCTGGCGTCCGCGACCAGCGGCGGGGCGACACGCCAGCGCGCGGGACGGGACGACGGGGCAGCGCGAGCCGCCCAGCTCGTGGCCATGACAGCAGCTTCGACGGGGCGATGAGGCAGCAGGACGGGCAAAACAACGTCGCGTGCAGCAGGCGTGCGACGGGCAGAAAATCGACGCGCCCTAAGGCGCGCGACTGGCATTGCGTGACGAATCTTAAGCGGTGGGCCCATTGAGATTGGGTCCCAGGGTGGAACCCGCTCTGATAGCATGTCATGATAGGCTCTTAGCTAGGAAACTATGTTGGGAGCCATGGCTAGGGCTTTGGACTTAGGAGCTAGGAAATTGGCGAGAGAAAGTAGATGGCCAAAGAGGAGTGCACTAGAAAGAGTGGTACAAGATATAGGCAAGGCAAAGGGTACACCACCAGCAGTTGATATAACTAACCTAATGCACTAGTAAGCTATAGGCAGGTATAAGATATGCAGTATAAATTAACACATTCCAAAACGTTGCATCCTGGTTTTTCCCAACTGCGCAAGTGAACACGCCGCCTCGTCTTATAATTAATCATTTGATTTGAGCGAGCATAGAGTGTGCCAAGTGGGCAGTGAGGATGAAACGCAGATGTAGTGGAAACAGATGGTAAGGTACGGGATGTATGATCAAGGGAAGTCCGAGGTGGAGAGAGAGAGAGAGAGAGAGAGAGAGAGAGAGAGAGAGAGAGAGAGAGAGAGAGAGAGAGAGAGAGGGAGGGAGAGGGAGAGAGAGAGAGGAGAGAGAGAGAGGAGAGAGAGGGGAGAGAGAAGAGAGAGAGAGAGAGAGAGAGAGAGAGAGAGGGAGAGAGAGAGAGAGAGAGAGAGAGAGAGAGAGAGAGAGAGAGAGATAGAGAGAGAGAGAGAGAGAAGGTCCGTTTCGACAGAGAGAGAGAGAGAGAGAAGAGAGAGAGAGAGAGAGAGAGAGAGAGAGAGAAGAGAGAGAGAGAGAAGAGAGAGAGGGGGGGAAATGAGGTGGAGGAAGTGAGGAAGCTGATGGAAGTCATCAGAAGGAAGACTGGAAGGAACTGTGGGATGATGGGATGAGCGACGTAAAGGATTGGGGAAGAAGGAATTCGAAGACATGGAGGAAAGAACAATTGTGGCCCCAAAAGAAGACTCATGCACAAAAGAGGAGGGGACCCAGAGGGATTGGAATGCAGAGGGAAATGAAGGAAACCCAAGAGGAAGAGATGAGGAACCCAGAGGGAGAGGAGAGCACACCAGAGGGAGAGAAGAGGAACCTGGGAGGAAGAGGGAAACCAGAGGACGAGAAGAGGAAAACACATGGCGAAGAGAGGAACCCAAAGGGAGAGGAGAGGAACCCGAAGGGAGAGGAGAGGAACCCGAAGGGAGAGGAGAGGAACCCGAAAGACGAGGAGCCAAGGGTTAGAGGAGAGGAAACCAGGGGGAGAGGGTAGGAACCAAGAGGGAGGGAAACCCAAAGGGAGGGAATCCCAAAGGGAGGGAAACCCAGAAGGAGGGAAACCCATGAGGGAGGGAAACCCAGAGGGAGGGAAACCCAGCGGAAGGGGAACCGAGGTTTGATCATGGGAAGAGATGGGCTATGACGAGTAAGGGACTGGGAGAGGGGAGTGGGGAACCTTTGTACTGTTGCTTGGCATGGACACTGAAGCATTGAAGTGGTGAGGGGGGAGCCCGGGTTGCAGCGAAAGGGGCAAATGACGTGGAACCATTTCTGTGTTGCTTAAAGCTGTTGGTTGGATATTTGAGTGTGTCCCGAGTTTGCTTCCATCGCTCACGTTCAAAAGCACACGCTAAGTATTCTTAAAGGTGGACGTTACATACACTGAAGTACACTCGCCGATGCTACAAATCACGAGGCCATATCAAAGGCCGCTTCGACAACATTTCATTTCACAAACCAGCAGAACATGCTGAGAGCACACGCAAAAAAAAAAAAAACGATAAAAAAAGGACGCGAATTCACTCACGATACTCTGAATCCAAATCCCTGAATCGACCCATCAGGATTCTCCACCACAATCGTTCTCGGGGAGTGTCTGGCAAGCTTCCCGTTCCAGTGAACCGGACAGCAACACGTGGCTTCCGCGCAGCACGGCGTCGTCGGCAATCTCCGCGTAACTCTCGCCGCTGATAGCGTATCGAGCGCTCTGTGACTGTAGCAGTAGGGCGAACGCGTCCGCACGAACGCGGTGTAAGCCGCCGTGCCTTTCCTCGGGGCGAAGCTCGTCCGTCCGACCTTCACCTCCACTTGTATCGCTCCGCACGCGCTTTCTCCGATGATGAATTTCCGCACCAGAGGAAAGAAGTGGACGTGCGTTTGGTCGTATTGTCGAATCGCCAGCTCTAACGGTATCGTAGCGCGACCTAACGACGTTCTCAACGATGCTGACGCGTAGATCTTGACAATGATATGCGGGAACGGTTTCGTTAGGTTGTTATCATGTGTATTTGAGTCTGCGGGTTCGTCCAGTCGTAGAAGATGGTCAGGGACTGAAAATTCTAGAAGGGTGTCCCAGACGGGATTCGCGTGGCCGTGTTTTACGGGAGGTAGGAACTGGCTAGAGCGAGCGTCGCCGTACGCTGACACGACTGCGCAGGGACTCATTCGCTTGAAGACCTTTGCTCTGTGTAGGTTGTGCGCCGATATGAGCCATATGGACACCATCGTCGAGCGAGTAGTAGGCTCTTCTTCGTCCGGTCCCATGATCACTGAACTTAAAGAGTCGCAGGATTTTAGGCTCGAATTAAAATCGAGACTTGCGAAATCGGAACCAACAAAACGCCTCAACTCAGATGACTGACACAATCAAAACAAGACTACGCTTGTGAACTGCAAGAACCCTTAGTCTACTGGAGGAATTCTCTGGTTGTTCCGCTGAATGCACATTCCCGTGAATTTCAACACACAGCGACGTGACGTGAGAGAAAGAAAAGAGGAAGACGGACAGGCATGTACCGGACAGCAAAGCATAGAGCAACTGGACAGGCGTAGGGGGCGGAATGAGGCGAGTGAGAGGAGTTGATGCAACGAATCCATTCCCTCGAATCCCAGAAGGGAATCACTGATGTGCATGTGGCAGTGGATGTGGATGTGTGGATGTGATTCCTTCGCATCCATGCCCTGGTTGGTGGGCGATGGTTGGGTTGGTGGGGTGGGGGTGCGGTGTCGTCGAGTCGGGTCGGGTCGTGTCGTGCATCCCCTCGGCATGTTTCGCCTGACTGACAGCGGTGCAAAGCATTGGGACAAGTGACTTGCAAAGCCTTGTCCAATCAGCGCGGTCCTCAGCCCCGAGATTCTCGCGAAGGTATCTCCGCAGCCAGTACTGGGGAAAAAATCTGGCCCTCCCCTGGTACGACGGGTCAAATGGTTCTGTTTCTGCCACGCTGGAGCAACCGCGACTAAAATGGGTCAGGTCAGGGGGTGCTGAATGGCTGAGATCCTGCATCAAAGGATCGGACGAACAGGAGAAACTCTTTTGTGGATGGGGTTTGTGTGACGTGTACACTGAGATGTTGGGCCTTTCACAGGATACTTCGGTATTGACAGTCTCGAAACGATATTTCGGTGAGTAGAATTCAGGCTCTATTCGACAGCAAAAAACCAACCATCACGCAACAGACTGAAGTGGAGAGAGTCGCTGGCTGGGACTCAGTTGCACAAATAGGGACAAATTGCGAAGGAAATGCGAGGTAATCATTGGTGCTAGGAAAAAACGAACACAGGCCCTCAGTGTCACTAACAAATTTGTTGTCGCCGAACGACGGACGAGCTGTGGGAACCGCAACCCGCTATAATCCGCGTCGCTCACTATTCCGTTGTCCCATCTTACGTGTTCTGGATATGTCTTCTTGCACAGTGTCACCCGTCATCGCCACTCACGCAGGAGCTGCATTGCCACGAGTCGCTCCACCGCGACAGGGTGTAGTCACACAATGCCTGGTCAGAAAACGTCTCACATGGCATCTGGGGGTTACGGCTTTTGGTCAACGCCCTCTTGTGTCCCACTTTCCTAGGTCCGTCTCGTTAAGTGGCAGACCACGTTCGAACCTTGTAACGCGGACGCCACGTGACACACCCCGCATTAGAGCCTCAGTCGCGGAAGAATACGAAGCAGGGGTACCGGAGGATGCGGATTCTGACGAAGATGACGTGGCAAGCGGGGATTGGCTAGATACCGAGACGGGAAGGTTACGCGTGCTTGCATGCATGCAGACGCCATACTCTCAGATCACGATTTTAGAGTTCGCGAAAATACAGCCGGGAAAAGCGTCGGAGGAGAGGGAGCAGCCAGAGGAGGGGGGAGGTGTGGGAGGGAAAGACGACGCGGAAGATCCTGCTTTAGTGCTTGCCGGATCGCGAATCATGCTATTGGACGACTCGAGCAACGTGTCGAGCCTTTACAACAAGTGCGTGTCAGGCTGTGAAACGAAATGTCCAATCAAGTTTCGGGGTTCAACATCGTGGTTTAGAGTTTCCGACTTCTGCGCTCCCACACCCTCCTAGTTTCCTTTCTCTGCCTTCAATCTGCCATCCTCACCGAACCATGCCACTCTGTTTCGCTGAAGTCTCCCCTCTCGCTCCTTTGCTTTCCTTCCGACCACCTCTCTCTACCTATTTCCACCGAAACCCCTCCTCAGGCGAACCATCTGGACGCGGTCCTACTGGGACAACCTGGCGTCGCTGGCCCCGTTATTGTCACACGAGCTTCGCGCCGACGGGAACGCGCGCCTGCCCGGGCCAGTGGCGCTGCTGGGGCTGGCAGGGGGCTCCGTGGCTCGCATCATAAGAACACAGTGGCCGGAGGTTGGCGTGCAGGCGTGGGAAATCGACCTAGTGGTGAGTGCGGTTGTGGGGGGAGAACAATAAGCAGGGGTGGGGGAGAGGGGGTCGATGATGAAGGGTTCGTGTGTGTATAGCTGGCAGGGGGCTCCGTGGCTCGCATTATTAGAACACAGTGGCCGGAGGTCGGCGTGCAGGCATGGGAAATCGACCTAGTGGTGAGTGCCTAGGTGCTCGGAATCAGTGAGGTGCCTTGGGGATTGTTTTGTGGCTAGGATTGTGGGAGGAGAGCAGAGTGGCCGGAGGTCGGCGTGCAGGCATGGGCGATTGACCTAGTGGTGAGTGGTGGACTGTGGTGAGTGATCGACTGAGTGGTGAGTGTGTAGGTGCTCGTTATCAGTGGGGGGCCTTGGGGGCTGGCATGGGGCTCCGTGGCTCTCATTATAAGAACACAATGGCTGGAGGTTGGCATGCAGGCGTGGGAGATCGACTTAGTGGTGAGGTGAGTGGTTGGTGAATGGGAGGCATGACTGTGAATGCGTGCAGTGGTTTGAATTACCACTACGTCGATTGACTATTGAGTCAATCTAAAAGTCACATCACTCACCATGCTTCCTCCTTCCCCTGCCCTTCAGGTGGTGGACATGGCTCGACGCTTCTTCTCCCTCACCTCCTTGGAGAAACCCTCGCCTCAGGGGGGCTATCTGCAAGTGACTGTAGGCAATGCTCTCGTAGCAGCTCCTGTCCCTGTACAAGGCACCAGTTCCTCCACTGAAACTGTTACTGCAGATAGTGCTACAGGTAACATTGTAGATGATGCTACAGCAGGCAGTGCTACAGCCGGGCAATTCAGTGGCATCATAGTGGATCTCTTCTCAGGTGGCGCCGCCCTCCCTCAACTAGCAGTCGAAGGCACCTGGCGGCACCTGAAGAACCACCTGAGCCCTGGAGGCCGGGTGCTGATCAACTGTGGGGGGCCTAGCAGCAGCTTCGGCGAGTACCTAAATGGCTTCAGTCAGAGCCAGTCTGCCAAACCAGAAGCAAAGGACGGGGATCGAGTGGCGGCAGTAGCAGCAGCAGCAAGGAGCGATCCTGGTGTGCGGCGATGTGCCGAGGTGATTGAGGCTATGAGGACGGTTTTTGACGGGCAGGTGCTGCTCTACTGCACTACCGGGTCCGACAGGAACATTTTTGCGCTGACTGGACCGCCCCCTGATCTTGATGCCTGGGAGGATAAGCTGCCTGAGCAGATCAAAGGGGCAGCTAGAGGCTGGAGCTCCAATGAAGATGTGTACAGTTTATTAGCATCAAAACTAGTGTAGAGCTATGTATATAGCTTGGTTTGCTCTTCTCATGATCATTGTGGGTAGGTTGCACCACTTTAAAGTTATACCAGACTCATACGGTACGAATGCAACAAATCCATCCCAGTCTTTGCTCAGCTCATCACTGCCTCTACCCAGTGCCAAATTTCAGCCTAAACACCTCCTTCAATTGCCCTGCGCATAGTACCTTATCAATAACAGCCAGCTGCAGGCCTACTCGGTGCATCCCTGCACTGTACTGCACTGCACTGCACTGCAACCTCTGACATGAGTCTTGTATTGCCCAAAAGGAGCCAGAAGGCTCTGCTTATGCCTCTGAGTCAGGCTGCTAATTAGAGTGTTTGAAACTTTTCTGTGATGGTTGAATGGTTAGAGATGCCACAGATGGTGTTTTGGGGTTAGCCTGTCCCAGCAAGAATCCACACATAATGACTGGACCTGCATCCACCTCGCAGTCTTGTACTGAAAGCCCATACTCCTTCAGGATGGAGAACCATTTCTCCTTCCGGAACTCATCCCGTTTTATGCCAATGGAGAAAAAAAGTATAATTTTCACTCCCATGCGAAGGAAAACATTGATTGTTGGGAGCAGCCCCGTGTCACCAGAAACGATAACCACAGTAGGAAGGTCAACAAGCCTCCTGAAATTTGGATCCAGTGCCGTGAGTTTCAGTGAACAATTGTGAAAGAGGTAAAACAAGGAGCAAACCACTTACTGGACCAACACATAGCTTCCCTTCTCTCTCGTCTGAATTGCTGAGGGAAACAAGGAACCGCGCACATCCACGAGCATGGCGTTGTCTGCCACGTCAATTCCAGGTGGGACCACCACAATCTCAATACCGCTGCTCCATATTTCGCTCTTCTTCGTGAAGGCCGAAAACTTCCCGTACGCTCTAAAACGAGACAGGTGTCCGAGAGTGGCTGCGAAGGTCTTCAGCTGGCCAACAAGGTGTGAGGGAGATGCGCCATGCGGGACCGGCAGATTCTCGTAGTCCCAGAAGATTTCAACAAGAGTGCCATGATTTGCAGGGAGAGATTCTTTCGGGAATATACCTTCGCAACCAGGTTTGTGAGCACGCATGGAGCAGGATACTCGTTTTTCTCGTACTCGTTCAAAGCACTTTCCTCTGGTCCTAGGAGAACAAGCAGCATCGATTCTCAGTGTCTTGCAGTTGAATTTCGCTCTGTTTGAAAGTGGCGAGAGCACGAAACTAGTTGGCCGACATCCGTGTGAAATACTTGATGGCATCATGCTGCCGTTTTGAGGTAGTCGTAGTGGCGAAAACATTTACAGTCGGATGGAAGATCCACAAGTGCGCGTTATTGCGATGAGTAATTAATCCCAACAGCATATGTCGAGGTTTGGAGAAATGACATCAATGGAAATCCGCGTTCGGGTGCGACGAGTCCGATGAAAGGATCTCGTTACCAGCGTGGAAAAACGCGACGGTTCTCGAGCGCACTCGCCTCGCTTCGCTTGCGAGTGTCTCTTCAGAGTGTAATGTTGACAGCAGCGGGAGTTTGGTCGGGTTACAAGCCCTAACATGAGAGCTTGGCAGCCCTGAATGAGCTTAACAACCACTGCAGGCAGGAAAACCACATCCTCCATAAACTAGAAATGTCACCACCACCACCATATCCGCAACAATCACCCTCCTAAACGAAGAGATGAATCATTTGATCTGTTGGCCCTATCAAACAGGCTTTTTTGTCGGTCGGATTTGTGTCCCGAAAGCGGAATTTGGCAACTGGCTTTAGACTCGGTACAGGCTGTCTGAATAAGAACAACACTTCTGGCACTGCGTACACAAACTACAGTAACATGTCTAGTCCACTACCACTCTTCACTTCACGTGTCATTACACGTCATTTAGAAATACTGACATCAACCCCTTCTCCTACATGCCACATGAGCCAGTGCATCACAAGAACCTCAACTCCTTGCACCTGCTTATCGCCTTATCCATTTCAAAGCTTCATAACAAAACTCTTCCAAGAAACTCTGCCAAAAGAAATTAATACTAGTATCTGACACCTTCATCTGCTGTACTGCCTCCTGCCACGCTGTCATCACCATCAGTCCTCTCCTCATCCTCAAACTCTGCTGCCGCTTTCAGAAGCTCAGCTGACAGGTTTTTCATCTGATGGGTGGTGTGTATGGGGCATGGGGAGGAAGGACGGGGACAAAGGGATCATGAGAGATGCACTGGGAGAGACAAGTGGGATATAGGAGGGCGATGGGTACATGTAAAAAGCTTGGTCGATGCCATGGATTGTGAATGGGCCCAGCTGCAGTATGCGAGATGATGACTCTGATGTGACCATACCGAGTGTGATGGTACTGAGTGAGATTATACCGAGCGTGGCGACTGAAGATGGCAACTACTCACCCCTGGCAGGTGCAGGATGGAGTCCTTATGGTAGTCAAACGCCTGCACTGTCAGCCGCAGCAGGCAAGATGATGACTCTGATGTGCCCATACCGAGTGTGACAGTACATGGTGGCTATACCAAGTGTGACAATACTGAAGGTGGCAGGCAGCTCTCACCCCTGGCAGGTGCAGGATGGAGTCCTTGTGGTAGTCAAACGCCTGCACTGTCAGCCGCAGTATGCGCCTCATCTCCGCACACTCATCCACCAACACGTCTAGCTGTGGTGGGAAAGTGGGAGGCGGAGAGGTTGGGGGTTAGGGGAGCCGTGAGCAAAAGGAGGCACCACACTGCTGCAGCAGAAGGCGCCTCATCTCCGCACACTCGTCCACCAACCAACACGTCTAGCTGTGGCGGGGGAAGACGAGGAGAACGTGGGAGGCGGAAGGGTGGGGGTTGGGATTGTGTCCTCGCCTCATCCACCAACCAGCTGTGGCGGAAAGGAGGAGGAGTGGGAAGACGAGGCGAGGAAGAACATTGGAGGCGGAAGGGTGGGGGTTGGGATTGTGTCCTCAATCAACCATACCAGGCGCCTCATCTCCGCACACTCGCCCACCAACACGTGTAGCTGTGGTGGGGAAGGAAAGGGGGGTGCCAGAAAGAGAGGGAGGAGTGAAAGTGGGTGAATGTCAAACCACCTGCATCTCGCACACTCGCCCACCAACACATCCAGCTGTGTTGGGATGGAGATACACCACAGGGAAGTCTCGCCTCCTCTTTGCACCAGTGTGTAGACAGAAAGCACATTACACAAAGTGAGCAGCTTCAAGCCAGTGTAAAGACAGGAAGCGTATGGGACTCACTGCTACCACGGGCCCCTCACCTCCTCCTCCGCCTTGCGCAGTTTTTTCCTCACTATCGCATCCTGTTCAAGCGACCTAGCTGCACAGGGTCCTCACACACCTCAACATCAGGGGTCTCAAACCAAGCACAGGCCCCTCACCTCAACTTCAGCCATCTCAAACCAAGCACAGTCCCCTCACCTCCTTTTCAGCCTTGCGCAGGTTCTTCCTCACATTCGCATCCTGCTCCTCCTCACGTTCTATCACTATCACATCACAGGGGCACCACCAGGGCATCACGGATCTCGAACCAAGCGTAGGTTTCTCACCTCCTCCTCCGCCTTGCGCAGATTCTTCCTCACTATCGCATCCTGCTCCTCCACCACACTCAGCTGGTCTCTCGCCTCTGCCACGTCCATCTCCCTGCAGCATCAGCAGCGAAATGGAAACATTGTAGATCATAACCAAGAGGAGGACAAGAGAAGCAAAGTGCAGCTCATCCTGCTCCTCCACCACACTTGGCTGGTCCCGCGCCTCTGCCACGTCCATCTCCCTGCGATGATTGAGCCCGAGAGGGGATGAGGCAGGGAGAGAAAGAGGCTATGAACGAGGTTGGTGGAAGAGAAAAAAATCGCACCGTGCTCCTCCACCAAGCTCAGCTGGTCTCTCGCCTCTGCCACGTCCATCTCCCTGCAGCCAAGAGGGGAGGAGGGGGTGAGATGAGACGATGAGAGGGGCTGACGGATCATAAGGGAAGAGATAAGATCGTGGCTGCTTCCCCACCACGCGCGCTCAGCTGGTCTCTCGCCTCTGCCACGTGCATGACTTTTGAGTCGACTCAAAAGTGGCTGCTTCCCCACCACGCTCAGCTGGTCTCTCGCCTCTGTCACGTGCATCTCCTTACGATGATCCACCCAAAGAGGGGAGGAGGCGGGAAGAGGAGGCAGTGAGAGGAGACGATGAGATGAGAGAGGCTGACGGTGCAAAAGGCAAGAGAAAAGAGTCCATTCCATACTTCACTTCTAATCACAGTTTCTCCTTCTCCGCCTCCTGGTGCAGCAACTTCGCCTTCAGCATCATTTCGTCTTATCTGCACACCCCACCCACTCCTCAACAAACCATCTTTCCCCCTCGCGCCGCCTGCCCCCCCCACTCACAGCTTCTCTTTCTCCGCCTCCTGGTGCAGAAACTTCGCCTTCAGCATCAAATTGTCTGGTCATGGTCCCATCCGTCTCACCGTCTTCTTCCCCACCCCCCCGACCCCCAACTCACAGTTTCTCCTTCTCCGCCTCCTGGTGCAGGAACTTCGCCTTCAGCATCTGCAGCTCGCGCTGCAGAGACGCCGCCAGGTCGCGCTCGTCCTCCGCCCGCGCCTCGGCCACTTCCGCCGCCTCCTCCGCCAAATCCGCGCGCCTCTGCGCCGCCGCCGCTCGCGCGGAAAGATCCTCCGACTTGCGCGCGAGCATGTGGCGGTCGCGCGTGAGGTTCTCCACGACGCGCTGCTGCGCCGCCGCCTCCGCTTTTAGTCTCTCCACCTCCGCCTCCGCGCTCCGCAACTTAATCTCTACTTCCGCCTTCTCCGCCACCAGTAGCGCAACTTCCTGGTCCTTTTCCGCAGTGCGCCGCCCCCACGCTTCCCGCTCCTCCGCCCATTGCGCTAAGATCCGCTCCCGCTGGCTCTCCGCTTCCGCGCGGGCGTGCGCTTCCCCTTCCCGCCTCCCTTCCTCCCGCTCCGCCCTCTCGCTCTCCAGCCGCTCTTGCTCCATCTCGACTTCGGATCGTTCCAAATCGTCTACTCGGTCTAATAGAAACTCCTTAGCGGCGCTTTCTATAACGAGTCCCGCCGCCGCAAGCCCCGCCGCCTGCTGCCAGCGCGCAACTTCCGCCTCGCTGCGCCTCCGCCTCTCCGCTTCCTCCTCCGCCTCCTCCTCGTCCCGCCAGGCGCGCTCCGCGCAAGCGAAGCACGGGTGCTCTTTTTCCCGCTCCGCCTGAAGCTCCCGCCGCAGGTCCGCCAGCTGCTGCGCGAGCCCCGCGCGCTCGCGGGAAAACGCCTCGTCTCGCGCGGAAAGAGCCGCGCGGAGGTCGGAGGCCGCGCGCGCGGAGGCGACGGCGGCGCCCCGTTCCAACTCCGACCGCTCCGCCTGCATCTGCGCGCGTAGCTGCGCCTCCGTCTCGCGTGCCCGCGCGTCATTGGATGAAATCTCCCCTCGGAGGGACTGGCGGAGAGGTGGGAAGAGCAAGAGGAGAAGTCTCAAGGAGAGAGAGAGAGAGAGAGAGAGAGCGAGAGAGAGAGAGAGAGAGAGAGAGAGAGAGAGAGAGAGAGAGAGAGAGAGAGAGAGAGAGAGAGAGAGAGAGAGAGAGAGAGAGAGAGAGAGAGAGAGAGAGAGAGAGAAGCACCCACCTTGATGTGCGATAAGCACTCACCGTGTTGTGCGCTATGCACTCACCGTGTTGTGCGCTATGCACTCACCGTGTTGTGCGCTATGCACTCACCGTGTTGTGCGCTATGCACTCACCGTGTTGTGCGCTATGCACTCACCGTGTTGTGCGCTATGCACTCACCGTGTTGTGCGCTATGCACTCACCGTGTTGTGCGCTATGCACTCCGATAGGCACTCACTCACCTCGTTGTGTGCAGCGAGCTCCTTGAGCTGCTGCTGCAGCTGCTCCATCTCCCCGCGCCGCCGCTCGTAGTCCTGCTGGAGTCTGCATCGCACACAGCGGAGAACGAATCACATTACAGCGGGGAATGCGTCACGTGAAAAATGTGCCTAACATTAGAGGGGATTGCGCCGTTGCATAATCATCGGATTGCGGCACTAAGCGACACAGATCTGGGATCCCGCGAAACCCCGCGTTTATCACCTTCCATCGTATCGAAGGCTCTCGGTTCCGTTTGTAGCCGAATGCAATCATTGCATTGCATCGCCAACAATCTCGGCAGGTGCGACCATTGCACCGCCTATGAGGTGAATTTTGAGTCGACTCAAGAGGCTCTCGGAGCCGCTTGTAGCCGAATGCAATCTACATATGTCGCCAGGTTCGACCAAGGTACTGCCTATGTTTTGGCGTTCCAAAACGCCAGCGGCTACAGAATCAGAATCACGCATGATGCACGGCGAGAAGACGGCTAAGCAAACTCACAATCCATGGCATCGCCCAAGCTTCTTATAATCAGCGGCCATCACTCGAAGCACTGCGCGCCATTTTCTCGCCTCCTCCGTCTCCTCGGCTGCCTTGATCGCCGCATTTGCCCTGTCGTGAAACAGCGTCCGGTTTTCCGTACGAAGCGATCTCCCACTTCTGTCGTTCATTTCCGTAGCGTTGCCTGAACGCGGTGACCGTTGATTTCTGTCGTTGTAATCCATGACCTGACGACCAGCAGAGCTAGTTGTATTGCTATAGTACTCGCGATCGCCGCTGGAATGGTAACCACGGATCGGCTGCTGGTGCGCGCCACTTCGCGAACCAGCGTTATGAGTTACAGCTGGTTGGTCTGCGTCGTACAAATACGATTTCGACGGACTGTTTATCGAAGGAGACGTCCTAGTCCCTGGTGAGATTCGACTAGGAGGCTGCGCGTTAGGGGAGATTTGCGAGAGCATGACGGGTGTAAGTAGCAAGAGCACTAGGGATTATCTAACTTCAAGACGGGAGCAGATGCAGGAACGACAATCTCGAGAATGTCACCAACGAGGCTACCGAAACATGCTTCGAGCTCTTACGTCCCGCAATCTGAGCTAGTGAGCGAGAAAGATCTGTAGTAAGTCTCTAGGTTGCCATACTAACCGCGAACCAGCATTGCCAAACAACCACAGCATTACTCGTTCAGGTCGAAATACCCCCTTCGTGCAAAGCCCAACGTTTTGAAAGCCGATCCGCACAACCCCCAGAAAACAGTCGCACAGGTACCTACGCACAGGTAACTACAAACATGAATGACTTGCAACACGGTGCTAGAGGGTACAATACGGTAAAGCTAGTTCCTCTTTGGTAGTGAATGGTGATGATGGCCTGTCCTTGAATGCAGCGCGGGCTTGTGCAGGGGAATATGGTGGGGAAGGCGCGGAGATGACTCCCGCGGGAAGCTCGAAGCGCCGCCCCTTGAAAGTCCCGCGCCATACACCAGAGCGGCGGCGCTGATCCGTCCGATTGGTTGGGACATTATTGGCGTCAATGCATCTGACACACTGAAAGGGACTCCAGAATTCGGGTCTGACGCACTCACTGTGACGAAAGCTTTTAGCGAAATTGGGCACTCGGTACAGCGCTACATTTTATCATTTACAGCTAGAGCCACGATTTGAACAACAGAATGAACCATCTCAATGCATTTACGGGTCCCCATTTTATCTCAACCCTCTCCTTGTCAACAATTCTCTCTTCCGTATTCTAGCGTCCAAAGCTTGTTTCTTTGCTTTCCTTCTCTCCATTGCTGCTCCCTTTGCAGCTTTCTTTCGCCTTCTCGCATCTTTGGCAGCTTTTTTTTTGGCCTTTGCCTCCAACCTTGCCTTCTTCGCTGCCAGTCTCTCCTCCTTTTCTTTTATAGCAGCTTCTTTCTGGCCTTACGAAGCTTATTGGCTGCCTTAGCTGCTGCCACCTCTTCCTTCTTCCTCCTCCTCGCTTCCTTAGCAGCTCTTTTCAAAACTCGCTCTGCTTTCGCCTCTGCAACCAGCTGAGCCTTGGAAGTCAAAACTTCTGTACTGGCCTCCATGAAACTTGTGGACGCAAGTGTTACAACGCCAGACCCACTTCTGCTGCTTTCGCTGCTGCTGCTGCTGCTGCTGCTGCTGCTGCTGCTGCTGCTGCTGCTGCTGCTGCTGCTGCTGCTGCTGCTGCTGCTGCTGCTGCTGCTGCTGTTGCCACCGACGTTGCTGCTTCTCCTCGACGATCCAGAGCCTTTATTTGCTTTAGCGGCAGATCTGGTATCCGGAACTGAGCACACAGCCCCTTCATCACTCCCATCTGTGTGGCAGGGAGGGCAGGGAGATAGAGGCATGGATGGGGACGTAGGTTGGAACTTGGAAGGGAGGGAGGGAGGGAAGGAGGAAGGCCCAGGCATCACACAAGAATGGGCGCATGAATCATTGTGTGAGTGGCCAGTTGACTTTTGAGTCGACTCAAAAGTCAACTCGACTCAATAGTCAAAAGGCCCAGGTTGGTCCTTTCATCACACAAGAATGAGCACATGAATTATTGTGTAAGTGGTCGTATGATGTGCTTAGGTTCAAGTGTAGGCACGCTCGATACCAGAACAGTTCGTGCCCACTGCAGTTAAGAAGAAGAAAAAAAACAAACACATGTACGAAAGCACCACATGTACGAAAGCATTCACCTGAGAAACACAGCCAGAAACCCACTGACCCATGGCGGAAGCATCCCAGAAACCCACTGGCCCATGGCACACTCCACCACATTCAAACCACCCATCGCTTTTGAGAATTCTTCAAAGCACCGTCCATCCTTCCCCGTGCGCCACGCCGCAACGCGCCTCGATTGACCTTCCCTCCCACTCCTTTTTCTCGCACGACGAATGGCTCCGACTAGCCTCACTCCACCTGATTCGTTGTTAGTGGTAGAGTGCTACTACCACTAAGGAAGCAGCGAATCAGCGAACCAGTTTGCGTCTCGGCTTAGGAAGCAGCGTACCACTAAGGAAGCAGCGTATCGGCGAACCAGTTAGCTGTAGCGAACCAGTGGTCGTCTCGGCTTTCTAGACTTGATTTACGGCCTTACTAGTCGACCTTACCACTCATATTCGCTCGTAATGCGTGGTCGAACGGCGCAGCAGCGGAGAACGCGCTTTGCTGTACAGCAATCTTGGTTTCGAATGAAGTCACTTCAGAAAATTCATAAAATTATAGCAGCGGGCAACACGCTCCTTTCTTCAGCATTGTTAGGGCCGACTGAGCTGTTAAGACTCCCTACTAGGCAGCCGCCTTATTGAAGGAGAATAGTTACACCCAGAAGCCTCATGGCCGCCGCGCGAACCGCCAGAGGAACCGCAACGAGGCGCCGCATCGGCTTTTCCCGAGAGATTCCCCTCGCCCCCCTCCTCCTCCTCCTCCTCGCTTCACTCAGGGGCAGCCATCAAATCGGCGTCCCGTCGGCCGCGGCATCACAAAGCAGCAGCAGCCGCGTTGCTGGTTATACGACTGACACGCAAACTACTATTCACACGGAAACGACTGACACGGAATCATCTCACGCGCAATCGTTGAGGATTTCCGAGAGTTCATCACGCGGCAGCTGGCGCGTTGCGACTACGGGTCGCACGACTCACACGCAATCGTCTGCACGCTCTATTAGCAGCCTCGTTACAAGGCAGGTCACTCAGGGGCCACCACTTAGAGACATCGACGAAACTATAACAGGCGGATTCTCAGAGCGGCAGGAGGGAGGAGATTTAACCATGGAGGTCGTAAATAGTCCGCTTATTGCGAATTTACAGGGCGCCGACGTTATTGTGAATAATACTTCAGTACAATTGCCGGAACGTTCGCATAGAGGTCTCGAGTTGCTGCAGTGTGCAGGGGGGAGATTAACGACGTGTCCGGGAGGTATGGGGTGCATGGATCGCGCGTTTCTCTGCGACGGAATCGCCGACTGCGGCGACCAGAGCGACGAGGATGCGACGTTCTGCGACGCGTTCGACTGCAGCAGCGTGGGAAAGGTGAGCCCCATCGCGATCAAACGTGACTTGGGATAGAAATTTCCTTATGTTTTGGCTGGGGAGTTTCTTGAGGTGTCGTGGGAGTTGCAGCACGGTGCAGTCCGGTAGAGAATGGGGCGTCGGTGAGGACTGGCTGACATAATTCTGGCCCTCTCTTCCCCGTCCTCCCTTGTCCTCCTCCCTTGCAGGACAGATGCCCAGGAGGAGGGCAGTGCATGAGGTGGGGAGGGTACTGTCAAAAGGGACTGCAGCGATGGGAGCGAGAGTGAGAGCATGCGTGTCAAATTCCGCTCCCTTTTTTTTCTGTGTCCTATAGCGCCCGCAGGATAGGTGTCCAGGAGGTGGCTAGTGCATGAGGCGGGGAGGCTACTGCGACTTCAACAGCGACTGCAGCAATGGAAGCGACGAGGGCGAGAGGTCATGAGAGTTAATCCGTCTTACATTCCCTGTGTGTTTTATTGCCCCCTCAGGACAGATGCCCGGGAGGAGGGCAGTGCATGAGGCAAGGGGGCTACTGTGACTTCAACAGTGACTGCAGCGACGGGAGTGACGAGGGCGAGGAGCAGTGCAGCGAGCTGTACAAGCAGGGGTACTGCCAGCGGCAAGGCATGGTGAGTGTGGGGTGAGTGCACAACATGTGGCACAACATGTGGCACAACATGTGGCATCGCGGGCAATCATGAGGGTGAGGAGCAGTGCAGCGAGCTGTACAAGCAGGGGTACTGCCGGCGGCAAGGCATGGTGAGTGCAGCAGCTCAGGCGGTGGTGTGCGCTGACCAAGTGATCCCTCAAGGCATGGTGGTCGCTGCATGTGCATTGTGTGTATGGTGGGGAATGGAGAGTGCGGCATCTCGTGCTCTGCCGTGAGAGGTGCAGTGCAGTGAGGTGTACAAGCAGGGGTACTGCCGGAGGCAAGGCATGGTGAGTGCAGCAGCTCGTGCCACCTTAAACCCCACCTATTGCATATATGAAACTGACCTCTGTGATGGGGAGGAGCACTGTGTAGGAGGTTGGGACGAGGCAAACTGCCTGCCCCACCCGTGCCCCTTACTCACCCCTTTCCCCCCCTGGTCATGTGCCGGTCTCCACATGCCATACCCTTCCCTTCCCAGATAGATTTTCCCCTCGATCCCACCTACTGCATATCCGAGACGACTTTTGAGTCGACTCACAAGTCCCCTCGATCCCACCTTCTGCATATCCGAGACTGACCTGTGTGACGGGGAAGAACACTGTTTAGGAATCTGGGACGAGGCAGACTGCTTGCAAGCCCTCCACCTGCTTGCACTCCACTGGCTCTCCCTGCTCCTCCCTCTTTCCCTTTCGCCCCTTTCTTCCTTCCCAGTTAGAGTGTCCTCTCGACCCCACCTACTGCATATCCAAGACCGACCTCTGTGACGGGGAGGAGCACTGCATGGGAGCCTGGGACGAGGCAAACTGCCTTCCTCACCCGTGCCCCCATCCTACCCCTCATTCTCTCTGTTCCTTCCCCCCCCCCTCACCTGTTTCTTCCAGATAGAGTGTCCTCTCGACCCCACCTATTGCATATATGAAACCGACCTCTGTGACGGGGAGGAGCATTGTCTAGGAGGCTGGGACGAGGCAAACTGCCTAGACCACCCGTGCCCCTCCGGCTGGCTCAAGTGCCCAAAGACCGGCTACTGCACGCCTGCTGGTAACCTGTGCGACGGTGTTACAGACTGCTTCGCCACTCCCGAGCCTGAGGACGAGGACCCGGACTTGTGCCGAGCCTATGCGTGTCCGGAGGGGTGGAGGAAGTGTGCGGATGGGGAGCAGTGCGTGCAGCAGGGGCGGTGGTGCGACGGGCTGCTGGACTGTGCTGGTGAGTGCCCTGGGGTAATAGGGTGCTGGGCTTCTGGGTGAGCTGATGGGCCGTTGAGTTGCTGGGTTGCTGCCTGGGTTGCTGCCTGGGTTGCTGGGTGAAGGCGGATGTGCAGTGCGTGCAGCAGGGGCAGTGGTGCGACGGGCTGTGCTGGTGAGTGCCCTGGGTTGCTGTTGCTGGGTAGGTGGGTTGCTGGGGTGCAGGATTGCTGGGTTGCTGGATGGTGAGATGGGATGGTGGGATGGGATGGTGGGATGGGATGGTGGGATGGGATGGTGGGATGGGATGGTGGGATGGGATGGTGGGTTGGGATGGTGGGATGGAATGGTGGGATGGAATGGTGGGACGGGATGGTGGGATGGGATGGTGGGACGGGATGGTGGGATGGGATGGTGGGATGGGATGGTGGGATGGGATGGTGGGTTGCTGGATGGTGGGTTGCTGGATGGTGGGTTGCTGGATGGTGGGTTGCTGGATGGTGGGTTGCTGGATGGTGGGTTGCTGGATGGTGGGTTGCTGGATGGTGGGTTGCTGGATGGTGGGTTGCTGGATGGTGGGTTGCTGGATGGTGGGTTGCTGGATGGGATGCATTGCGTGGGGTATGTGTGTATGGGTGTGAATTAGTAGATAAGCTCTTCCTGCTTCTGCGCGGCGTAATTCGCTTCTAAACGGTCATGTACGGTACGACAGTAGCGATACTATTCTCTGTCTCTCGTGTTGTTGAATGCGTCACTGTTCAGGCTCACTCCAGGTGAAAGGGGAGGGCGTTTCTGCGCGCTTCTGTTCATTCATTGGTGAAATAGGGATTGCGTTACGCGTCGCTGTTGTTTCATCATGGCATTTCACCTCTGGCATTTCATCTGCGATACTGGCATATCTCGATTGAGAGACGAATTCTCGTGTCGCGGATAATGAAAAGGGAACTTGTATGATCACGACGCATACAAATTTCTCTTGCAATGGTAAATGCTTTCCAAAAACCAAATATTCTACCTGATAGCGCTTTGCCGCAGCAAGGTAGGTAGGGGGTGAGAAAGAGAAAGTCGAACAGATAGAGGTCGTACCAATACGCATTTTACACCTCCACTGACATGTTCAAGCTGTGCAATTGATATAAGCACCCATCTGCTGTTTCACAACACAAAAGAGTGCTACTTCTTTTTAAAGACAAACAAGCATCTCTCAAAAATGAAAGCAGAAATGAAGCAATAACAAATAAACATCAGCCCACTAAACTACAACACAACACACTCAACAATGTCTTGTATGATTACTTGGTGGTTGCCTTGTTCTTGGCTGCAATCGCTGCCGCCTTCTCAGCCTGCTTCTTCTTCTTAGCCTCAATAGCCGCCTTCTTCTCAGCTTCCCTTTTCTTCTCAGCCTCAATCGCAGCAGCCTTCTCTTCCTGCTTCCTCTTCTTCTCAGCAATCGCTGCCGCCTTCTCAGCCTGTTTCTTCTTCTTAGCCTCAATAGCTGCCTTCTTATCAGCTTCCCGTTTCTTCTCAGCCTCGATTGCAGCAGCCTTCTCAGCCTGCTTCCGCTTCTTCTCAGCGATCGCAGCTTCCTTGTCAGCCTGCTGCTTCTTCTTGGCTTCAACAGCCGCCTTCTTCTCAGCAACAGCAGCCTCCTTATCCTTTTTCGCTTGAATCTTAGCTTCGATCGCCGCGTTCCTTGCTGCCCGCTGCTTCGTCTTCTCCTCTACTGCCGCCCGCTTGGCCTCCATCTTCTGCTTCTTGGCAGCCACGGCTGCCGTCTTTTTCTCCCGAGCCAGCTTCTTCAGCTTCGCAATCTCCTCCTTGCTCAGAACCACCGGCGCGCTGCTGCTGCTGTTGGAAGCACCGGAACCACCTGAAGAACCACCTGAGCTGGTCGCAGATCCGCCAGTAGCAGGCGGAGGCGGAGGAGGAGACACAACACAAACCGCCCCTTCATCGCTCCCATCCAGGCAATTCACAGCCCCATCGCACCACCGACTAGCCTCCACACACTGCAACCCGTCCGCACACTTCTTCCACCCAGCCGGACACACATACCCCTTGCAGAAATCCTCATTCTCGTCCTCCACACCCATCTCTCCCCAGCAATCGGCATTGCCGTCGCACAGGCGGCCGGTTGCGCAGTAGCCGGTGATGGGGCAGTGGATCTGGCCGGGCTGGCACGTGTGGGCGAAGCAGTCCCACTCGTCTGACCCGTCGGAGCACTGCGGGATGCTGTCACAAACGTCTTGGGGGGAGATGCAGTAGCCGGGGTCGTTGGGACATCGCACCTGCAGGGAGGTTAAGGGAGAGGGCAGGGGAAAGACGAGGAGGTGAGTAACGATTGTATTTGAATCACAAGACACTCGGGGGGGTCTGCTGCACCAGGGTGAGTGAGGCCGTGGGTCCAGCAGTAGCCGGTGATGGGGCAGTGGATCTGGCCGGGCTGGCACGTGTGTTTGAAGCAGTCCCACTCGTCTGACCCGTCGGAGCACTGCGGGATGCTGTCGCATACGTCTTGGGGGGAGATGCAGTAGCCCGGGTCGTTGGGGCAGCGCACCTGCAGAGGGGTTAAGGGAGAGGGCAGGGGAAAGACGAGGAGGTGAGCTTTGCTTGGATTTGAATCACAAGGCGCCAGGGGGTCTGCTGCACCAAGGGGTCTGCTGCACCAGGGATTCTGCCACACCAGGGTGAGTGAGGCCGTGGGTCCAGCAGTAGCCGGTGATGGGGCAGTGGATCTGGCCGGGCTGGCACGTGTGCGCGAAGCAGTCCCACTCGTCTGACCCGTCGGAGCACTGCGGGATGCTGTCACACACGTCCTGAGGGCTGATGCAGTGGCCTGGGTCGTTGGGTGCATCGCACCTGCAGAGGGGTTGAAGCAGGGTACAGGGGGGAAGGCGAGGAGGTGATGTTGTAAAGCACTGCGGGATGTTGTCGCACACGTCCTGAGGGGCGATGCAGTAGCCTGGGTCGTTGGGGCACCGCACCTGCAGAGGGGTGGAGGGGGGAGAGGGGGAGGTGGGAGGGGAGGGGATGGGAGGAGGTGAGCCTTGGATCTGGGTACGAATGCTCAAAATCGCTCTGACATAGAGGCGGCCCTGGTTCCAGAAGTAGCCGGTGGCGGGGCAATGGATTTGACCGGGCTGGCAACAGTGGGCGAAGCAGTGGAACTGCACTTTTCTGACCCGTCGGAGCACTGGGCGATGCTGCTGAGACCTTGGCGATGCTGCTGAGACCTTGGCGATGCTGCTGAGACCTTGAAACGCTTTACTACTGACCAACCCCTTGGCAGAGAGCAACTCAGCAGCCCAAGAGAATTGCGCAGGTGCTTGTAGATCGGATAGCACTGCTCGGGCTCCTCATCGCTGCCGTTAAGACAACCGTAACACTGGGCAACAGGGGCAACACCTGTCTGTAAGGAAACCCCGAGGCGACTCGCCTTCCCCTGGGGCTTGCACAGGTCCTTGCGCATGTTCTTGTAGTAGGGTAGCAAGCACTGCTCAAACTCCTCGTCGCTGCCGTTAAGACAACTGTCACAATTGACAACAGCAGCAACACCTCATGGGGGAGTGCTGGTAACAACTCACCTTCCCCTGCGACTTGCACAGGTCTTTGCGCATGTCCTTGTAGATGGTGTAGCACTGCTCAAACTCCTCGTCGCTGCGGCATCTGCTTCGAGGCCTCTGTGAATGCTGTCAAGAATACAACCAGAACACCATGCAACGATAAGCTCACCTTCCCCTGGGACTTGCAGAGGTCCTTGCGCAGGTCCTTGTAGATGGGGTAGCACTGCTCAAACTCCTCGTCGCTGCCGTCCGTACAGTCGTTCTTCAGGTCGCAGTACCCGCTCACCGGCCGGCACTGGTAGCCCTCGCGACACCACGTCTGTATGTACGGATAGGTGAAGACACACGGATGGAAGGGGGCAGGAAGGAGCAGTTGAGGTCATGGAAGTCGTTCGTCAGGTCGCAGTATCCGCTCACCGGCCGGCACTGGTAGCCCTCGTGACACCACTACTGGAGGCACGGGAGGGACGAGACATAGGAGAGGCAGAAGTCGCCGGGGGGAGGGGGGGGTGTCTTCCCCTCAACTTGCCCCTCAACTTGCGAAAGAAGTCCACCTGGCCGACGCTACTCCCCGTGCTCCCGCCTTCCCATTCGCTGACTCACCTTGCCGACGCTGCTGCAGTCGTAGGAGAGGCAGAAGTCGTAGCCGTCGTCGCTGCCGTCGTCGCAGTCGAACACGCCGTCGCACAGCTTATCCGCTCGCACGCACCCCGTCCCGCCCGGGCACGGCACGTTCCCCGGCCAGCACTCGCCGTCCGGCTGCGCCGCCGCCGGACGCGGCGCCGAGCACGCAATCAGCAGCGCCGCTGCGACGGCGAACGCCGCCTTGACTGCGGGAGACGATCGCGGAGTGATCGCGCTTCGGCCCATGATGATGGCCTGGATTCGCTTTGATTCGATCCGAACCGTAAAGCTCTTGACGATCGGCCCGTTCCGTCAGGCGTTTAAGATACTATTAGATCCCGAGTCGTGATTAAGGTTAGTTATTTTTCGTTTCTCTTTCTCTCTCTCCCTCTCGCTCGAGTCGCTCCGATCGAGCGTTCTCTGTAAGCTTTGAGTAGTGTTTCGGATGACGTACGAACACGCTGCTCTGACAAATGATGGCCAAATAACGAGAGGAAACTAGTAAGACGGAGAGGACTCTCACTGGAAGGGCAGTAGGGAGGGTGGATTCGGCATTCTGTGCTCTGCGAGGCACAGCGTCGCTGCCCGCGCTCACCCATGACGGCGTGGAAAGGCCAGACCCTGGTGGAGAGGAGAGAAGGCGACACGAGAGGAGAGACGGGAGGAAAAGCCTTTTGCTGAGTTGGAACAGACAGGTGCCCAGTGCACAGCGAGAGAACCCTACATTAGCTGAAGAGAAGACCTTTTTTGCTGCTGTTGATTACTGTTCTAGGGCCTGAAGCTTTGTGCGTGGCGGCGCATACACGTGTGTCGCTGGGAGAAGGAAGGATCCCTCCCAACAACCCCACCCCACCCCACCCCACCACCACCCAAACCCACCTGCGAACTATGCTGATTGCCGAACAGCAGAAGAATTGCCTGATGAACAAGCTGAGAGCTGTGCAGGTTGAGCAGAACCGCCCTGGAGGCTGATTTCAGATCTCGCCCGTTTCACAATTCGCCTATTTTCGGCGGCGCGCGGAGGGAGGGAGCGTGCGATGTGATTGTTTTGCTCAATTATGGCTGGAAGCAAATTTTGCAAGAGTTGGGGCGGCTTTGGTACGGAGTGTAGCTGGGATTGTATTTGTGGTGTATGTGCTGGTGCACAAGAAGCTTATCAGAAACATTTGCAATATATTACTGTACAGTTTCTTCGAGTGTTCTGTCTTCAAACCTGAGCAGTCCGTGTCGCGTTTATTTCCAAGTTGTACACGATCAGGTTGGGTAACTGGAAATTCCCCTGGATGAGCTGAGCTGGAGGTCGAATTCTCTTGTCCAAGCATGGTGGAGTTCTGACGTGTCCGTGAGCGGAACGCGCAATTGATCAACGTCAACAAACGTGTGGCACCGCATATTCCGGCGCTGTTTATACACCATCTAATAAGTACAGAAGCAGACTAAACTGTGCCATTTTCTTAAAGAAGTACTCAGGTTTACGAAGGCTTTCTCGAAGTGCGTGCTCTGCTCAACCACTTGTTTTGAACGACAATTGCGAAATACTTTATTGATATATAATGCAAGTATTTCCGAGCTATTCTTGCAGGCCTAGGAATCCAACTAGGAACATGTACTCTATGGCATTGTAAGCAGCCACCCAGGCTTGCTCCACATCTCCTCCCCACTCCTCCCCTAGGGCATCCGAGATCACTGCCACAAAGGCGGCTCTTAGCTTCTGCAGGGTAGCATGTGGGGTGGGGGGGGAGGGGACAATGGGGAGAAATAAAGATGGGACAAGAAGATAAGGGAGAAATTGTGGAGAGGACAAACTATGGAGGGGGGGTATCTCTGGAACCATACAGAGGGTGGACTTTCAGTTGAGTGATAAGGAGCTGTTAAAACGACTCCATACCGGGGCGTGTTCGCTTGTGACGCCGAATAGCAAGTGTCGAGAACCAAGGTCTGCTAGAGTTGTCCTTAAAGACCGAACCTCCTTCTGCTTGTCGAGCTTCACTGCTGCTGCACACACCTGGCACAGGGAGGGTGGACGAGAATAGTTTCAAGGCGCCTCAAAACTGGTCTGCCAGAGTTGTCTGTAAAGACCGAATCAAACCTCCTTTTGCTTGTCGAGCTTCACTGCTGCTGCACACACCTGGCAGAGGGAGGGAGGGTGGACGAGAAGCAGCAATAGAGGCGCATCGAGATTTCAATACCCCTCTCTGCCACGTATCTGCAAGTCGGCTTATTTTCTAGGGGTCAAGGTTCAGGGCTCGGGGTTGAAGTTCAGAGTCTAGGGTTCAGGGTTCAGGCTTTGGGAGGGTGAGGGAGCACATGCCACTCACGCATGACACATGTCACTCACCATGCACCCCATGCACTCACCATGCACCCCATGCACCTACCATCCACTCACCATGCACCACATACCATCCACTCACCATGCACACACCATGCACCACATACCATCCACTCACCATGCATACACCATGCACCACATACCATCCACTCACCATGCACGCACCATGCACCAGATACCATCCACTCACCATGCACGCACCATGCACCACATACCATCCACTCACCATGCGCATGGCCGTGGTGGCATGTGCTTGCAGCAGCTTGTTTTCGCGGTGCGGCTCCTTGGCTCGACGCGTCATGGAAAACATTTGCTTTGCCTCGGGTATCAGCTCTAACAACCTGCGGTGATGCAGGGAATCGAGGAGATGGACAGGGCGTGAGCCGGATGAGACAAGAGTGCACGGACTAGCTCCAGCAGCCTGATTGGCTCGGCGCGTCATGGAGAACATCTGTTTCGCCTCAGGTATCAGCTCAAGCGAGTGATTTTTGAGAATTCTCAAAAATCACTCAGGTATCAGCTCCAGCAGCCTGACAGCGATGGTGGGGGGGGGGGGGGGAGGAGGGAGGATGGAAATGAGGCAGGAGCGCACGAGTAGACGAGGTATGGAAAACACCTGTTTCGCCTCAGGTATCGGCTCTAGCAACCAGACAGCAATGGTGGGGGAGAAGATGGGGACGGTGGGAGCAGGATGAGGCATGGGTACAGTCATAGAGAACATCTGTTTCGCCTTGGGAATCAGCTCTAACAACCTGCGGTGATGCAGAGAATGGGGGGGAGGAGACATGGGACAGGAGAGAGAGAGAAGGATGAGGCGGGGGTGCACGTGGCGAGCCATGGAGAACATATGAGTCGCATCAGAAATCAGCTCTAGCAGCCTGCAGCCAGACAGGTGGAGGGGGGCGGGGGGGGGGGTGGAGGGGGAAATTGGGGGGGGGGAGATTATGGGAGAGGGGAGAGAAGGATGAGACAGGGTGCATGTGGCGAATCATGGAGAACATCTGATCTGAGTCGCCTCATAAATCAGCACCAGCAGCCTGCGGTAATGCAGGGAGGATGAAAGGGTGGGAGGGAGGATGGAAACGGAGGTGCGGGATGGAAAAGGAGGGAGCAGGTTGAGGCACGGGTGCATGGATAGAGGCATGGAGAACATTTGAGCTGCCTCGGGTATCAGATCCAGCAACCAGCAGTGATGCAGAGAGGATGAAAGGGATGGCACGGGTGCATGGATAGAGGCATGGAGAACATTTGAGCTGCCTCGGGTACCAGATCCGGCAACCTGCAGTGATGCGAATGGGAGGGAGGATGGGAAAGGAGAGAGCAGGATGAGGCAAGGAGGGTTTGGGGTTGGAGGTTCAGGGGGCAGGTGGCATGGGGACAGGGGACAGAGGCGAAGGGAGTAACCACAAACCGGACGAGAAACAATGGTGGAATGGATAACGATGGATGACGATGGGTGGCGACGGGTGACATTGGGTCAATCTAGGTGAAAATGTGGGAACGTGGATGGAGGCGAAGTGGCAGTGCTCGGTACGCTAGTGGATGCATGCGCGAAGTCCAGACGAACGTGTAATGAGTCGTGTTTTCAGTCACCTCAAAACACGGCAAGCTAGTGGATGCATGCGCGAAGGCGAGACGAACGGAAGCGAAGCGTGGTGTAGGCCGGATTGTCGCGATGCAGGTGGTGTGGAGGAGGTAAAGGGCAAGACGGAGGAATATTAAATCGACTCAGAAGTCGCCTAGTCTAGGCCGGATCGACGCAACGTGGGTGGTAGAGGTAAAGAGGAAGAACGGGGAAGGAGGGAAGGGAGGGGGGAGCGAAGGGAGGGGGAAAGGGAAAGGGGGAGGGGGGTGGGAGGGAGGTGTGTGGAAAAGGTGGGAGGATGGACGAGGAAGGAGGGAGGGTGGACAAGGAAGGACGGAGGATGGACAAGGAAGGAGGGAGGGTGGACAAGGAAGGACGGAGGATGGACAAGGAAGGAGGGAGGGTGGACAAGGAAGGAGGGAGGGTGGACAAGGAAGGACGGAGGATGGACAAGGAAGGAGGGAGGGTGGACAAGGAAGGAGGGAGGGTGGACAAGGAAGGACGGAGGATGGACAAGGGAGGAGGGAGGGTGGACAAGGAAGGTGTGGGGGCGTTTCTAAGTGCAGGCCGGATTGATGCAATGTAGGTCGCAGCCGTACCGGCGGGAGGGGGATGTGCAAGGCGGGAAGGCTGGAAAAGGCGGGAAGGGGATGGACGAGGGCGGAGGGAGGATGGACGAGTGGGGAAGGCCCCTCGTTTGAGGATGGGCGAAACGGGGAGGGAGGGTGAAAATGCTTCTAGATGCAGACTGGCTTGACGCGATACCTTATTTTATTTTATTTGGTATAATGTGATCGGTGGAAGGGAGGGGGGGGGGGGGGGGGGGGCCGGGGGGACGTAGGACTACTATTAATACCATGGCAGAGAACGGCCGCGCCGCGCTCGTTTAGGATTACTTGATATAAAGTTCGAGGGCGTGTTTAGACACATCGGGTTCTATCTTGGACGCGAACGTCGCTCGTATCAAGTCCACCTGCTCCTTCGGCAGTACCAGCGGCGGCGCCTCGATATTGCCGCCGGCCATCTCGCCGCGCGAGCCTCTTTTGATCCTGCTCTACCTCCTCTCTTCCACACGAAAGCCGCTGCAGCGTGCTTATAGCGCGAATGCTACTAACGAAACGCTATTAGCGAGTCTTACTTAGCCGTTGAAACTCAACCACCACCGCCCCCTCCCTTTCACACGAAAGCCGCTGCTGCGTGCTTATAACGCGAATGCTACTAACGAAACGCTATTAGCGAGTTTTACTTAGCCGTTGGAACTCAACCACCACCGCCCCCTCCCTTTCACACGAAAGCCGCTGCTGCGTGCTTATAACGCGAATGCTACTATCGAAACGCTACTAGAGAGTTATACTTCGCCGTTGAAACTCAACCACCACGGTCAGTCACCCCTCCCGTCCACGCTCGTTCCGCTTGCTTCTTCCCGAGTCTGCCTTCCTTCAAGGACAAAATGCGGGTAGTGTCGTGTCGCTACAGACGCGCAGCTTTCGCGGACGAGGATAAAAGCGGAGTACACATGATGCCCGGTTGAGCCCCCCAACTTTGGCCTACCCCATGTGCGTATAAGTGATTCTGCATTTCGCGGTGGTTTCGTCAATTCGCTTCGGGCAAAAAGGGCTTATACAGTCGATGCCCAACCCGTCCACGCGAAATTGCATTGCATATTCCAGAAACCTTGCACCCGTGGGTTTCTTGCCGCGAAGTTGCACCTACGTTACAAGCACGTCGACCAATAAGAGCCACAGAAACGGAAGTCTGACTGATGAGACTGCAGTCAAACAGTCAACGGTGAGTTACAAAATTTCGACGTGCTTGTAACGTAGGTGCAACTTCGCGGCAAGAAACCCACGGGTGCAAGGTTTCTGGAACGTACAAGGCAATTTTGCGTGCAAGGGTTGGGCATCGACTGTAGCGCTATTGACCCTGCAGCGTGTATGTGATGCTTTTTGAGAACTTTTGATAGTGTCTCCTGTAAAAACTCTTGCACGAGAAATTTGTACACAATAAGTTGCCCTTTCGTGACGTGAGAGAGCAACCCGGTCGACTCAAAAGTGCGCAAATATCGCGGAATCAGAGGAAGGACCAGCCGCGTCACGTTCGTTACAGTGATAGATGCTGATTGGTGGATGCAGCTCTCAAAGTGTGGTGGCAAGGGGTATGGTAGGTGACTGGACTGGTGTGGCGGGCGGTATGGGACAAACCAAACGGTGGGGTCGGTTGGTTGGTGCACGTTCCCAGGCCGATTTCTGAGACGAAAGAGGAAGTTGAATAAATGCGGCTCGGAATGAACTAAACCTCAACAAACTGTTCCCCAAAATAAGCTGGTGCTATGTAAGCCAGATAGAGCAGTTTTCCACGACAAACCAGCACTACGTTCTATAAATAAACCCAAGAAAAACAGAAGATGAATTGCCTATTCTTCTTGTCAGAGCAGGCAGGGCAGATGAAGCACGAAAACAACACGGATCTGGTACTGCTTTTGGAGGCTAATTAAAGAAAATCCCTGTGCTCCCAGAGCGAGACGCAAGCTGCCATTGGCCAACGCCTCTCTCCTCCTCGTCCTCCTGGTCCCGGTACACATTCCTCTGTGTGTGCACGTATCCTGCTGTCAAAATGTTGTGAACAGTTGCCTGCACATTGCCAGGAGAGAGAAGAAGGGGAATATGAGACGAAAGGCAGCGATACCAGCAAGCAGCAATACGAGCGAGCAGCATAAGGAATGGCACAGCTTGGGAGAACAGCTTTCCACGAGTACGAGGCGGCAAGGCAACAAGACTTTCGATTGAGTCGACTCAAACGCATAAGGAACAGCGCGCCACTTGGAAGAACAGCTTTCCACAAGTCCAAGAAGGCAAGGCAAGAAGAAGGCAAGGGTGTGTACACAATAGCTGGCTGGTGAAAATAGGATGATTGTGTGGGCTCCCTACGTTTGGTAGCATCGGATGATTGCAACGCTATGGGTTCGCAACACTCTTTCCGCTTGCATTGCCATGTGAAGCTGGATTGGCCACATGTCTCTCATACAGAGATTTATCGTCACTCACATGCGTCCGACTCAACAAGCTTTGGGACGTCTCAATACTCGATACTGAGACATACCAAAGCTGGTTTGGCCGCAAACCGTCTCTCACACAGAGATGTATCGCCACTCACATGCATCAGGCATGCATACACAGGCTTGTGTGCGCATACGGCTTGGCTATACAGTCACTCACATGCTTCCTGCATCGAAGGATGGACGCGTGTACGGCATCGGAGTGACTGACAACAATAATGTTCTCATCCTGCCACTGCAAGGCAAGGCATGGCACAAGGAGGGAGGAAGGGAGTACAGCGGAGAGTGAATGAGTTGTTGCGGTCACGCCCATGCCGTGCCACTCTCCGCTGGAGAGCAGAAATTATCAGTATTGACACATCTCCAAATGAGTGCACGGCATGGGCGTGACCGCAACAAAGGAGAAAGGAGGGAGACATGATGTTGCAGTGGCAAGATGAGAACATCATAGTCGTCAGTAACGCCAATGCTGAGCAGGTCTCAAAAGGATGAGAACATCATTGCTGTTGTGCACAGTGAGAAAGGAGGGAGTGCAACAAAAAGTGTGTGAAGTTGACAAGGAACAGATTAGTCACCCATCTTCCCTCCTCCTTGCACCGACAAAGACACTTGTCGCGTTACTTAACCAAATACACAGAAATCGGTCAAGGAGGGTTTCGGAGAGACTATTTTTGAGTCAACTCAAAAATAGAGTAGTAAGAGAAGGAGGGTTTCAGAGTGATTCAGCTCGCCATTACGCCTTCCCACCTTCCCTTCTCTCTCCCTTAACCTTCTTTTCCCTTGCATGCCACTGATGGTGGTGACAAAGCAAACCATATCCACACATGCAGAGATGAAACCCCGCCGTGTGGATTTAAAAAACTTAATATCAATCTGCATACTCCCACTAGCCCACCTGCCCGCCCTCTCACAAGCCCACCTGCCCTCCCGCTTTTCAATGCTTTATTCAACCCTTCCACAACCCACTGACCACCTCCCTGCCCCTCACTTTGTTCCCCTCTCACTTTGCCCCGCCCCCCTCCCCCCTCCTTTTTGACCACCTGTCCCCTCCTTTCTCCCACCTGTTCTGAACGCAGCAGCCACCTCCCTGCACCTCCCTTTGCCCCACCCGCTTTTTTGCCCACCTGCTTCCATTCCCACCTGCTCCCCTCCCAATGCCCACCTGCTCTGCCACGTGGTCAATCGACCGCAGCAGCCGCAACGCTGCCTCCTCCACGTCCTCAGGCCAGCCTGGCAGTGCCACGTCAGCAGCAGCAGTTTCCGATCCAGCGACAACTGGCAAGATCCTGTCCACAGAGCCCCGCGGGAACATGCCTTCCAGCCAATCACGAGGCGCCAGCGAAGCAGCAGCACTGCTATTACCAGAGTTGCTAGCTACATTACATGATCCCTGATTCTGTCCCTGCCCCTGCCCTTGCCACCGCTCCTGCCCCTGTTCCTGCACCTGTTCCTGCCCCTCGCCCCGTGCCTGTCCCTGCCCCGTGGATGCTCCCTGCACATGCCGCATGCCTTGCCCCACTCCCTCCCTCATCTGCCCACCGCCCATTCCCACTTCCCCCTTCATCTGCCCAGACTGTGCAAACAGCTCCACTGCTGCTGCCGCTGCTGCTGGTGCTGTTGCTGATGCTGCACTCGTCCCCGCCCCCCCATCCCCCTGCCGCACCACCTCGTGCAGCCCATAGTGCACTGCCACGCGCACCTCCCCCCCCACGCCCCCCGCGCCCTGCCACGCCCCGTCCCACATGCCGAACTTGCGCTTACGGTCCGGGGGAAGGATCAGGCTCGGCTGTGGCGTGAGGGAGGATTTCTGCAGGAAGAGTAAAAGGGGGAGGGTATTGGATGGCAGGGCGGGGAAGGGTAAGGGAAGGCGGGGTTTGCGGGAGGATAAGGGAAGGTGAGAGGGAGAGGGGTATGTAAAGGCAGAGAGGAGAGGAGGAGGAGACAGGGGAAAGGGACGCGGGAAGAGATGAGAGAAATGCTGGGCAAACAAAGTAGGTTAGTCGGAGCTAGGCACCCTGCTTCACGTGAGGGGAAGGCGAAGGGGGATTGGGGAGGTAGAGGGGGCAAGGGGAAAGAGGGGATGGGGAAGGGAAGAGAGTAGGCGAAGAAAGCAAGTGGGCGGAGCGAGAAGGGCAAGAGATACCTGTCGGCGTCGCATGAGGTGCTGGTGACGTGCAGATGCAGACCTTGACACACCAGCACCGCTGTTGCCAGCACTACTACCGCCACTGGCAGCAGTGCTACCTGCAGCAGCACTAGCCATAGTAGCAGGGAGACCACCGAGTTTGCTGCGGCGGAAACGCGAGGAGAAGAAGGAGGAGAGGAAGCTACTACCCCCAGGTACCATGCTGCTGATCCTGCTGCTGCTGCTAGCGCCAAAGCTGCCACCAATGCTACTACCACCAGCAGCATCAGCAGCAGAGCCAGCGGCGGCGGGAGCACCAGCAGGAGCGGCAGCGGTGGGAGCAGAGGAGGAGAGGAAGGTGGAAGCAGAGGAAGGTGGAAGCGGTTGTGCATCGGTGAGCGCGAGCAGCAGCTCTAGAGCGGTTTCCACGCAGCGCAGGTACGGCGCACACACTATGCGCGTGACCCCCCACCCCTCCTGCCTCAGCCTCATACCCACCTGGCGGGAAAATGATGGGGGGTTATTGGGAGGAGATTCGAGACATGGGGATATGGGGAGGAGATTGAAGATCAAACGAGACAGCCTTTTAGCACTAGAGCCGCTCCACACACTATGCACCTCACCCCCCAGCCCTCCTGCCTCAGCCTCATGCCCACGTGGCGGAAAATGACAGGGACACATGGGGATATGGGGGAGGTTGAACCACCAGTGAGATGTGATAGATGTGCCATGCCCCAACCCCCAACTCTGCACTCTCCCTGCGCGTCCACTTCCCTCCCCCAGACCCCACTCCTCTCCTCCCCCAACCCCTGCTCCCCTTCCCCCACCCCACCCTTCACTCCTCCGCACGCACTCCTTCCCCCGCGCTCACCTCATAGGCCTGGTATTTCCCCCATTCCGAGAGTGGCGGGTCCCACGCGCGCTCCGCGCCCTCTCTGCGCGCCCACAGGGGGTCGGCGGCGTCCGCGCGCTCCCCGTGGTGCATCACGAACACGTGCTGGCGGCGCTGCATTATTCCCGACTGAAACCCGCACAGGCGCGAAATCAGCCGCCCCAGCGGCGGGTTCATGCGCCTGCAGTCCACCTGCCGCGGCGGCGGAAGCGGAAGCGGAGGGGGGAGCGGATGCGGTGGCGGAGGAGGAGGTGGAGCCCCCGCCGAGGGGAAGAAGCACGAGCCTGCGCACGACGGCGCGGGGAAGGGAGACCCGGGGGAGCTCGCGGGGAAGGTTGCGCTGACGGAGGGGGAAGGGTGGTAGGGGGAGCCGAACGGCGCGGCGGAGAAGGCATCCGCGGACATGGGTTCCGCGGAGCCCGGGGAAACGCCGCGCGTGGGAGAGCCCGGGGGGAAGCGCGAGGGGGAGTGCGGGGAGGAGATGAGGGAGTATGCGGGGAGGGTTAGGTCCCGGAAGGGAAGTGGGTTGAAGGTGGTTGCGGCGGGGTGGAAGGAGAGAGATTTGGTTCGAATTAGCTTGGTGGGAGAGTAACAATCCATGGCTGCTGATTGCGCCGCGGGAGACGCTTCGGTGGCCCTAAAAGTGAATACATCCCGCTGCTGCTGCTGCTCCGGAAACTGCTGCAGCTGGAACGGTTGTGGCAGCGAAATTTGTGTCTGTACTCCGTGCTGCAATGCACCCCCACCCGCATTCAACGCCGCGTTTCCCGCCGCGATACCAGGTGAGTCTAGGCTCGCGGGAAGCACCACCTGCGGAAGCAGCGTCTGATGCGGCTGCGCCTGCGGCGGCCACAGCAACTGCTGCTGCTGTCGCTGACGTTTGCCCCCGCCACTGTTACCCTTTTCGCCAACGGTTTCGTCGACGTCGCCGTCCATCATGGTGACAGCTTCGTCTTCGTCGCCATCGTCGACCGCTCCCAACGCGTACGGCCCCCACTCGCTGTTCGCGCCGGCTCGGCGACTAGACAGGCCTCTGTGAAGAACTAAATCAACCAGCTTCGCCATTACTGTTGGCAATCTATCTGCAGAAACTGCTTGCAAGGAGGCTCGGTTATTATTGTGCTATAAATAAATAGAGGTGGAAATCATAAGAGGGAGATATCGCTTGTGAGCAGATTCAAACAAACCTCTCAGACTAGCAGGGAGGGGGGCCTCTACGACGCACAAAAGCCGCTCACTTCGCCATAAGGACTTGCTTAGAGTTCGGCAGAATCTGAGACTGCTATATTATGTACACCACCTCTTCGAATCGCGAGTACGCCGTTTGTACGAGATAGCGAGATAGCGATAAGTAAGCAAAAAAGAGCTCATTTATTAACTGAAGTAAAATTACGTCAGCACTCCCGATAAGTCGTGCGAGCCAGGCCTTTGCGCAAGTGTGCGCAATATGAGTCAACCCTTATTGAGTAGATTCCGAAGTATGTCTCCGCTGCCCAGTCGTTCCGTCTCCACGACTCAAATCGCGTCTCGAATTGGGAAGATTCTGTGGGTTAGCCTTGAGATAGCCAGCCCGGAACGGAGACGGAGATGGCATCCGGCGAGATAGCGCGTGGGTGGATTCGCAAGACCAGAGGTCAGAAAGCCGCGACCAAACAATGTCGGCCTCCGGTGAGCACTCGAGATAACGATTTGGGCAAGTGTACGACGATGTTCTTTGTACTAGATCACGGTCAGTTCAGGGAAAGGGCGACCGCTGCTTCCATCTTTCCCGCAAGCGCTCCTAATGTTTTGGTTCCGGTCGGACGGACCTTCAAGGCCGAAAAACTCGTTGGCGATAAAATGGCGACCGAAGATTACGCTGGTCCTATCTACCGCAGAAAGCGAGAACAGCTTTGGGGGAGTCAGCCTATGCAGCAGCCATGGCAGATATGAGAATTGCCAATAGCTCTTGCTGAAAATATAGTTTCAAACGTTTGGATGCGGTGCAGTACGTCTCCATCTGGTACGGATGTACAATTGGCTGCAAGTTGGCAGATGGAGTTCCACCTTGGGATGTGTTTTTCCAACATGGAGAACCCCGCCAGGGTGTGGCAGCTGTCTGTGACAATTTCACCCCACCCTCGCAGTCAGAAAAACGCGACCTCGTGTCAGTTTCCTTGAACTTCGGCTCGGACCTTGGGGTGTGAAACGGATTGCGGTTCGGTTTGGGGGAGCGGAAGGTACACTTGAGCGTCGACCACACGTTTGGTTTCATGTACAGTGCGTGCTTGTCGTGGTGGGAGAAGATCAAACTGGGGCCGAACATTAGCAGGAAAGTGACCAAATTAGGGCCGGGTTAATCCCAACCGTTGGATGTACTTCCGAGGCTGCCCAAGTGGTAGGGCCGAGAATTCGAACCTAGATTTACAGGAAATTACAAGCATTTCGACTTCATTGGATCAATTTGTTTTTGTACGTTATGATCGCCACCTATTACAAAAATCGCGTCGTACTTCTCTTGGAGTAGTTTTCATCTTGGTTCTCGGAAAATTTACATCACCTTAGCTGACCACAAAAAAATAAAACCGAATCCGAAATGGATGCGACTCGGGGAGGCATCAACCCTAAACTCTACTTGGGTTCCCGTGTTTAGGGTTGATCCCTCCCGAAAATGCGTCCAGGTTCTCTAGGGGATTACTTTTTCCTCCCTGCCCTAACAGTTTCTGGTAGCGTCGTCTACTGCTTCGTAGTGCTGACGAGTGGAAAACACTGATTTATCTCGACATAACGACAGAAATTTTTCAATTCATCAGTTACCACGAGTGGGGTGGTCAGAACCTCTGACAAGTACAATTGAATCGCGAGTATGGACAATTTGAATTTTTGCTCCAAAAGCCCAGGTTCGGTTTCTCCGGCCCTAATTTGGACAACCTCGTGCTATTTTTCGGCCCCTGTCTGATCTTTGCCCTGTCGTGGTCTCAAAACGACATATTCGGTTCGGTGTGTCCTCGTCATAGGTGTGCTGCGATTAGGCGTACACCAGCAAGCGACCCTTTCTCACACAAGAAGCAGATCAACCATAACTCCAAAATCAACCAGTCACTTTATTTGCACCTCCTTAAGATGCGCTTGTTATAATTGGTCATGGTTCAAATCCAATATATCACAATTTACAACATGTTGGCATTCTATAACTGCCATAATATATACACTTAATATGGATCCTCACCTACATCTGTGCTTTTTGCCCATGTGGACCCAGGTGCAGAGGGCAGTTTCGTCTGTTTCACATGGAATGCTCCAATCTGCAGAGTGGGATATGATAGAATGTGTATATACAGACTCGTAGAATATGGGCCAGCCATGATTACCCTCTGCGACCGTTAAAACGATTAGTACGTCCTCTTGGAGATCAAGCTCTCTGCACACAGCTGACTCAAACAAGAAGGACACATGAAAAGAGAACAGTGCGCATATTAACAAACAGAGTATGCAGCATGCTGCGTAGGGACACGACATAGGCGACCATGCTGCGAATCTCGGGAGACATGTGAACCAACAGCGGCGAAATCAGGGTGAATAACATGTGCATGGATTCCTGGCGTACATGGGAAGGCCTGGTGTAGGAGGTCGGCGATGTGTGGAGTCTCACACCAGATGTGAAGGATAGCGCGAGAAAAGCTGTGCATGGGAGATATGCCTGACCATGCCACCACCTTGTAGGGGCACCATGCCGCAAGGGGGGGGGGGAGAGCGAGGTGGGGAAGGACTACACAGGGTGCAAATGCAGAGGAGACAGCCCATGCATGCTGTATGCTAAAGCATTTGAACAACTTTGTTATTTTGCTGAGAGATTAGAATTTACCAGGCCATGCAGCTTCTTCTTGAGCAGGGCGCGGGCGCGGTGGCAGTCGAAGAGGGCGGGGTCGGGGTACATCATGGCTCGAGTGACCGACACTCCAAAGCGCTGCCCAAACAAGCTGCAAATGTAATCCACCTTCTTCCAGTTGCTGTCACAATACTGTACCTGATAGAGGGCAAAGACTAGATAATTAATCATGTGTGGGAAAGAATGCAAGGAACGAGGTGTATGACGGAGGAAGTCTGTCTTACAACCGTTAGTCCTAGAAACGTGTGTTGTAGTGTCTCTTTTTTTTTTTGGTAACCGTTCCCAATTCATAATTTCACGTACCTCCATCTCTGAAATGATGTCAGTTGCACCAAAATGGCGCACAAAATACTCCACTGAAAGGGACTGGGAGGTGGGGTGGTGTAAAATCTATTATTGTGCCAAAAACTGTTCAAAGCAAGATCAACAAATTTAAGAAGCATTCTGGTTAAAAGAGCTTTACATATCAATGGCACAGTATATACAGACAGAGAGACGTGATTCAAGAAACAAGAATCAAGGAATTCCCATACCTCGGAAATGACGGACGCGCCTCCGGCGTTGGGTGAGGAAGCAACCCTAACAGCATCTTTCGATAGAGTGAAGTCCACAAACGGTGCCCGCGCCTCGAACTCACTCATGAAAACAGACTCTACCTGTACACTCCCTTCGCCTACTCGATTGTAGTCTACAATCTCATTATATACACGACCATTCTGTACAATCACCTTCCCGCCTCCATCACACACTTCGTCCAATCGGCCCAAGCCCAATCCAGCCAAGCTCCCTAGCCCATCTCCCTCTCGTATGCCTCTCTGTTCTGCTTGATCCGATGCTGCAGATAGCTCAGACGCACACGTGCAAGCGCTATCTGCATCGGAAGTTCCGTTAGTCCCATGGAGGGGACGTACGACAGTGTGGGGGGGCGACGAGGTTTCGTCTGAGGAGTGAGTGAGGGGAACGGCGGCTTCTAGGCTGGAAGAATCGTCTCGAGTTAACCGCTGAAGGGATGATCTCGCGCCTTCCGGTGACGGACCAGAGCTCATGCTAAGCTCGTCCTCCTTTGCTCGACGATTTAGGTCTACTGGCGCGGCTTGTACGTTTTCGACGTTTCCGGAAAAACTCTGAGGGGCAGCTTGAACGTCCCCGGCTTGAGAACGATCTAGCCCTGCGCTTTGCGCCGCCGCCGTATCCCCACCGTCGGGACTGAAAAGCACGTCCACGCAGAAGCTATCGTCGATTAGGGCCCAATCCGCATGGCGCAGAGAGGAAGCAGACGAACGCGGACTCGCAGGCGACGTTTGAGAGGATGCTGATGATTCGGATTCGAAAAAGGAGGAGGAGGAGGCGGGGGAAGAAGTAGAAGCAGTGGAAGTAGATGAAATAGATGAACGTTCAATGTCAACTGCCGTCAATAAATCGTCTGTCATCCATGTGTTGTTCACATGCCGTTCCCCTGCCATCACCGCGGTCGCGGCCGCCTCGCGCTGAAGCGCCTCACGCAGAGTCACTCGGCACGAAGCGGAGCGCGGCGACAGCGTTCGCACGACGAAATCGTGCGACGGCGCGCCGAACTCCGCTGCGAAAGGAGCCATTCCCGCCGCTCCCGCCGTCGTCCCACCTGTGGCGCGATGCGGATGGTCGCGCCCTGGCCGGTCAGCACGGTTCGGAGCCGCGGCGACTGGAGGTTGGAATTTCCAAACAGTTCCGACAGAAGCGAAAAAAGAACGGGGTAGGCAGGAGAGCCCGGGGAGCACGGATGGTACGCTTGGAGAGTTGCGGGCTCGGACGGGTTTTGCAGCAACGTGGTGCTGGTGAGCTGTGAGAGAACGAGCCATTATCGAGCGAGAAAGCTACGGCCATGGATCCTCCAGGTGAAACGCTACTAAACTGAGGTTGCGGCTGCCCTCAACTACAGCCGGGACAACGGGATGACGCTTGAGTCGAATCAAAAGTCATCATCTCTACTAAGCTCGTTTCGCGACTACTGACGCTACTACACTCAACTGCTGAAGGTCACTGCTGTTGTGAACGCCGGTCTTAGCGCGTGGTGGAATTTAGTGTTGGGATGCTCGCCACCCGAACGACGGCAGTACAAAAACGAGTCATGAGCGGCGAGAGAGAAGAGATGCGGTGGAATCGTGGAACTGGTGGTGACTTGCTGTTGAGTTTTGCATCCTCGACTTGCCCCAAATCCCAGATTCTACTCAAGCTAATCGTGAAGGGTTTCAAATGAATATTGAGCGTTCCAGAACGTTTTACCGCGGCGAAATGCGTTAACACGGTTTGGCACAACCAACTGTGAAGCAGTTGCTCAATGTGCGTGCACTTCGACGTGCATCTGGGGCTGGAGCATCTGCAGAAGGGAATCAGCGGGGTCTGAAATTGACGCGCACCGATAGGGAATAATTGAGCGCAGCGCGCCAGAACATTGTGCCATGATTGGCAATACCCTTGCAAAGTGACTGGGCAACCGATGGCGAACGTCATGGCAATTGGTCAATGTGATGCTGACTGTGTAAGCGGAGACGTCAGGAACAGTTGAATACACGTGGAATCGTGTCTCGTTGAGCAAGCACAACAAGGACTCAATACTGCATGCTGCAATCCGCTGCACTTATTACCCTGGAAAGCCACACTTGTGGTGGAAACAACAATATGCACAAGTATATATTTCTAGGGTATCATTGGAGTTCTTGCACACCTCGCTGCACAGACATTTGAATAGTGTTAGATTACAGAAATATACACTCACTACTACAAAGCCCTGACACAAGGCTTCATACTTATTCCAAACCAAGGGTGATGTGCATGGTGCACCCATAAACCCCTTCCTCTTTCATCCCTTGGCCTTTCAGATACCTTGTACAAGGACTCATAGAAGATAGGCCAACCTTGGTGTCCTTCGGCTACAGTCAGCACCATCAGCACGTCTTCTTGCATATCCAAGGAGCTAGAAACCTCTGCAGTTATCACATACAACAGGGCACAAGAGGATTAGCAGCAACTCAGAAGTGACGGGAAAGAGAAATACAATACTGTAGAAGGGAAATCACGTGTTATTTGCAGTTCTTGCCTGGGAATGCGTCTTGCAAAAGGTTGGCTATGTGCGCCGTCTCGCACCAAACATGGAGAATGGCTCGAGAGAAGCAGTGCATGGGCGAGACGCCCGACCATGCCACCACCTGCGCAACACGAAACCAGCACAAATGCATCAGCTGCAAGGGACGAGGATAAGATGGAAAGCTGCACAGACAGTGCTTCAAAATTGGTCCTTCCACCCCCCTTCCCCCCCCCTGCTCCCCGGCCCCCAGCCCCAAGAAAGAAGAAGAGATGTAGATGTATCGCGTAGCACGTACCAGGCCGTGCAGTTTCTTCCTGAGCAGAACTCCCCCCTCCCCCTCCCTCCCCCTCTTCCCCCCCTCCCCAACCGAAAAAAAGAGAAGAAAAAAGCATATGTATCGCGTAGCACGTACCAGGCCGTGCAGTTTCTTCCTGAGCAGGGCGCGGGCGCGGTGGCAGTCGAAGAGGGCGGGGTCGGGGTACATCATGGCTCGAGTGACCGACACTCCAAAGCGCTGCCCAAACAAGCTGCAGATGTAATCCACCTTCTTCCAGTTGCTGTCGCAGTACTTGATCTGAAACGCATTCGAACAACTACTTGCTCTTCGTATCAGGTTGGAACGAGAATGACAAAAAAAATAAAAGTTCAGACAAACAGAGGGACAAAGGGAAACAGGAAACCAAAAAACAGGTTAGAAAATAGATGGAGGAAAGGTGTGTGTGTGTGTGTGTGTGTGTGTGTGTACCTCCATCTCTGAGATAATGTCAGTTGCGCCAAAGTGACGCACGAAGTACTCAACAGAAAGTGACTGCACAGGAGGAAGAGCGGGACAAGGGGGAGGGAAAGGGTGATGCTGTTATTGCATTGATAAGGTACGCTTAGTAATTCACTGGAAAGTGGAACACGACGAACCCCTGGAGGAAGGAAGGGCAAAAGAAAAGACACAAACACACGCATGGCGTAGCACCCTTCAGGCCTCACCTCGGAAATGACAGAAGCGCCGCCCGCATTTGGCGAGGAGGCGACCCGGGCGGCATGTTCCGAGAGAGAGAAGTGCAGGAACGGCGCTCGGGCCTCAAACTCCGACACAAACACACGCACGGCATAGCACCCTTCGGGTGTCTCATGCTTGTGCATGTCAGTCGTGCAGCCATCCTGGTGTCCCAGCTGCTCCTGCTGCTCAGCCGCAGCTGCTTCAGTTACATCCACACCCTCCTTAACAGTTTCCAGATTAGATTCCTTGTTTGGATCAACGTCCGAGATCTCTTCCTTTGATAGATTCAATGCCTCATTGTCGCCGATGTTGGTACCCGAGTGCCCGAATAGCCACCATAAACCAAGAGAATCAACGGCCAGGATCCAATCCTCGTCCTCTGCTGCGTCATCCGCCACAACCGCCGCCCAGAACTCTCTGCTGCAGCCCTCGTCCACGTCAGCGCAGTCCTCCGCTTGCCACGTGTGCAGGGCGGCTACAGCCGTGGCAGCAGCCGCATCTGTGGCGCGCCTGAGCGCCTCCCAGAGGGCGACGCCAGCAGAGGGCGCCACAGCGCGAATGATGAAGTCAGCATGTGCTGCTGCTGCTTCGGCTGTAGCACGAGGGGCGGCTGTAGCAGCAGTCGCGGATGTAGCATGAGGGGCGGATGTAGCGTCGGCGTTGGTTGTAGCGCCAGAGGCGAGTGCAGCAGAAACGGCGGATGTAGCTTCCCTTCTCGACGAGGAGGCTAGTAGCACATCTGTAGCGCGCGAGTTGGATGGGGAAGTGGCTTCTCCTTGGGGATTGCCGCGAAGGGGAGACGCTACAACCGGCGCTACAGCCGCTACAGCAGGGGCGCCGGCTCGAACACCCGCTCCAGATGCAACAGTCGGTGCAGCGCGGCTTCGAAGCTTTCGATTTTCCTCCACTTCTGGGATTTGATTCTCCCCCAGCTGGGTCGGATTCCGCTGCTGGGCCGCCTCCCAGATCGTCGGACGCACCGCTCGGCTCCACGTCGACCCCGTCGATACTGCCACAGGCGCCGCCTCCGTCACTCTCGATATTGTCACATCCAGAGTTGACTGAATGTGCGCTTCTCTCCCCTCCGCCGTTAATTCCGCCGTTTCCGTCGTTTCCGCCGCGTGCCCCGCGTGAATCGTGACGCAATGGAAGTTTGAAGTCACCGGGGCCGCCACTAACCCGCTTCTTCCGCCGCCATTCACGCCGCGTCTGCCGCTCCGCCCCCTCTCCCTTGGGGATTGTGGATGATCCAGTCTGGCCGGCGGCTGCGGCGCTTCGTATCCGTCTCACACGGCGGAGGGTGCGGGTCAATCCGGTGGCGTCGCATGAGCGACCGAGGCGCTGTTGACGAGCCATGGCTTTCAGCGTTCCGCCGCGAATGCCGTTTATTAAGAGCAAGCAAAAAGAACTGTTTACGCGCGGGAGTACAGAACAGGTGAATAATAAGTTTTTGGATATGTCTCGTGCTGGCCTTACATGCTGGCAGGGAGTCAACGAGTGACACACTGATGCTTCAGTTTCCGCGAGTTAGTAGTCTATTATACTATACGTCTGACGCGCCGCCACTGCTACTCTGCTGCTTCCTCAACCATCAGAATAGTCCGAAAACGCCGTGTCCCCGAAACTCACGATGTGCGACATTTTGCTCGAAGGTTACTACTTCGCGAACTACCACCAATTATCGGCTTCTGGCGAATATGAGATGGGTTACTTCTTCGTCTGCATTCTCGAGAATGCGTCTGGCTGAGGTTTGACATAGATGTTGTCCGCATTGACTCGGCTTCGACCTAGTGGACTGGCTTGGTGGGTGGCTTGGGTTACACGCGAAAACGAAGATATCTAATTGGTCGCTGTCGCTACGGGGTTTACGCAAGCAGGATTTCAATATGTGCTCCGCTGTAAGAGTTCTCGGCACACTATGCATAAGTGCAGAGTGAATCTTGAAATTTCGGAAAAGGTATATTATTGCGTTACACATCATTTGCCGGCTTTGGCGAAAGTGGCGAGCAGGTCCACGTCAGGTGCGTGGCGAGTGACTCCACTCCACTCCAACCAGAGCTGGTTGTGGGCGGCACAGACACTCGGGACTTTTCTGTTATTACAGAAGAGTAGAGTACATTTCAGTACGGTTCAGAGCAGTAATTGAACCTCTGAACTGAACATGCACGTCGTTCGGTGCTACAGTGTGGGTTGGAGGTGCTTGGTTCATTCGAAGACCGCTCCTGCGAAACATTGCAGAAACGCACTGTACCCACGAGAAATGACTCTTTTACCGATTGAACAGTGGTCTGGTCTCACAACCTTCCGTTTTCCACGCATCAGGGAAAGCACAAGATCACCCGCATTGGGGAGCAGTGTGCACTAGACAAGTTTTCCAGCCTAACTACGACTTATCTCGTTGCTGCATGCTAGTTCATCCACTTCATCCCTTCCCTACGTAGTAATCCCTTGTCCATTGCGGAAGCGTAAGGCTCGTAGCTATCAGCCTCTCCCGCAGTCGGCGTAGCGACAGAACTCAGGGTGACACAAACTCCCACCAACTCCCGTTACCCTGAGTTCGGTAGGCCGAGTCTACTACCTTCGAAGCGCTCTCTTTTCGCTAAAAAATCCGTACCTCTACCTTCTCGTGAAACGCATTGCTAGGACCGCTGCACTTCCCCCCCATTATTCTCAATGGCCCTCTCGTTATTATCACAACCTCCAGGAGGCGTTGTTGATTGATTAAGAATCGTAGCTTGTAAGTTCTCTTAGGAAGTTTTCGACCGTGACTGGCGATCGTATGTGTGACCTCATAGGCCGGCATTATTGTGGGCTAAGCGAAAGCCCTACGGCTCGACGACTTTTGGTAACTTGTTCCGCATTCTAATTGGTTCGCCGACTGATTGGTTCGCCTTATAATGGGTCCGATACGGCATCACAGAGCCGTCTTTCGACCCCGACCGATGCCGCGTCTTCAAATGCCGTGTGATAGGTTGCCGTTTCTATGCTAATCTACTTACGAAAGTCCGTTTGACGAGCCCGTCGCGCCTCTTATCTGTCAGCAACTCGAACCTTTCCAGCCGTCGTTCTCGTGTCTAGACTCGCTAGGAGCAGCAGCAGCAGCAACAGCAGAAGCAGAAGCAAAATCAGAAGCAGAAGCAGCGGCAGCAGCCGAAGCAGCAGCGGCAGTGACTTGACCTAACAGTGGCTTTTCTAACGGTCATAAAATCCGGGCGGCGCGCACCGGAGAAGGCATGGGAGGGTGCTTATCGGTGGAGGTGATTGCAGAGAGCGCGCCGAGTTCGCCCCTCGCTACTGGCACATCCACCACGCCCCGATCCCGTGCTTATCCCGCCGCTTCCAGCCCTGGTGGTAACCAGCGATTCGCGACAGGGTTTTCACCACGAACGCCGCGGGGAGATGGGAATGGGGACGAGTCGGAGGGGAACGGAGCAGGGGGAGGAGGGGTGGCGGGCGGAGGGGGGAAGTTTAGAAGAGGAGCGGGGAGGGGGAAAGGGGTGGGGAGAGGGATTGGCGGAGCTAAGTCTGTGTCTAACGACGGGGGGAGAGGGGGCGGAGGGGGCGGAGGGTGGGGAAGGGGAGCGGAGAGCCAGGGGGGGGCGGTAGGAAGAGGGAATGGAAGAGGGGGAGGAGAGGGGGATGGGTACGGCGGAGGTGGTGGGGGGTTGGCAGCACCACAGAGCGTGCCAGTGGGGCACGCAGCAGCTGGTGTCACAACAGGTAGGGATGCATGTCTGCTCTGCTCTTTTCCCCTCTCAAGTGTGTTCTCATCGACTCAAAATCCACAAGGGTACGGCGGAAGCGGTGGGTTGGGAGCACCGCAGAGCGTGCCTGTGGGGCACGCAGCAGCTGGTGTCGCAACGGGTAGAGAGGGCTGCTCTGTCTGCATTAACCTTTCCAATCTCCACCGTTAGATCCCACCTCCACCAACTTTGCCGCCCCTTTTTCCCCGTCGGCCCCGCTCTTCCCCCAACTAACCCTCGTGCTCCCCTTTCCCTTCCCCCCCCGCTCCCAACATGTGTCCGCTCAGGCAAACCTAGAGTAAACCCTCCCACCTCAGATGCCACCTCCTCCTATTCTATTCCTGAGGCGCCTCCCCCCCCTTGCCCCTACCCTCTTCTGGCCCGCACGTGTGCCTTCCTCTCCTCACAGGCAACCCTAGGTTAGAAGCAACCACCTCAGATGCCACCTTTACCCCCTCCCCTCCCCCCTCATCTCCCCCTGCTCCCCAACATGTGTGTTTGCAGGCAACCCTAGGCTAGAAGCAACCACCTCAGATGCCACCTCCACCAACTCTATTCCTGAGGCGCCTCCCCTCCTTGCCCGTACCCTCTTCTGCCCCTCAATGTGTGTCCTCCTCTCCCCACAGACAACAATAGGTCAGAATTAACCACCTCAGATGCTTCCTCCAACCCCTCCTCTTCGCCACATCCCCCCCTCCTCCCCAACATGTGCCTTTGCAGGTAACCCTAGATTAGCTGCAACCACCTCAGATGCCACCTCCACCAACTCTGCCGGCCTCTCCGCTCTCCCCGTTCTCTCCCTCCCCTTCCCCCTCTCCCCCCCCTGAATCCCTAACGTGTGTTCTCCGCACAGGCAACCCTAGGTTAGACCCACCCACCTCAGATGCCACCTCCACCAACTCCATTGCTGATGCGCCTAAATCACAGCCCAGCCCCTCTCCTCCCTTCCCCAACCCCGCTCTGCCCATACCTTTCCCCGCCCCTACCCTCCCCTGTCCCCCTACCCTCCGCTACCCTTCCCTCCCCTCACAGGCAACCCTAGGTTAGAAGCAACCACCTCAGATGCCACCTCCACCAGCTCTGCCGGCCTCTCCGCCTCCCTTCCCCCACCCCTACCCTCCCCTGTCCCCCTACCCTCCCCTGTCCCCCTACCCTCCCCTGTCCCCCTACCCTCCCCTGTCCCCCTACCCTCCCCTGTCCCCCTCCCTCAGATGCCGCCTCCACCAGCTCTGCCGGCCTCTCTGCCTCCCAGTCGATGCCGTCGGACGGGCGGGGCGCCGCGCGCAAGTTCCGCCGATGCGCCGAACTCACAGATCTGCCGCCCTTCCCCCCCTGCCTTTCTCCCTCAGATGCCACCTCCACCAACTCCACCGTTTCTGCCTCGCAGTCCATGCCGTCAGACGGGCGGGGCGCCGCCCGCAAGCTCTCCTTCCAACTATCCCTCGTTCTCCCCCTCCCATCCCCCCCTTTTCCCCCCGCTCCCCAACATGCGCAAGCTCTCCCATCCACCAACTCCACCGTCTCCACCTCCCAGTCGATGCCGTCCGAAGGGCGGGGCGCCGCGCGCAAGTTCCGGCTGCACGAGCTGCGGGCGGCGACGTCGTCTTTTAGCAAGAAGGCCGTGCTGGGGCGGGGCAGCTTCGGGGAGGTGTATCTGGGGAAGCTGGCGGGGCATGAGAGCAAGGAGGTGGTGGAAGTGGCGGTGAAAAAGCTGAATCCGGAGAGTTCACAGGGGCTTGATGAGTGGCTGGTGAGTGGGATGGGATTGTGCTGTGCTGGTTGTTGTACTAGGCAGGGCATCATGGGGCGGGTGTGCTTCGGGGAGGTGTGTCTGGGGAAGCTGGGTGGGAAGGAGAGGAAGGAGGTGGTGGAAGTTGCAGAAACTCAATCCGGAAAGCTCACAAGGGCTGGATGAATGGCTGGTGAGTGGGATGGGATGGTTTTGAACGCCTGTATACATACAGCCTACAGGCAGGTGTGCTTCGGGGAGGTGTATCTGGGGAAGCTGTCGGGGAATGAGAGCAAGGAGGTGGTGGAAGTGGCGGTGAAAAAGCTGAATCCGGAAAGCTCTCAGGGGCTTGATGAATGGCTGGTGAGTGGAAACGTGTTGTGCTGGTCTTGCTGGCATTAGGTTGGGCAGGGCACCTATGGGTAGGTGCATCTGGGGAAGGTGCGCGGGAAGGAGAGTGGGGAGGTGGTGAAGTGGCCGTGAAGAAACTGAACCCTGAGATCTCTCAGGGGCTAGACGAATGGCTGGTGAGTGAAAAAGGGGCTGTTTTCTGATGCCTCGGTAGCTGTAGGGAAGCTGGCGGGGAATGAGAGCAAGGAGGTGGTGGAGGTGGCTGTGAAAAAGCTCAACCCTGAAAGTTCACAAGGGCTGGATGAATGGCTGGTGAGTCCCGAGTCGTCTCATTGTGACTCACATACAATGAACCCAAAAGTTCACACACAGGGCTTTGAAGAGTGGCTGGTGAGCGAATGGGGGCTGTTTTCGACTTATGGGGAATGACAACTTCGGGAAGGTGTACCTGGGGAAGCTGCACCGCCCCAACCTGGTGTAGCTGGTTGGCGCTCACTCTTCCCTTAACCTCCCTTAACCTGGTTATTACCTCTCATTCCTTCCCCCATCTTCGTCCCCCATCTGTCCACCCCCATCTTTCCTTCCAGGCGGAGATAGCGCTGCTAAGGAAGCTGCATCACCCCAATCTGGTCGAGCTGATAGGCTACTGCGCCGAGAAGGGCGAGGCTATTGTAACTCCCTGCCACCTTTCCCTTCCCTGCCAACTGTTCGTCTTCCCTGCTCCCATCCCACTCCTCCCTCCCAGGCGGAGATAGTGCTGCTGAGGAAGCTGCATCACCCCAATCTGGTCGAGCTGATAGGCTACTGCGCCGAAAAGGGCGAGGCGCTACTGGTGTACGGGCTGTGCCCCAATGGGAGCCTGGATGATCGGTTATTCCCCCGTGAGTTTTATGTCTTGCAGCATGCAGTCATGCATTTCATGCGTGTCATGCACTACATGCGCACATACACACACATATACCAGTGGCGAGGCGCTGCTGGTGTATGGGCTGTGCCCTAATGGGAGCCTGTACGACCGATTGTTCCCCCGTGAGTGAGCAGAATTGAATTGCACGTGCACACATGCGCACATGCACACACGCACGCACGCACGCACGCACACACGCACGCACGCACACATGCACACACGCGCACACGCACGCACGCACACATGCACACATGCACAGACGCGCACACGCACGCACGCACACATGCACACATGCACGTACGCACACATGCACACATGCACACACGCACACACGCACACACGCACACACGCACACACGCACACACGCACACGCGCACACAAGCACACATGCATGCATCGTCACACCTCCCCGCACATGCCAGTGACGAGGCATTGCTGGTGCATGGGTTGTGCCCCAATGGGCAGCCAGGATGACTGCCTCTTTGCATCCTCACCTCCCCACACATGCATTCTCATTCACCTATCTCACCCTTCCCGTGCGTGCATGCAGGCAGGGCGGGAGAATGAGATCATTGACTGGCCCACAACGGGTGAGGATCGCATGGGGACGCCGTTCACATCCGGGGGGTTCACATCACCCTGCTCCCCCGTTTCCCCGTCCCACCCACCCTACCCCCTCGTCCTCCCATCCCCTCCCGTGCATGCACACAGGGAGAGAGAGTGACATCATCGACTGGCCCACGCGCGTATGGGTAGCTGAAAGGGCATCTGTCTTATTGGCCCTCCCTCGTCCTCCCGTCTCCTCCCGTGCACGCACACAGGGCGGGAGAGTGCCATCATTGACTGGCCCACGCGTTTGCGGGTACTTGAAAGGGCATCTGTCTCATCTCAGTGGCCCTTCCCCTCTCGTCCTTCCATCTCCTCTTGTCCTCCCATTTCTTCACATGTGTGCACACAGGGCGAGAGAGTGACATCATCGACTGGCCCACGCGCGTGCGGGTAGGGAGCAGCGTTCACATCACCCGTTTTCCCGTTTCCCCTTACCGCCTTGTCCTCTCATCCCCTCCTGTGCATGCAGGGCGGGAGAGTGACATTATTGACTGGCCCACGCGCGTGCGGGTAGCGCAGGGAGCAGCGCAGGGGCTGCTACATCTGCACGAGAACAAGGTCATTCACCGGGACTTAAAGCCCTCCAACATCTTGCTGGATAAGGTAGGCATTCTAGGCCGAACAGTAGGGTGTGATACAGTGATGCTGTTGCTGCATCAGCACGAGAACACGCATCACGGATTTCGGCATGGCGAAGCAGTCAGCCAGTAGTGCGAGCCACGCAAGCGCTGCACACCCCCCCCCCCCCGTTCCCCCCCATACAACCCACCCTTCCGCCCATCATGACATGCAAACGCGCAATACATACTTCGGCATGGCGAAGCAGTCGGCGAGCAGCGTGAGCCACACATGCAGCACGCACCTCTCTTTCCATGACCCCGTGCCCCCTCCCCCTCCTCCCCCCACCTCGCACACCTTTCTCTCCCCTCGCCCCTCTCCCTTTCCCTCTCCACCAGGACATGCGCGCATCACGGATTTCGGCATGGCGAAGCAGTCAGCGAGCAGCGTGAGCCACATCACAACGCGTGTGAGCCACATCTCAACGCGTGTGAGCCACATCTCAACGCGTGTGAGCCACATCTCAACGCGTGTGAGCCACATCTCAACGCGTGTGAGCCACATCTCAACGCGTGTGAGCCACATCTCAACGCGTGTGAGCCACATCTCAACGCGTGTGAGCCACATCTCAACGCGTGTGAGCCACATCTCAACGCGTGTGAGCCACATCTCAACGCGTGTGAGCCACATCTCAACGCGTGTGAGCCACATCTCAACGCGTGTGAGCCACATCTCAACGCGTCTGAGCCACATCTCAACGCGTGTGAGCCACATCTCAACGCGTGTGAGCCACATCTCAACGCGTGTGAGCCACATCTTGATCCCGAGGAGAGACTGGGTGCTCTGTGTGTGCAGCACGCGCCTCCCTCCACCCTCCAATTCCCCCATTCCCCACCTCCCCCTTTTCCCCCCTCCCCCTTTTCCCTCCCAGGACATGCAAGCGCGCATCACGGATTTCGGCATGGCGAAGCAGTCAGCCAGCAGTGTGAGCCAGACTAGCAGACACAGAGCAGCACACGCCTCTGTCAGACTAGAAGGCGGGTAGCCTGTGTGCGCCTCCTCCCCCCCGCCTTCTACCCACCATCTTCTCCTCTGTCCCCCCCAGGACATGCAAGCGCGCATCACGGATTTCGGCATGGCAAAGCAGTCAGACAGCAGTGTGAGCCACATCTTGAGTCGAGAGGCCGGTGAAACACACTCACTTTTGAGTCGACTCAAAAGTCATCTTGAGTCGAGAGGCCGGTGAAACACACTCACAACTCTCCACCCTCTCCCCTTGCACCCCCTGGTCCTCCCCGGTTCCCCTGTCTCGCCATACCACCTGCCAGGACATGCAAGCGCGCATCACGGATTTCGGCATGGCGAAGCAGTCAGCCAGCAGCGTGAGCCACATCTCAACGCGTGTGATGGGCACCATGGGGTACCTGGACCCTGAATACATGGAGACGGGGTGTCTGCGGGACAAGAGCGATGTTTACTCCCTTGGCGTCATCCTCTTACAGGTACGCACTTCATAGGGTGTTGTGCCCGTGCGTGTAGCAACCATGCTACTGTGAGTGATGGGCACCATGGGGTACCTGGACCCTCTGAATACATGGTGAGACGGGGTGCTTGCGGAATAAGAGCGACGTTTATTCCCTCGGAGTCATTTTGTTACAGGTACGGTATGGCCTATGGGTGCATGTGAGGGTTAGCAGTGTGAGTAAGTGAACCAAGGACGGCAACGTGAAAAGCTAGTGGCTTGGCTTGGAAGGTATAGATGTTTTGAGTCGACTCAGAACATGCTCGTTGTCATTCTGTTACAGGTGTGAGATGGCCGATGGGTGCATCTGCGGGTTGGTATAGAGCAGTGTGTGTGAGCCAAGAATGGCAACGTGAAAAGCTAGTGGCTTGGCTTGGAAGGTACAGTGACTAGGTGACTTTTGAGTCGACCCAAAAGTCACCTCGGTCGGAAGGTATAAACAGCACAGCAGTGACTCACATTATTGTCTCCGTCTCTCTTCTTCCCTCTCATTCCCCTTCAGATGCTAACAGGCCGGGATGCTGTTTCCAAAGAAGGCAATGTGAAGCTCGTGGCATGGATGGGGCCGCACCTGCACCCGAACGTTACCGAACCTGACGCTTGGATCGACCCGAACCTGCAGGGCAGGTTCTCCCGGCGGGGCGCCAAGATGCTGGCAGCTGTGGCGAAGCAGTGTTCCGCCCGGCACAAGGAGGATCGGCCAGAGATGAGTGACGTGGCACAGGCGCTCATGTCCGTGCCTCTTGCTGATTGACTTCGGTTGACTTGGGTTGACCCGGGTTGACTTGGGTTGACCCGGCTTGACTTGGGTTGACCTGAAGCCAGCAGCTGTGGGAAAGCAAGGCGCAGTCCGGCACAAGGAGGATCGACTGGAGATGAGTGACGTGGCGCAAGGTTTGATGTCCGTGCCTGTTTCTGACTGATTGACTTGGGTTGACTTGGGTTGACTTGGGTTGACTTGGCACTGGTGGGGTGAGAACTTGGAAGCCGTGACGAAGCCGTGCGCCGCCCGAAACAACCCTGCCAGGAGATGGAGACTCCTCCTCATCACCCTTCTAACCCTGAAACGAGGATGACTGGCTGGAGAGGAGACGAGTGACAAGGCAGGGGCACTCATCATGAGTGTGCCTCTTGGCGGTCGATTGACTCTCGTTGACTTTGGTGGACTTGGCTTGGCGCTGGTGGGATGGGATGAGTCATGGTGCACGTGGACTTGGCAGGGGCACTCATCATGGGTGTGCCTCTTGGCGGTCAACAGCAGTGGCACAAACAGACCTCTTCCCTGCTGCTGACTGGGGGATGTGGTGTCAGCTGGCGGTGGCTGTGGCAAGGCAAGGCTTCAATGGGTGTACTCTTGAAATAATGTAACACACCCACCCACATACATTCTCTGCAAAAAGCTTTCACGTAGCCTTGCAGGTATAAATGCCCTGGTGTGGGAAGCTAATAATGTCATGTTTTTTGTAAGCCCTTTCACTTCCTCGAAGAATGGAGTGCTGTAGAAGCACTTGCACGTCATGGCGGAGAATGGTCATTATGCGTAATTACAATTCCTGACGCTTCCATGACCAATCTACTGAAGTAAGGAAGTCCGGGAGAAATCAGGGCACGGTATGGTACCGGTACTGTGTGGTAGGAAAGCCCATCATAATAAGGTATGTGGCTCACCTCACCAATTTATGTACGCCAGAAGAAATGGTTGTGGCTTGTTATGAAAAGACAGCTCCCAAGTTTCCAACCCAGCTGATTCTATCGCTGTCATTCTAGCCGACATTCTCCTAGCTACCATACGGTAAGTCTAAAAGCATTTCTATAGCTCATCTTCGCACAACATCTGGTCTTCACATGTGGCCACTCTCAACCCTGTCCGGATTCGCTGAATGTCCTCGGTAAAAGACGACGCAGCCGTCCCAAGAAACACATCCGCCAGCGCACAAACCGCCTTGTCTAAAGTCACCCGCACCACCCCCGCATGCTCAAACCGGTACGGCACCAGCACCTGCGCCCAAGCCTGCGCGTCCAGGTTCGGCGGAAGCTGCATCAGCCGCAGGTCCGGCCAGTGGGACAGAACAGCTCCGGTTAACTCCGCCACCTCAGCAGGTTCGGCGTCAGTGGCTAGGAAAACGGTGCTGAGGTTGCCGGATTTCGCCATGCGGTCGGCAATGCATCTGGCAGTGCGGTTGATGGTGAGATGGGAGCCTGAGTCCTGGAAGCTGGTAACCAGGTCCTTTCGTCGCCAGTGAATCGCCATGTAGCGACGATGATAACTCCGCGCATTCTCACCGCTGCTACCGCTGGTACTACTGGTATTAGTATTAGTGCTACCCCCACTAGCAGCAGCAAGTGCTGATGGTAGAGTGTTCTCAGGCGCTGTATTGCTGCCCTGCTCCTCCCCTTCCCTGCTGCTCTCTGCGCTGCTGTTCATCCCCTTTAGAAGCACATCCGTTACAAACCGGCTGGCAGCTTCGAAGATCGCCGGGTGGGGCTGAATCGCCAGTTTATTCGGGCAGCCCGGGCGGCAAAAAAACGGCACGTCAATCTGCCTGTGAAAAGTCTCATCAAACAGCGACGAGCCCAGATCCCCCATCGCAATAATATCGGCCGACGGGAAGATCAAATCCCCGATTCTCTTGATATCTGTGATGTTGATCGAGTGGTCCGGAGGCAGGTTGGCATCGGTGAAAGTTAAAGCCTCGTATGAGACCCCTCCGAGAGTGGGGAGGACTGTGGGCAGGCCCCAGCCTGGTTGATAGTAGCAGTTTGTGAACGGGCACACCACCTGGGTTACTATTATGTCTGCTTCTGCTGTGCCGCCTGCTGCTGCCGCCGCCGCCGCTGCCGCCGCCGCTGCTGCTGCTGCTGCTGCTGCTGCTGCTGCTGCTGCTGCTGCTGCTGCTGCTGCTGCTGCTGCTGCTGCTGCTGCTGCTGCTGCTGCTGCTGCTGCTGCTGCTGCTGCTGCTGCTGCTGCTGCTGCTGCTGCTGCTGCTGCTGCTGCTGCTGCTGCTGCTGCTGCTGCTGCTGCTGCTGCTGCTGCTGCTGCTGCTGCTGCTGCTGCTGCTGCTGCTGCTGCTGCTGCTGCTGCTGCTGCTGCTGCTGCTGCTGCTGCTGCTGCTGCTGCTGCTGCTGCTGCTGCTGCTGCTGCTGCTGCTGCTGCTGCTGCTGCTGCTGCTGCTGCTGCTGCTGCTGCTGCTGTTGCTGCTGTCGATGCCACTACCGCCATTGCCGCTGCTTCTCGCGGCTCTTCTCTCCGCCAACAGCTCATCGAGGGTGATGACGGTGCGGGGCCCGTAGCAGCGGTGCACGTGGGGGAGGTGGAAGAACACGCGCCGGTCGTAGCTGCCGTTCACCTCTGATGCCCGGAATGGGGCGACGAGCGTGCGATTGAGCACACCGGCTACGATCAGATAATTGCGGATGCACCGAATGCGGTTAGATACCTGAGGGATTCGGGGAGGGGTGAGGAGCGGGAAGGAGGGGGGGGAAAGGAGGGGGGCATGGGACTGGGTTTGCATGTGCGGGGCAAGGAGCAGCGGTGCATGTGGGGGAGGTGGAAGAACACGCGCCGGTCGTAGCTGCCGTTCACCTCTGATGGCCGGAACGGAGCCACCAGTGTGCGGTTCAGAACCCCGGCTACGATGAGGTAGTTGCGGATGCAGCGAATGCGGTTGGATACCTGATAAAGGGGGGATTTGGGGGAGGGGTGAGGAGCGGGAAGGGGGGGGGGAAGAGGGGGGGCATTGGACTGGGTTTGCATGTGCGGGGCAAGGAGCAGCGGTGCATGTGGGGGAGGTGGAAGAACACGCGCCGGTCGTAGCTGCCGTTCACCTCTGATGGCCGGAACGGCGCCACCAGCGTGCGGTTGAGTACGCCCGCTACGATTAGATAGTTTCGAATGCAGCGAATGCGGTTGGAAACCTAATAGGAGAGGAGACGTGGGGAGAAGGCAGGTAACTGGTTCTGCTTCAAATCTCTAGACGAACGAGCGTGCAGTTGGGAACACCAGCCACGATTAGATAGTTGCGGATGCAGCGAATGCGGTTGGACACCTGAAAGGAGAGGGAGGAGAGGGAAGGGGGGGTAGGAGGGGAGTGGGTTGCGTCAAGGCAGATCAACAACCGTGCGGTTGAGAACGCCTGCCACTATGAGGTAGTTGCGGATGCAGCGAATGCGGTTGGATACCTGTAGGGGGGGGGGGGGAGGGGAGGGGGAGGTGACTGGATATGTATCAAGCCAAACCAACCAGTGTGCGGTTTAGGACCTATGAGGTAGTTGCGGATGCAGCGAATGCGGTTGGACACCTGGGGGATTTTTGGGGGGGGGGGGATTAAGGAGGGGCAGGGGACTGGATATGTATCAAGCCAAACGAACGAGCGTGTTGTTTAGGACTCCCGCCATTATGAGGTAGTTGTGGATGCAGCGAATGCGGTTGGACACCTGTAGGGGAGGGGAGGTGGGGAGGAGGAAGGATGGGGGCATTGGACTGGATGTGCGTCAAGGCAGATCAACGAGCGTGTGGATTAGGACCCCTGCCACTATGAGGTGGTTGCGGATGCAGCGAATGCGGTTGGACACCCGGTAAAGGGTGCGGGGGAGGAGCGAGAGGGAAGAGAGGGTTAGGCGGTTCAGTGTGGTTGAAGGCAGATCCATGAGCGTGCGGTGCGGTTGAGCAACCCCTGCCACGATTAGGTAGTAGCGGATGCAGCGAATGCGGTTGGACAGCTGGTAAAGGATGGGGTAAAGAAGCAAGAGGGGAGAGGGCGCGCGCAAGGGGGCTGGATGTGCTTGAAGCCAGATCAACGAGTGTGCAGTAGAGCACCCCGGCCACAATTAGGCAGTTGCGGTTGCGGATGCAGCGAATGCAGTTGGACACCTGATAAAGGGTGGGGCGGAGGAGGAAGAGGGGAGGAGAGAGGTAGGCGGCTCAGTGTGGTCGAAAGGCAGATCCACGAGTGTGCGGTTGAGAAACCCTGCCACCGCAGTAGTCGGTATTGTGGATGGAGTCAATGTGGTTAGACACCTCACCTGATGCGGTAGGGCAGGGGGACGGGGGTGCTGGGGGCAAGGGGAGTGGGTGTGACTTTTTTTCAAAACTCTCTCAAAAGTGACTCCGAAATAACTGGGTGTGCATGCAAAAGCGATCTCCCACCTCTCACTCGCACCTGGTTCCGCTGGCAGTCCATGAGGGTATACCTGTCAGGCTGCGGCTCCCACGCTAGAAAGCCATCCGAGAAGCCGCCCTGCCACGGCCAAGCGTTGAACAGCCCTCTCTAGTTTGAGCACCGCCCCACTCCCTTGCTCTCTCCCCTCTCATAACCCGCACCTGGTTCCGCTGGCAGTCCATGAGAATGTACTTGTCTGGCTGTGGCTCCCACGTCAGAAAGCCATCCGAGAAGCCCCCCTCCCAGGGCCACGAATTGAACAACCCCCCCTTGTCCGAGCACCGCCCCTCCTGCCTTGCTCTTTGAATCTCCGACCACCGCTGCTCCTTTGATACCTGGCGACCCCTGGCAGGGAGATGAGAAGAGGAGGGGTGTCACGGGATGGGAGTTCCATACAATACTGGGCCAGCGGAAAGTAAGCACACTGCCCCTCCTGCCTCGCTCTCTGAAGCTCTGCCCACCGCTGCTCCTTTGACACCTGGCGACCCCTGGGAGGGAGATGGGAGCACGTTTGGAGTTGGAATGAGAGGAAACTGCTGCGTCAGGGGAAATAGAATGGAGCTCTGACCACCGCTGCTCCTTTGATACCTGGCGACCCCTGGCAGGGAGATGTGGCATGCATGGGGAGGGGTTTCTTGGCATGAGAGCTTAATAGTAGGCCAGGGAAAATAGAGACACTGCTCCGCCTCCCTGGCTCTAGAGAGCTTCAGCAGCCAAAAGGGTGACGAGGAGGAGGGAGGGAGGCAGGCGAAAGCAGTAGGTGGATAGAGTGGAAGAAGCACGCACCAGTCAACTCGTACGCTAGGAGACTCAACCTCCCCCGTTGCTACATTGGACGAGTTTGGTTCGGTAACAGGTTCGGACAATGCTGACGAGGCTGGGGCGGAAGGAGGCAGGGCAGGAGAAGAGGCGGATGCTGCAGCGAGCTCTCGCTCCAATTGATTCACTCTCCCTATAGTCACACCCGGGAGTTCTGAGTCGAGTTGAGCGAGGGACGGATCGGACGGTGCAGCTGAGGTGTCTGTGGATGGCTGCAGATGGTAACAGGATGGTCAGAAGATGAAGTAAGAATAATGAAGCAAACGACTCGTGGAGCTGAGATATCTGAGCAAGGGACGGATCGGACTGTGGAGCTGAGAGGTCTGTGGATGGCTGCACATGGTTACAGGGCGGTCATATGATGAAAAAAGAGTGATTGATTGGATGCAGATAATTCGTAGGGATCAAAAGGAATTTGCCGAGGCAGCAAATGCTGATGTTAACGCGTATGAATGATTGCTGTAGTCCAGGTGGATATGAGGACATCGATTGATGTGGATGTGAGGAAGACGAAACGTATGCGCACTGTGGTATGGCGGAATGCTCTCTAGGCAACAATAGTGTGAATGGAAAATTGAGCAATCGAGCACGCGAGGAGGCGCGGAACTGGGATGCCATTGAGGGGAAATTGATTATGAGACGTTTCAAAAGAGGAGATACGGAACTGGGATGCCACCAACGGGAAATTGCTCTGACCTGCTGCGCAAAAACGGCGAGGGAGAGCGTGAGGAGGACGAAAAGAGGAGGCGGGAGCGCCGGAGAGAACTTCCATAGTAGTCTACGTCTCGAAACTAAAGGAGAACACCTCCTCGGAGAGAGAGCCGAGGCGAAAGCAACAAGTGGAAGGTGGACGGCCCCGTGTAATAACGGCGTAGATTTTTTAGTCGACTCAAGAATCGGGCCGAAAGTACCAAGTGGATCCGGGGCGGCCTTGTGGAGTAACGGCGTACGGATGAATCCGCGAACCATGACAGACGCCTCAAAACTACAGGAGAGAGCGCGGAGGCAGCAGTGACAAATGCTGGGGGACGTCCTTATGACGATCTACTAGTACGGGCTTTTCTTGGTGGTGCTAACGGTGTACGGATTAATTCGCGAGTCATCACTGACGCTGAAAACTATAGGAGAGCGCGCGGAGATAGCAGGGAGAAATGCTGCGCATATACTAAAACGGGTTTCTCTGGTAGTTAACTGAGAAAATGGCGAACCAGCAGTATCCGTTGCTTGGAATGGCAAAGCGCGTTCAGCCGCTCGCGAGGGCTACGAAATCGGTTACCAACCGTTTGCGTAGTTATTGCGGCTATGAGGAACCTCCCATGCTAGACACAATCCAGTTATATATAATTAATTCCTGGCAAGTGAAATGAGGATCGTCATGATCAGGGGAGAAAGGTTGCCATACCTCGGGTATTCCGCGTCATAAAGTTATCTGTGAAGGGGACGAGTTCATTTCCATCTGTTGGGCTCCAATTGTCGAGGGCGCATTCCTGTCTCGTGTCAAACTCCCTTGAATCAATTTGAATTTCAGCCTCGCGTTTAGAGATGCCTAACATTAACCTTGAGGATCCGCGAAATAGGTTCTAGTATCCACTAAAAAATGCAGGCTGCGATCTGGAAATGTCCAGTATTCAGAATCACCATGAGCAGTTGACGTTTATCTAAAAACAGAGCTCAGCTTTGTAACCTCATTCGCACTTAACCTTCCAGAGCTGAGATGGGTGTGAGGCTTCACAAAACCTTCACTCTTCCCGTACCCTCCCTGACAAAGCAGCAGCTACAGATCACTCTCGAGAGTCGCAGATTCGAGAAACTCAAAACTTAGCGAGCGATAGGTAACGATAGCGAGCTGTCATGCTAGCGACTCATCCAGCCGCTACTTGGTTCTTTGATCTCGTAACCTGAAGCCGATTGCCTTGGTCAGCCGGCTTGTCTGATCCACCCCTCTGAACGAGTTGCTGTCTGATCGTTTGCCAGTCCCCCTGTGTGCAGACCGATCCACCTAGATTTTGCCGTGACGCGATTTGCCGTCACCACCCGCCATTCAGTTGCTTCGCTCAGACTTATTTCCCAAGTAACAACCTAAACGTTGCCGAAGATGGCACGTGCAGCCATCGCCGCTCACCATTCCCCCCGTAACGCAATAAGGCACAAGTGTTCTCGCTAGCATCACATGCGTTAGAACCGCACGCGGGCGAGCTCGGGAGCTCGGGCGAGCGCCGATCAGCAAGCTCTCAGAATTCTATAGGGAGTCCGAATTCTCTGGTCTTGCCGCCATGGCAGTTAACCCGCCCCCTCCTTCCGCAGCCTTCCCCGCATCGTCCCCCTTTTCCGCCTCCGCACCTTTTTTATCCGCCAATCCCCCGATGTTCTCCGCTTCCGCGCCCGCGGATTCCGCCGCGCCGTCCCCCGTCCGCCCGCACAAGCCCACCGGCCGGCACGGCGCGACCGACCAGCAACGGCGGCGCGAGCTCGCTCTGGAGCGGCAGCGCGCCGCGCGGCGGGATCTCCAGCTGCACGCGCGGCACGTGGCTCTCGCCGCAACTGGCGCCGTGACTCTCGCGGAGGAGATCGAGGCGCGCGAGTCTGCCGCCGCCGCAGCGCCAGAGACGAAAGAAGTTTCGCCGCTGCTTCCAGAGATATGCGAGTTCGACCAGGCTTCTGGCCAATGGACGAGGATCGACCAAGAGGGATTCAAAATCGACGGCTCAGGGAGACGGATCGAGCAGATCATCTTTAAATCGGACGGTTCCAGCTCTAGAATAGAGCAAACTAGTATCGAAACTAGAATCCATGCAGCGGAAGGGGAAAGCACAGAAGCGGAGGGTGCGTTGGAAGAATCAGGTGGTGGGGAGGGAGTGTTGGGGATGGTGCGTGAAGCGGGAGGGGAGGGTATGGAGATGGATGGGGAGGGGGCTGGAGAAGGGGAGGAGGATAGGGACGAGGATCGTGGGGACCTTGTGGGGATTGAACAGGAGATGAGGGGGTTGTTTGTGCCGCGTGGTGAGGCTGGGGGGAGAAGAGGGAAGGGAGGAGCAGGAGGGGGCGGGCGGGGAGAGAGTGGGGGCGCGGCTGATGCAGAGAGAGGGGTAATAGACGGTGCAAGGGAGTGGTACGCGCAGCAGCTCATGCTGCCCGAGTGGATGGTTGACGTTCCTCCACGACTCGCCTCTGATTGGTCAGTTCTGTTTCCCCCTCTCTCTCACCACTCTTGGTCACTTGTTTTTCCGGCACCCTTTTACTCAAAATACTTCAGAACTCTCCACTTTTGGTCACTTCCTGTTTGCAGAACTCTAGAATTCTCCCCTCCCAGGTCTAGCATCCATTGTCCGTTTTCTTTGTCAAAAGGTTTCTCACATTCCTGTCGCACCATGCCATATTCCCAGGTTCGTGATGCCGCGGCCGGACGGGCGGCGCTGTTTGGTGGTATCTGCCAACGGGACGACAGTGAGCCGCCTGCGCAACGGCCGCATTCACCACCGCTTCCCCTCGCATTTACCCAACGGGGCCAGGGCACCCGGTATCGCTGCTGGCTCCCATGTCTACTGCATTCTGGACTGTATCTTCCATGAGGTGAGTCTGGAAATTCAAGGTTCAGGGTTCAAGCTTTAGGGTTTAGGGTTGCATTCTCCACTGCGTCCCCGCGCGCCTGCCCAACGGGGCCTGGTCACCCAGTATCGCTGCTGGCACACATGTATACTGCATCCCGGACTGGACTGCATCTTTGACGAGGTGAGCGGTTCAGGGTTGAGGGTCTAGGGTTTAGCGATCGAATCCTCCATGGCTTCCCCTCTCGCCTGCCCAACGGAGCAAGAGCGCCTGGTATCGCTGCTGGTGTTCACGTGTACACGTGCATTATGGACTGCATATTTCACAAGGTCAGTGGGCGATTTACTTCTCTGTTTTACTCTCATTGTTGTCGGCACAACAGCACATAGATACTTTGTGTTGGGCGTGATGGCGTGGCACGGCTACTCCTTATGAAGAAACCTCCGTGTTCGTTCCCTCCCCTCACCTATGCCTGCCAGCCCAGCAGCACCTACTACCTGTTAGACGTGATGGCATGGCGCAGTTATTCCCTCTATGACCGCACAACAGAGTTTCGCCTCTTTTGGCTGGACACACACACACTGCCTTTCCCAGCCAGGCGCCATCTGAAGCCAAACACACTTCCGGTTCCCCCTCCCTATCTCCCCCTTGCTCCTCTATGCCTGTCAGCCTAGTAGCACATACTACGTGCTAGACGTGATGGCATGGCGTGGATATTTTCTCTACGACTGCAGTGTGACACTAGCTGAACTCCTGTTCTCCTCCCACCCTTCTCCCCCTTCCTCCCACCTCCCTCCTGTCCCCTGCCAGCCCAACAGCACATACTACGTGTTAGACGTGATGGCATGGCGAGGTTATTCTCTCTATGACTGCACGGCCGAGTTCAGACTCTTCTGGCTGCACACACACCTGCTGCAGCGCAGTGCTGTGTCAGCTGAACTCCTCTTCCTTCCCCGCCTTCCCTCCCCACTTCTCCCTCCTCTCCCCTGCCAGCCCCAACAGCACATACTACGTGCTAGACGTGATGGCATGGCGTGGCTATTCTCTCTATGACTGCACGGCAGAATTCAGACTCTTCTGGCTGCACGCACACCTGCTGCAGTGCGGTGCCTGCGACCCGCCCTCCCACTTCCACCGCTTCCGCTTCGCCCCACGCCCTTCTTTCACTGCCACAGCAACTGAACACCTGTCCCTCCCCCCCTTCCCTGCCCCGCCTCCCCACTCCCCCCTCCTATTCCCTGCCAGCCCAACAGCACATACTACGTTCTGGATGTGATGGCATGGCGAGGCTATTCTCTCTACGACTGCACTGCAGAGTTCAGACTCTTCTGGCTGCACACGCACCTGCCGCAGTGCGGTGCCTGCGACCCGCCCTCCCACTTCCACCGCTTCCGCTTCGCGCCCACGCCCTTCTTTGAGTGCCATCGCCAAGGGCTGGAGGCTGCTTACTGCGGGTGGAGAGAGGCGGGGGGAGGGGCAGCAGGGGCAGGAGGAGCAGGGGAGGCAAGGGGAGCAGGGGGGGAGATGGGGGGAGTGGAGGGAGCAGGGATGGGAGCGGCAGCAGCAGGAACGGGGAGAGCAGCGTCAGTGGGTGATGGCAGTGCCGATGGAATGGTGAACGGTGCACCAGTGCCAGCAGCTACACAAGTGGAGTTCACTCGCGATGGGCTTCTCTTCTACAACCGGTAAGATATCCAACTCGTTCCTTCTGCTGCTGCTCCTCTAGCTCCTTCTCTTGCCGCTCCTCTTGCTCCACCTCTTCCTCTGCCTGCTGCTTCGTTAGTTTCCCCATGTAGTGGTTTGCATGCGGAGGGATACATCACGCATTTAGTTCATCCTTGGCCCACATTAATTCCTCCCACCCTCCCCAACTTCCCCCATTCCTTCTCCCTCCCAGCCACGTGCACTACACGTTGGACCCCATTCTGCTGTAGTGGAAGGATGCAGCGTGCAGTCAGTTTGCTCCCCTCTTCACCCCACCATTCATCCCTCCCTCCCTCCATTCCCCAATCTTCCTTATTTCCCTTTCCTTCCAGCCACCTCTCACTATACGTTGGGCCTCTTGCCTCTGGTGCTGCAGTGGCAGGAAGCAGCGTTGCTGTTCACTCCTGCAACCGCCCCCTTCCCCCATTCATTTCTCCATACCCCATATACCCCATCTGTCCCTTCAGGCCATGTGCACTACACGGTTGGATTCTGCTATTTTTAAGTCAACCCAAAAATTGGTTTAAAGAACGAGTCGACTAAAAAATAGAGTAAAAATCGAGTGGACTTAAAAATAGACTAATAAATGAGTCAACTCAAAATTATACTAAAGAACGAGTCAATTAAAAATAGCCCCCTTCTTCCCAGACATTCGCACTACACGTTGGACTATTTGCAACTTGAGATCATTGGGAGGGCAGTCCACGTTGAGAGTCCTAGCGAGCGGAGGTACCGAGGCGAACACATGGTGACCGCGTGCCCTCTTGCACGATCTATGGTGATGCCACACGCGTAAAGCGGCTGGTGGCGACACGCTGACATTATTACGATCCCCATAAGTTCTCTACACGAGGACGCGCACAGGTTCTCCATCGTTACTTTCAGGCACTTTTCCTTAGCCTTATTGAGGCGAATGGCGCGGGAAATGTTATCTGCAGGTACCTCCTGCACTTCCTCCGCGTCGACTCGCTCCAACTCCTCCTGCGCGCTCATTGACCATGTCACGCACTTCGTCTGCTCGCCTAAGTCACTGACGCGTTTCCGCTTGGGCACCATGGATCTGGACCCGTGGATGAGTATTGCGGCGCGTTAGAGCTCCGAGCGAATGGATTTTCATGACATTACAGAGTTTTCATAGGAATCCATTCATGCCGAGCTCTAATCCGCCGCAATACCCATTCACGAGCCCAGATCCATGGTGCTTAAACGGGAGCACGTTAGTGGCCCAGGCGAGCCGGTAAAGCGCGTGGCACAATCGATGAGTGCGCAGGAGGAGTTGGAGCGAGCCGACGCAGAGGAAGTGCAGGAAATAGCTACAGATAATATTTCTCGCGTCACTCGTCTCAACAAGGCTAAGTAAAAAGTGTTTGAAAGCAACGATGAATATCCTGTGCGCGTTCTCGTGCGAAGAACTTATGTGGATTGTGATGCCGCCAGCGGCCGCTTTACGCGTGTGGTTTCACCATAGCATGTGCAAGTGGGCACGTAGTGTTCGCTTGGGACCTCCGTTCGCTAGCACTACACGTTGCAGTCTCGCTTTTGATGCTACAGTGACCCCTTTTGCAGTCCGTTCGCGCCCCCTTTTTCCCCGCCACTTGAATCTCCCTCCCATCATTGCCCAATGCCCCCCATTCCTCCTCCCTCCCAGCCATTCGCACTATACGTTGGGCCTCTCGCCCCTGGTGTTGCAGTGGAAGGATGCAACGTGCAGCCGGTTCATCATTGACACAGATGGGTCGGGGAAGATTCCGGAGCGGCAGCAGGTGAGCCATCCTACCTTCTTATCTTTTCGATCAACTTATATTATTTTATATTAATTTACTTAGGTTAGTAAGGTGCCTAAAGAAGCAGGTCCATTAACTTAAATCTGGAAGCGCTTCAAAACACACACACACACACACACACACACACACACACACACACACACACACACACACACACACACACACACACCAGCTGAAACCGGCAGATGGGGCATTGTGAGTGGTGAGAGAGGTGGTACAGGATTTTCATGCTGTCATGTTGTCCGTGCATCATGTCATCATGTAGCGACCGCTTCCCTTACCATTCTTCTGTTTCTGTCGTGCATGTGTAAAACAGGAACAAATTTTCACACATTCTGTTTCGCGTTCTATCTTTTCCTCCAATTCTTCCTGCACTCCCCTACACCCCTCTGCACTCCTCTCCACTCCTCTACACCCCTCTGCACCCGTCTGCACTCCTCTCCACTCCTCTGCATTTATCCCAGGTGGTTCTCCTGCTAGCAGCAGACGGCTCTCTGGTGACAAGTGACGACCCTCCAGTGGTCTTCGGCTCCCTGCCCCCCCACACTCTCAACGATGTACGTACCTACAAGCAATACATCTGCTTCTTGTCAGGTTCTCGATAATTTTCAGCTCCCTGCTCCTTAAAAACTTCCAGTGACGTACGTGGAGGTCCACCTAGGCCCAGGCAGGTTGCACCTGGAGGTCCATCTGCGTGAGCTGCAGTGCATGTGGAGCAGGGCAGGGCCGAGTGGGTCCAGCCAGGCTGCATGTGGAGCAGGGCAGGGCCGAGTGGTGGGGGAGCACCTGCTGCCAGACGTGTGCTGTGGCTCTAATGTCTCTTTACCCTTCGCGCTCCTTAGTCTTTCTCCGGATCCCCCCCCTCTCCTGCCTGAACTCTCTAAACCTGTGCCCCAAGAAGCTCCTGGAGTTGGCTGTGGGCCCTGGCGGGTTACGTTTGGAGCAGGTGCGAGTGGTGGGAGCGGACCTGCTGCTTCCACACATGTGCTGTGCGCTCATAAATACCTCCCCCCTCCTCCGTGCTCCGTCATTCTTCTTTCCCTCATCCCAGCCCTCACTACACCTGCGCCCTAACAAGCTCCTGCGATTCGCCATTGGCCCGGGCGGGTTACACCTGGAGCAGGGGCGGGTGGTGGGGGCGGACCTGCTGCTTCAGGGCGCAGCTAATCAGAGGAGAGGCGGCGCTGACAGCTGCTCCAAGGTGAGGGTTCAGGGTTAAAGGTTAGGGTGGTTAAGGGTGTGAGCTAAATGTGGGTGAACACGGCATGTGGAGCAGGGGCGAGTGGTGGGGGCGGACCTGCTGTTTCAGGGAGCGGCGAATCAGAGGAGAGGCGGCGCCGATAGCTGCTCCAAGGTGGGTGTGCGGTTCAGAGCATGTGGGATGGGTGCTGGGTGGTGGGGGCGGACCTACTGCTTCAGGGCGCAGCGAACTGGAGGAGAGGCAGCACTGATTGCTGCTCCAAGGTGAGCAAAGTGGGGCAATGGCCATGGCCATGCCAGTGAGTTGCGGAGGGACATGCGAGGCGGGATGGGTGCGCCGATGTGGGGATAGCGTGTGATGGCCGTGCCACGAGTGTATAAGGTGACTTTTGAGTCGACTCAAAAGTCACCTATGGGTGCGCCAATGTGGGGATAGCGTGTGTGATGGCCGTGCCATGAGTCTATAAGGTAGGGAGATGGGATGTATGGCTGCTTCTTAGTGGTCTGAGGGTTCGTGGCTATCCCAATGTTTGGCCGGCACAAGATTCGTCTCATTATATAGGTTGGGTAATGGAGATGGGATGTGGAATGTGATACGTGTTCATCTGTTTACCTTTTCGATCTCATGTCTCTCAAGCCTCGCGTTCCTCTGCCTGTACGTTTTCCTTCCTCTTTGTGGTGTTTCCAGATTCTGTTTCAGTATGCAGCTAGGCACTCCCCTCTCACCATCCAAGACATTGCTGCTGCGGTTATAGCACCACAAGAATAAATTGGATAGTTTTATGTGTACAGCTTTATGTTGTGAAAGTGTAATGTAGCACACATTCTACGATCAATGTTTTGCGAATTAGTGCGTTATGAACGATCCAACAAATGAGACAATACAGCATGATGGGAGAAAACATTTCAAGATACAGTAGATACATTCGCTCTTAGGGCGCTGAAGCATGAAGCTTGGAGTCATGTACCGAAGACTCCAATATCGCGTTTCAAACAGCGGCGCACACGCTGCATCCAGCATCAGCGCGTTCCACGTGCAGGCAGTAAATCGCGCATGCCGCAATTTCCGAGGACGGACGTGTCCAGTCGAACACCTTACTTCCGCAGCTAGCCAATGAACGTCCACCTCGACAGCTTGCTTCTGCTGGCGCTTCGAAAATTTCACAAGAATTTTTTTCCCGAATGGACACGACAGCGTTATGCCACAAGTGCCGCTTCCGTCGGGGTGGTGGGTGTGGGGAGGGGAAGGGGGTTTGGGAGGAGGATTTCCCCCATATGCCCGCAGCTTGCTTCTGTGCTACGCGCTGCGCAAATTCCGCCTTTCCTGCACCTCCCTTACCTCCGCCTCCCCCAGAGGGCGTCGATTTTCTGCCTGCGCGCAGCTTGCGCACATTCAGCACACCATGCGCCTACGTCCCATCACATTCCGCCGCACCCAGACGTCCCCATTCGCGCGCCACCCTCGCGCGCCTCCCTCTTCGCGCCCGTGTCGTCCGTTGTGCGGGCGCTATGCTCTATCGGAGTCAAGTCAATCGTCGTCGGGCGGGCTCCCAAGAGAACAGAGGTTTCGAGTCTCCAGGCAGGCCGTTAGCAAGTTCGGACGCAAGAGCGAGAGTGCGAGTTTCGCACGAGCGAGGAAGCAAGTCTTTGGTTCGCTCGCGAGGTTGCTTTGCTCCCGAGGTCGCCGAATGGCTGGAGAGAGGGGCGGCTGGACGGCCAGCGGAGCACAGGACGCGGCGATCGCTGAGTGAGAGAAGCGTAGCGCAAGCCGGCGCGAATCGGTGCACCGTGGTGCAGATCCGTTGAACAGGACGAGACAGGCGCAGCAAGTCATGTTTAGGAAATCAGGAGGTGCTGCGAGCAGATCTGCAGGCGTGCTTGAATCCCTGACTGAATCCCTCCGGGCTTAACAAATCAAACAAGTTACCATAAGAAATCTGCACCAATCTGCACCAATCTGCACCAATCTGCACCATGGAGGCAGTGGCGGCGAGTGTGGCGCGTGAGGAAGCTTCTCTGAAGGTGGCGGACGGAAGCAGGGTGACGGTGGGAGTGCTATCCAAGTGGGTGCACATCGGGCGGGGGTGGGCGCCACGGCTCTTCCTTCTCAGACAGGTAAGGGGCACAAGGCAAGAATGTCGGATGTTAAAGGAGTTTGGTCAGGTGATGGTCATGGTTCTTCTGTCAAGTGGGTGCACATCGGGCCGGGATGGGCGCCAAGGCTCTTTCTTCTCAGACAGGTTAGAGAGGGGCAAGGGAGAAATCCAATTATGAATCTTGCCTTTTGAAGCACCTCACAAACGTTAGGTGACGGTGGGCGTGCTGTCTAAGTGGGTGCACATGGGGCGGGGGTGGGCGCCACGCCTCTTCCTTCTCAGACAGGTAAGGGACAAGGCAAGAATGTCGCAGGAGTTTGGTCAGGTGATGGTCCCGGCTGGGCTGTTCTGTCCAAGTGGGAGGACATTGGCCGGGGATGGGCGCCAAGAGTCTACCTTCTCAGAAGATCAAGGCATTGAACTCTCCTCGTTCTCAATTTCCTCCCCCGCTCCCCCACCAGCACCACCTCCTCTACTTCAAGCACAGTGGTAGCTCCACAGCTGCTATGATATAGAAGTAATGAGTCAACTCCAGGACAATTCACGTCTTTTGTTTTCCTCTTCTACCACTCTCTTCCTCCCCACCCCACCCCACCAGCGCACCTGCTCTACTTCAAGCTCCGAGGCAGCTCCACAGCTGCAATGATCCGGAAGCTTTATTACTTTTCGTTTCCTCTCATTCCTCCCTCCATCTCACTCCCTGTCTTACCCCCACACCCCACAGCACCACTCCTCGACTGGCCACCAGCGCCACAGATGCGCTGGTGTCATTTCCTCCTCGATTGAAACGTGTCTGAGTTGTCATTGCCTTTCATTCTCCACTCTCGGTTCCATTCCCTGCCCACCCTAAACCAGCACCACCTACTTCAAGCTCCGCGGCAGCTCCACAGCTGCAATGATCCAGAAGCTTGTGACTCGCCATTCTTGTTCATTCTCCTCTCCCCAACTCACTCGCTTTCATTCTCCCCCACCCCACGCCACGAGAACCACCTCCTATACTTCAAGCTCCGAGGCAGCTCCATAGCTGCAATGACCCGGAAGCTTTTGAATCGTCATTTCCTTTATTCTCCTCTTACTCACTGTCTTCGCTGTCTCACTCCCTCTCTCCTCCTCACTCCCTGTCTTTTCTTCCCCTACCAGCGTCACCTCCTTTACTTCAAGCTCCGAGGCAGCGCCACAGCTGCAATGATCCAGAAGCTTCGGCAGCGCTACGATCACGTGGCCCTTATTGGGAGGGCTGTGTCGGACCTGATTGGTGACTATAACGAGGGGGTTCTGTGCAAAGGAGAGGAGGAGGGTGGTGGGAATGTGGGAGAAGGTGGGGATGAGGAGGGGCATGAAGAGGATGGGGATGAGGGGGAGGGAGAGGAAAAGGGAGTGAGTTCGAGACGCCAAAGGATGGAGGAGAGAGAAACGTCATTGATGTCTGGAGATGAGGAGGAGGATGAGAATGAGGAGGATGAGGAAAAGGAGGATGAGGAGAGAGGTGGGAATGGAGATGGGGAAGAGGAGGAGGTGGAGGAAGGTGACAAGGGAGGGCAGGAGGAAGCAAGGAAGGGAGAGGGGGCAGAGAAGGATTTGAAGGGGCAAACGGAACAAGTGAAGGGGGGACTGCTGCCTTCCACAGAAAGCCGGCAGGGAGCAGCAGTTGGGTCTGGTTTGAGGGACGACGATAGGATTACTATTGAGGAGAGATGCCCACTGTCACCCGTTCGATCTGTTGGTGAGATTCGCACTGGCAGTCAAGGGGATCCCAGCCCCCACCACCACCGCCACCGGCATCACCACTACCACCACCACCACCGCCACCATCAGCATCACCATAGCCCCCACCAGCGGCACCACCACAGCAGCCGGTTAAAGTCAAAATCTTCCAGCATATTCAGAACGCCCCCGCTCACTCCCCGGGCTTTAAGTGGCGCGGTTTCAAAGCTCCTGGCGGCATCCCCTAGGCGCAGCCCCCTGGAGAGCTGTGGGTATGGAGGGGGGAGGGGGGAGGGGGAGGAGGGCGAGAAAGGAGAGGAGGGTAGGGGCGGCATGGAGGGAGGGATGAAGGGGTGGGGAGACAGTGGGGCAAGGGGCGTGGGGTTTGTGGTTGAGACAGAGGAGCCTCAAGGAGTGATTGAGATTGATGCGGTGAGTTGCTGAGGAGTCTTAAGGCGCCTCAAAAGGCGCCTCTGCAAGGGGCGTGGGGTTTGTGGTTGAAACAGAGGAGCCGCAAGGGGTGATTGAGCTTGATGCGGTGAGTTGCTGCTGATAAGGAGTCTAGTCCGTGTGTCTGTCAGGTATTGAGGCGACTCAGAACTAGATCCAAGTTTGCTTGTCCCACACATTTGACACCAATCCACACTTCACAATCACACTACAGTCACTTCACACTCATTTTTCAATCACTTCAGATTCATAGCACACCCACACCATACTCCCCCCCCAGTCCCCTCCTTCCTCCACTCCCCTCGCTCCTCCCCCATCCCCCCTCCTCCCCCCCAGCCCCATCCAGATCTCCTCTCTGCAACCCAGCCGCTCCAACCCCTCCAAGTTCGATCATTTGAGACGTCTCAAAAATAGATTTACTCCCCACTCCCATCCTCCTCCTCCCCCCCGGCCCCTTCCAGATCTCCTCTTTGCGTCCCAGCCGCAGCGACCCCACCAAGTTCTATCTTGCCACGTCAGCACGCACGCTCATCCTGTGTGCTGAGTCAGCACAAGACTGCTCCCTCTGGCTGCAAGCTATTGAGGTGTGATTAAAGCGTGCACGCACTCACGCACGCACACACACAAAATCACACATGTACCAACCGACCTTCCTCGCTGCCCTGTTTGGCTGCAAGTTTTTTAAGGTTGGGTTTGTTTCGAACCCCACGTATTCACGCATGCACCTACCAGCCAAATCCAATTCTTAATTTTACCCGGATGTGAAGTGTTGTTCTTCAAAGGACGTTCAACTGTCAGGAAGTCTAGGAGATGATGATGATGATGATGTTCAAAGAAGCTTTTTTTTACGTGCGATGACGACTCTTAGAATGTGGGTCCCCTCCCTCCCATCACTCCACAATGCAGGCCGCAAGACTTTCTTTCCCTGTGCCTGCTGGATTGGCTTCTGCAGCTAATGTGGATACCGCGGCCACAGCTTCTGCTGCTATCTATCCCACTGCTGCTACTGAGCCAATCTCCCCTGCTCTCTCCTCCCTCGGGATTGCCTCTCTTTCTCCTATGCCACCTCCTGCCCTTGCATCTGCTGCAACTGGTGGTAACGATGGCGATGACATCAGCAGCGGTCATGCTGACGTGGACACAGAGCCGACCCCGTCACGCATTTCCGTCCAGCCTATGGTTGATTTTCTGAGGGCCGCTGACGTCAGCGATGACGTCATCGTGCGATGCGAGGAGGTGGTTTGGCGGCAGGTGGTGGTGCCGGTGCTTTTGAGGGAGAGGCGGGCAAAGGAGCAGCTTATAACGAGGATGCAGCAGCTGGAGGTATATTGCCACACTGGGTTGACCTGACTGGTGAAGTAAACAAGTTATTGATTCGCTTGGTCAAAAAAATGTGTGTTTTGACTGTGTGAGGGGCATGCGAATCTGCTGGCATGGCATATGGATGTGCTGTCATGACATGACATGGCATGGCATGGCATGGCATGGCATGGCATGGCATGTCACGGCAGATTGAAAAGGCTCTTTTGGAATCGGAGCTGATGCGCATGCAGAGGAGGAAGGGGCCCAAGAGAGGGGCTGGCGGGGGAGGGAAAAGAGAAGAAAAGGAGGAGGAAGAAGCGGAGGAATGGTCAGAGGAAGAGGTTCAGGAGGAAGAGGGAGATGAAGAGAAGGAGCTTTTCTTCGAGGCGGCAGAAAAGTTGGCAGGGGAGGCAGGAGAGGGGTGGGAGGTGGGGGAGGGGGAGGGATCACAGGAAGGGGGGAGTGAAGAGGAAGCGGGGCAGGGGGGGGAGTACAAGTGGGGAGGGGGTGGAGGTGGGGGAGTGGGGGGAGGAAGCGAGGGAATAGGAGGAGGCGGGGAAGAGGGAATGGCAGAGTGGGAAGGGGGGAGAGGAGCAGAGCAGCACGAGCCCATGGAAGAAAGGGGGAGTGCTGGGCAGGCCGAGTTGCCGATGGAAGAGGTAGGGGGAGGAAAATCCGTCTCTAACATAAGAATGATACTTAGTCAAGTGATAACTGCATATCCCGGCTCTCTATGTTGAGAATATGAAATTCGCCTCCCCCCTGACTTTCCCCTTCCCTCCACCTACTCTTGCTCCGCCCTCTTCATACCCATCTCCCCCTTCCCACCTCCAGATCGGTTTTTCTTACCCCTTTGTTCCACGCCGCACGCGCCTCCCACTACCAGACAAGCAAAACCGCCCGGGCAGCCTGGCCGGGGGGCTGTGGGCGGCGCTGCGCGAGTGCGTGGGGCGGGATCTGTCCCGAGTGTGCCTGCCAGTGCAGCTGAACGAGCCAATCGGGTTGCTCCACAAGTGCGCCGAGGAGATGGAGTACAGCTGGCTGCTGGACCGGGCGGCAGAGCACGGGCGGCGGGTGAGTCGGGTGGGCGGCAGACTGCCAGTGAGTGGGCGGCAGACTGCCAGTGAGTGGGCGGCAGGCAGGGTATGTGAGAGGGTCTTCGCTCATAGTGGAGGCGCCTCAAAATGCATCTTTTGAGGCGCCTAAAAATGCATCTTTTGAGGCGCCTCAAAATGCATCTTTTGAGGCGCCTCAAAATGCATCTTTTGAGGCGCCTCAAAATGCATCAGACTGCCAGTGAGTGGGCGGCAGGCAGGGTATGTGAGAGAGTGCGTGGCAGTGCATGGATGGCAGGTTAGCAGAATCTCCTTCCCCTTCTTTCCCTCTCCCTCTCCCCTTGTTGTTCCCGTGTTCTTCCTCTCCAGGGCGATCAGCTAATGAGAGCCCTCCACGTGGCAGCCTTTGCCATGTCAGGCTATGCCAACACGAGTGGTCGCATGCACAAGCCCTTCAACCCGCTGCTGGGAGAGACTTATGAGGCCAGTTACCCCGACAAGGGCTTTAAGCTGCTCGCAGAGAAGGTGAGCGTTGGCAGCTGCACACAGAGAAGGTGGGTGGTTTGAGAAGGTTAGTGTCATTTCCCTCTCCTGGGGAAGACGTACGAGGCTGACTGCTCTGACAAGGGCTTTAAGCTGCTCGCAGAGAAGGTGGCCAGCGAAGAAGGTAGTGAGTGGCTGCTTGGATTGTCAGTCAGGGAATAGTCTGACTGACAAATGCAAAAGTGCACAGGTAGCGCAAGTGCTCGCTATTCACAACGATTACCCCTCCCACATCCATGCACGAGGTGTGTTCTCCTCACACTCCTCTCCTCCTTCCGCCGTCCTCCCTCCTCCCTCCTACCTCCTCCTTGCTCCCTGCCCCTCTCCTCACCAGGTTTTGAACCATCCACCAACCGTGGCAGCGCACTGCTGGGGCAACGGGTGGCAGCTGTTTGGAGACTCGACCCTGAAGGTGCGATTCTGAGGGCCCATCCACGCATCGTGCCATCACGGTTTGAGACGTCTCAAAGCTCTGTGCGGTTATCGTGCCATCACCCCCCCCCCTTGGTGGGAGCTGATGAAGACTTGACCCTGAAGGTGCGATTCTGAGGGCCCATCCACGCACTCGGTGCCTTGGTGCCTTGCTCAAGGTGTCTCCTCTCCCTTCCTTTTCCCTCTCCTCCTCCCTCTTCTCTTCTCGTGCTCTTCTCCTTGCCCTCTTCTCCTCCACCTGTTCTTTGCGCAATGTGCTCTGCGGTTTAATTGGCCGTCAATACTCACCTGGTGTCAACTCCTCTCCTCCCCCACTGCTTGCCTCCTTTCCTCCTGTCCTCCCCTCTTCCTCTCCCCCTCCCTGCAGGTGCGGTTTTGGCGGCCGTCCATGCACACTTGGTTTCAACTCCTCTCCTCCCCCGCTCCCCTTTCCTCCCCTCTTCCCCTCCCCCTTCCTCCCCCTCCCCCCTCCCCCCTCCCCCCTCCCCCCTCCCCCCTCCCTGCAGGTGCGGTTCTGGGGGCCGTCAATGCACCTGGTGCCGTGTGGAGTCATCTCCACCCCCCTTCCTCCCCCTTCCCCCCCCATTTTTCCCCCTTCCTCCCCTCTTCCCCTCGCCCCTCCCTGCAGGTGCGGTTCTGGGGACCGTCAATGCACCTGGTGCCGTGTGGACTCACATCCACCCTTATTCCGCCACCCCTATTCCTTCACCCCTATTCCTGTTCCCCCTCCGCTTTCTTCCACTCTTGCCCTGCAGGTGCGGTTCTTGGGACCGTCCATGCATCTGGTGCCGTGTGGAGTCATCTCCGTGGTGTTTGACGATGGTGGAGAGGGGGGGGAGGAGGAGGGAGCGAGGGGGGGAGATGGCGGGGAGGAGGAGGAGGGAGGTGGGAACTCGGTGGAGGAGAGAAATGAAGAGGAGGAGAGTAAGAAAAGTAACAGTGGCAACAAGAAGAGTTTTTTTACATCGTCGGGAGTTGAAGGGGGTGGAGAGCGGTACGAGTGGAGCAAGGTGACGACTGGCATCTACAACATAATAGTGGGGAAGCTTCAAGTGGAGCATTTCGGAACGATGCACATCCGAGGCAGTCTGGGTCTGTCAGTGCATCTGCACTTCAAGGAGCCCTCGCTGTTCGACCGCAGCAAGCACCAGGTGAGAGAAGACCTCTTTGCCTCTTTTTGTGCAGCACAGGGCAGCCAGGACTGTTGGTGCATCTGCACTTCAAGGAGCCCTCGCTGTTCGACCGCAGCAAGCACCAGGTGAGAGAAGACCTCTTTGCCTCTTTTTGTGCAGCACAGGGCAGCCAGGACTGTTGGTGCATCTGCACTTCAAGGAGCCCTCGCTGTTCGACCGCAGCAAGCACCAGGTGAGAGAAGACCTCTTTGCCTCTTTTTGTGCAGCACAGGGCAGCCAGGACTGTTGGTGCATCTGCACTTCAAGGAGCCCTCGCTGTTCGACCGCAGCAAGCACCAGGTGAGAGAAGACCTCTTTGCCTCTTTTTGTGCAGCACAGGGCAGCCAGGACTGTTGGTGCATCTGCACTTCAAGGAGCCCTCGCTGTTCGACCGCAGCAAGCACCAGGTGAGAGAAGACCTCTTTGCCTCTTTTTGTGCAGCACAGGGCAGCCAGGACTGTTGGTGCATCTGCACTTCAAGGAGCCCTCGCTGTTCGACCGCAGCAAGCACCAGGTGAGAGAAGACCTCTTTGCCTCTTTTTGTGCAGCACAGGGCAGCCAGGACTGTTGGTGCATCTGCACTTCAAGGAGCCCTCGCTGTTCGACCGCAGCAAGCACCAGGTGAGAGAAGACCTCTTTGCCTCTTTTTGTGCAGCACAGGGCAGCCAGGACTGTTGGTGCATCTGCACTTCAAGGAGCCCTCGCTGTTCGACCGCAGCAAGCACCAGGTGAGAGAAGACCTCTTTGCCTCTTTTTGTGCAGCACAGGGCAGCCAGGACTGTTGGTGCATCTGCACTTCAAGGAGCCCTCGCTGTTCGACCGCAGCAAGCACCAGGTGAGAGAAGACCTCTTTGCCTCTTTTTGTGCAGCACAGGGCAGCCAGGACTGTTGGTGCATCTGCACTTCAAGGAGCCCTCGCTGTTCGACCGCAGCAAGCACCAGGTGAGAGAAGACCTCTTTGCCTCTTTTTGTGCAGCACAGGGCAGCCAGGACTGTTGGTGCATCTGCACTTCAAGGAGCCCATCTGCATCTGCTGTTCGACCGCAGCAAGCACCAGGTGCGTGGACGCAGTGGGAATGTGGTGTGAGGTAGCGACGAGCTTTCCGCACCTCTGTGTGTGTGTGTCGGTGCAGCAACGGCAGTCGGGGGCTGTTCGACAGAAGCGAGCACCAGGCGAGTGATGGGGGATTCAACGCACCTCAAAACTTTAAGGTAGTGAATGTGTGTCCATGTGTGTGTGCTGTACATCCCCTCTGCTTTTTCCATCCCCTCTTAAACCAGGTGCATGGGCACGTGCAGAACGAGCGGGGGGAGAAGCTAGCGATGCTGCACGGCCAGTGGGACCAGCATCTGGCCTTCACCCTCACTCACCACGGCAGGGAGCATCGCAGGCAGCTTTGCAGGCACCAAATGAACAGGGGAGGACAGCAGCAACGTGCAGTCGAGGCTGAGAAGGGGCACTATAGGGTACTTAGGTCGGCAGCAGTGGAGGGGAAGCATAAGCATCTGGAGAAGGCTTTTTCTAAGCCTGATGTGGGTCAGGATGGTTGTGAGAGGGATGCTCAGACCCCAGTAGCAACACCACCTGATAACCCATTCGAGAACCCACATGGGAAGACACCTGAGCGCCCGCCTGAGCACTCGTGTGAGCACTTGCCTGAGCACCCACCTGAGCATTCACCTGGGCCACTACCTGAGCATCCATTTTCCCGACCAGCACCTCATTCGTTGTGGCATAAGGCCACCATGTCCCCGACTCATCACCCTCACCACCATCACCATCATGTGGTGCAGCAGCAGCAGCAGCAGCAGCGTGGCAGCAACAAGTACAACTTCTCGCCCTTTGTATCACACTCAATGAGATCACGCCAGATATAGCGGTGAGTGGCAACGGGTTCCACAGCGGCAGGGTTGGGTCGTCTTTCAGGGGGGTTGGGTCGTTTTTTGAGCACTGCTTCTTGCCCTTTTGTGTCACAAGAGATCACGCCAGATATTGCGGTGCGTGGTAAGGGGTTTCACAGGAGCTGGATATGTCTTGTCGTAGCACGAGAGGTTGAGGGAGGTGGTAAACAGATTAGGTCGAGTTTGATTCCAGTAATAGGATTGATTGAGGGGTTCAGGGTTTAGCAGGTGGGTTGATGGAATCTCAGGAGCATAATGACACAGCAAGAGAAGGTTTACGTGCGGGATGTCTTCCCACTGTGGCGGATGATGCAGGTTGATCTTCTGTCACACATGTTCTGAAAACAGAGGTGTCAAAGGGGACTGAGAGGATGCTGTCACTGGTGGACGGATACTTGACAAAAGAAATGGTCAAGTACCCGTCCACCAGCGACAGCATCCTCTCAGTCCCCTTTGGCTCCTCTGTTTTCAGATTGCGTGTGACAGAAAACCAGCACAGTGGGAAGTCGTCCCGCACACTGAACCTTGCGTGAGATTTTAACATTCGCAAGGGAAGTAACGCAAGGTAAGTGGGGAACAAATGTAGGGTAGGGAGATTAAGGGAATGTGTGCTGGGGGGAGGTGGTAAACAGATTAATGGAGTTGGAGGCAAGAAGTAGGTCTGGTTGAGGGTTCAGGAAAAGTAGGTGGATATATTATAGGGGCAGAATGACGAAAGCGAGAGTTTAGTAGAAAGTAAACACAGGATTTCAGGAATGAATGGATTGCGACAGTTCAGTAATAAATGAGATTGCGCACATGGTGTGTCTTCCCCCTCTTACCCCCACCCCTTTTTTGCGGCATGTGTTAATTTCAAAACATCTCATCAATCGACGGACTTATGTTTCTGCCCCTTGCTTGCAGCCCTTCCTCCCACCTACGGACTCCCGCTTTCGCCCAGACCAGAGGGCTTTGGAGGAGGGGGATGAGGCGCGGGCGAACGAGGAGAAACGGCGGCTGGAGGGGAAGCAACGTAAGGTGTGCTGGGGATGGGAGTGGGTGTACAGGGGTGAATGAGTGGAGAGAATGGGTGTAGCGGCTGGTGGGCTGGGGGACCAGAGCGCAGGAGGATGGGGATGAGGCGTGCGCGAACGAGGAGAAACGGCGGCTGGAGGGAAAGCAATGCAAGGTGTGATGGGGGGTGGGAGAGGGTGTGAAAGGGTGAATGAGTGAAGAGAATGGGTGTAGCGGCTGGTGGGCTGGGGGACCAGAGGGTGTTGGAGAAGGGGGACGAGGCGCGGGCGAACGAGGAGAAACAGCAGCTGGAGGGAAAGCAACGCAAGGTAGGGTGGGGAAATGGAGTGGGTGTACAGGGGTGAATGGGTGAAGAGAATGGGTGTAGCGGCTGGTGGGCTGGGGGACCAGAAGGCCTTGGAGGAGGGGGATGAGGCGCGGGCGAACGAGGAGAAACGGTGGCTGCAGGGGAAGCAACACAAGGTAAGGCGGGAAAAGGGAGAGGGTGTACAGGGGTGAAGTGAGGAGAGTGGGTGCACGGTGGGTGATGGATCAGGGGAAAATCTGGGCCAGAGGGCATTGCAGGAGGGGGATGAGGCGCGGATGATTGAGGAGAAACGGCGGCTGGAGGGGAATGAGTGAAGTGAGGGGGCTTTGGTGTGCATTAGAAGTACTTACAACTAATGAGCTGACCTAGAATAGTGAATCCGTCTCCTTTGCACTGTTATCTTGGCAGGCACGGCAGGTGCAGGCGTCAGGTTGGGAGCCCAGGTGGTTTCAACAGAAAGCACCTGGTGGCACCTGGACGTACAAGGGAGGGTACTGGGAGAGGCGGGCGGCCAGGACCTGGCGGGGCATTCCAGATATCTTTGCTGATGATGATAATAGCAGTGCTGGTGCTGCTGGTGCTGCTGCTGCTTTTGAGTTGACTCCAAAGGCTGACGGTTAGGGCCTGGCAGGGCATTCCGGACATTTTTGCTGACGATGATAAAAGAGGCAGTGCTGGTGCTAGTGGTCCTAGTGCCGCCAGTGATGCTTCTACCGTTGCTGCCGCTGCTCTTGAGTCGACTTTAAGGACAGGCGGCCAGGGACTTGCAGGGCATTCCTGACATCTTGGCTGATAATGATAGCAGCACTGCTGGTGCCAGTGGTGTTAGTGGTGCTGGTGGTGCTGGTGATGCTGTTGGTGCTGGTGATGCTGTTGGTGCTGCTTTTGAGTTGGCTCAAACGACAGACGGCCAGGGACTGGCAGTGCATTCCTGACATCTTTGCTAATGACAATATAGCGGCAGTGCTGGTGCCAGTGGTGGTAGTGGTGCTGCTGCAGTTGCTGCTTGTGCTGCTTCTCTTGGGCCCCCTTCTTTTCCTGGGGCAGGAGCTGCTGATCTGGCTGTCAGCTCCAATTGTGGTGGCTGATGTGTTGCTGCTGTTGCTCCTGCTAGCATTGCTGGCAGGTGCGTTGGCAGGTGTGTTGGCAGGTGTGTTGGCAGCTACAGTCTCAGCACCTGGATCCGCCGTTGCAGATAATGTGGCACAGTAGTAGAGTGGAGCTGCACATGAGCAGCTACTGTTACAGTCGTTTTGGTGGTTATCAAAATTGTACATAGTAAGTTCGTTTGTCAAGCATTGAACTGCCTGCAGGTGAAGTAAACAGCTTCATAAACCATGTTTCTTGGAATCATTACATCCCAGATACATGTGGCACATCCTCAGTTGAATGATATACTTGCTGATCTACACCCATGACTGAACTGACAGATAGCCATTACAAGTCGTACAACACTACAACTAGACACATTACATCGGACTTTCAATGGTTATTGCTTTTCCATCTAACAATCATCATTTCCACACAACGCGTACGGGGTGAACGCCTACAGTAATTTATTTGAATTGCTAGCCTACTAGTAGCAGCCCGGCACATTGCTCAGCCACACAACTGGTGGCTAAACAATCCAATGGGCTAGATGAACAAGATAAACACCAGAAGAGACTGGAACAGTGAGAAAGTTGCATTTGTGAAGCTTGGACTCGGAAGCTCAAAAGCACCACACACTTGTTAGCAACACACGTGCTACTCACGCTGCTCAATTATTTACGGAATAGGCTGCTTCGCTTCCGCCTTTCGCACTTCACTCTTCTTGCTTGCTCCCGGTGCCCCTGCATGTGAATGTGGTTTTTTCACATGGACCACTTTCTCTTGCTGCTGCTGCTGCTTTTCCGCACTAGTCTCCTGCTCCTGTACCACTGGCTGCTTCTGCTGCTTCTGTTTATGCTCTTTCTTCTTCTTCTCCTTCTCTTGAAGTTTTTGTTTTGGTTCCTGGTGCTGCTGGTTTTTCTGCTCCTGTAACTGCTCCTTCTGCTGCTCTTTCTTCTGCTCCTTCTGCTGCTCTTTCTGCTGCTGCTGCTGCTGCTGCAGTTCCTTCTGCTGTTGCTCCTTCTGCTGTTGCTCCTTCTGTCGTCGCTCTTTCTCCTGCTGCTCCTTCTCCCTCTGCTCCCTATCCCTCTGCTCCTTCTCCCTCTGCTCCTTCTCCCTCTGCTCCTTCTCCCTCTGTTCCTTCTCCCCCCGATCCCTCTCCTTCAGCTCCTTTTCCTTCAGCTCCTTTTCCTTTTGCTCCTTTTCCTTTTGCTCCTTCTCCCGCTGCTCCTTCTGCCGCTGCTCCTCCTCATCGTCCGCAAAGATATCCTTGATACCCGACCAGTCATGCGCCCCTCGCCGCTCCCAGTATCCCCCAACGTACGTCCACGTGCTTCCCGGTCCCCCTTGCTGCTGGAACCACCGCGGGTGCCACCCCGGCTCGCCTGATTTCAAGGCCTGTAGGGAGGAAGAATACGAATTCCAAAGAGAGGGGAAGACGAGGGGGAGAATGAGAATGACTTTGGTAAAAGCAAGGAATAAGACAAAGAGGAGGACGGCAATGAGGAGAGGTTGAATGTGAGTGTGATTGGAGGTTTTCACTTCCTTAACAAACAGTTGGCCGCCCATGCATCCACAGAGCCTATTGCCTCCTACGTGCCTAAGAACAAGCGCAAATGGCACACTGAGGTGCCTCTCACCTTGCGCTGCTTCTGCTCCAGCCATGACTTCTCCTGAATCGCCCGGTCATAGTACCCCTCCTCCACTCTGCATTCCCACACCCTCGACACCTCTCTCTATGCGTTTCAAAAGCACGTCCAGCATCCCAAAACCCCCCCTCTCTCACCTTGCGCTGCTTCTGTTCCAGCCGTGACTTCTCCTGAATCGCCCGGTCATAGTACCCCTCCTCCAACGCCCGTTGATCTGCCCTCAGGCGAGAATCCGTAGGAGGGAGGTGCTCCTGCGATGGGAAAAGAAAAGGAAAGGAAAGCAGAAAGCAGAGAGCATCCTTTGAGCACCGTGAGGCTCCGAGTCGTTTCATTCCTTTTTAGGCGTCCAATACCATGTCAAATTTCTGAGGCGCCTACTACCTGGTCAATTAAAGAGAATCTAAAGAGAGTCGCACCTTGAGCCCTGGGGTCATCTTGTTGAGGGTGATGCAGAAGGGCGTGAACTTGTACTTGCAGGGGAAGGGCGAGGGAAGGGGCGCACTTCTGCTGCCTCATGACTTGACTCATTTGCATTTCGCGAACTTCATATCCTCACCTTGAGCCCTGGAGTCATTTCGTTGAGGGTGATGCAGAAGGGCGTAAAATTGTACTTGCAGGGGAAGGGCGAGGGGGTGCACTTCTGCTGCCTCCCCCCTAAACTGAGCCGTCAGTACACAAACTGTAGAGAGTGGGGGTGGCCTCTGAGGCTGCTAACTCACCTTGAGCCCTGGAGTCATCTTGTTGAGAGTGATGGAGAAGGGCGTGAACTTGTACTTGCAGGGAAAGGGCGGAGGGGCGCACTTCTGCTACCTGATGCCTTGACTCACTTGAACTTTGGAAACTTTGTCATGAATTTTTACCTTGAGCCCTGGAGTCATTTCGTTGAGGGTGATGCAGAAGGGCATGTACTTGCAGGGGAAGGGCGAGCGAAGGGGTGCACTTCCGCTGCCCCGACTAGACTCAACCACCAGTTCACAAACCTCTGACGACATTCCACAAGAGAGAAATTTTTCACCTTCAGCCCTGGAGTCATCTCGTTGAGGGTGATGCAGAAGGGCGTGAACTTGTACTTGCAGGGGAAGGGCGAGGGGGTGCACTTCTGCCACAGCAGCTGAGCCGTCGCCAGCACCTCACTCTCCTCCTTCTGTGACTTGCTGCTGAGCTCCCCCGGCACGAAGTGCAGGAACTGGTCCCACCTCCCCACCAGAGTTGCCTTCTCCTCCCCGTCGTCGCTTTGAACAATGCCGCGGACCTGCAAAGTGAGAACAGGTTAGAACAGGTAAGAGAGGAGGGTTGTGAGGGTTACAGCTGAGCTGTGGCCAGCACCTCGCTCTCCTCCTTCTGTGACTTGGTGACTTTTGAGTTGTCTCAAAAGTCACCTCAGCACCTCGCTCTCCTCCTTCTGAGACTTGCTGTTAAGCTCCCCCGGCACAAAGTGAAACACAGTCACGCTGCGCCACTCAAAAGGCATCTATTTGGTGAAACCTCAACCCTCCCCTCCCCCCTCCCCTCCCCCCACCCCAACACACACAGACGTACCTGATGGGGATTCCGGTCAAAGGTCGACCTCTCTTTGAACCGCAGCCTCGCCGAGAACCCCCGGTTGCCCCGAATCCGCATCGTGCCGTAATGGTCCACAAACGGCTTCCCAAGAATCAGGTTCTGAATGGACACTGTGACGTTGCTCCACTCAAAGACCTCTCCATCATCGAACGCCACGGATAGCACGCCGACGGGGTCGAGCTGCACGGACGGCCCCCAGAAGCGCACCTTGAGGCACGCGTCCCCCCAGCTGCGCCACCCCGTGCCCTCACAGTTCCACGCGAGCGTCGGGGGATAGTGCAGCACCTGGGGGGGAGGGGGGGGGGGAGGGAGAGGGAGGGAAGAGGGAAGCGCACCTTGAGGCACGCGTCCCCCCAGCTGCGCCACCCCGTGCCCTCACAGTTCCACGCGAGGGTGGGGGGATAGTGCAGCACCTGGGGGGGGAGCGGGGGGGGGGGGGGGGGGGGTAGGGGAAGAGGGGAAGGCACCTTGAGGCACGCGACCCCCCAGCTGCGCCACCCCGTGCCCTCACAGTTCCACGCGAGCGTGGGCGGGTAGTGCAGCACCTGAAGGAGGGGGGGGGAAGGGGGGGAAGTAGGTGAGTGAGAGAGATAGGCCAAAGGGTAGGTCACGAATGGGAAGGCCACGATGCTTCACTTGAAGACCTCCTTGTCGTCCTCTCCGTTCTTAGTGTTGGAGTAGAGAGCTTTGAGCTGTAATTGAAGAACTCTAAATGCACCAGAACAGCTGTAATCTGCAACACAATAATGGTAAGACGGTAATGTACAACTCACCGCCTCTGAGACGTATCGGAAGCCCTTGTCAGGGCAGTCCGCCTCAAACGTCTCCCCCAGCAGCGGGTTGAAGGGCTTGTGCATGCGACCGGCGTTGCCCGAGTAGCGTGACACAGCGAACGCTGCCACGTGCACTGCCCTCATTAGCTTGTTGCCCTGGTGATTGACGGAGAGAGGGGGGAGGGAAGGGTGATGACTCAGTGCCATTTAAATGCTGCCACGTGCACCGCTCTCTTGCCCTGATATTTGAAGGAAGGGGGAGTGTGGAGTGGGTTGAAGGGCTTGTGCATGCGACCAGCGTTGCCTGAGTACCGTGACACTGTGAACGCTTCCATGTGCACTGCTCTCATTAGCTTGTTGCCCTGGTTGTGGGAAAAAGGGGAATGGAGTTTGACGAGTGGAAGGAGAGAGCGAGGAGGGAAGAATGATGACTCAGAGCCATTCAAACACTGCCACGTGCAATGAACTCGTTAGTTCGTTGCCCTCGTGGTGGGGCATGCATCAAAGAATTTGTCCACTCACCCGGCAGCCGTACTCGGCGGCGCGGTCAAGCAGCCACCCCTCCCAAAGAATGCAGAGCCAGAAGCAAGCAAGCAGGCAGCAAGAAAGAGACCAGCGCCAAGCTAGGTAACCATGAACTCACCCGGCGGCCGTACTCTGCGGCGCGGTCGAGCAGCCAGCTGTACTCGTACGTCTCGCAGTACTTCTGCTTGGTGCTGATGGGGTCGTTGAAGCTCACAGGCACATTCGCTACACGGACCCCATTCAAATCCTACCGTTCCCCTTACCGTCCACCTGACGACCCGTCCGCCACCCCTCCCAAGGAATGCAGAGCCAGAAGCAAGCAAGCAGGCAGCAAGAAAGCGACCAGCGGCAAGCCAGGCTGTGCAGCGACCAAGCTAGGTAGCCATCCACTCACCCGGCGGCCGTACTCCGCTGCGCGGTCGAGCAGCCAGCTGTACTCGTACGTCTCGCAGTACTTCTGGTTGGTGCTGATGGGCTCGTTGAAGCTCACAGGCAGCGACACCTTGAACAGGTCCTTGCCCACCAGGTCCTTGAGAATCGACCAGATGCTGACCGGTTTCTCCTCCTCTGCTGGGGGAGGCAGGCGCTCCCTTCGAGGTATCTTGGGGTACGTGAACCCCACCTGGTGGGTGGTTGGAGATTGGGTGATTTGGCGGGACGGAAAGGGGGTAAGAGCACGGGATAAAACAATCAGAGACACCTCGAAGAGGTCCTTGCCCACCAGGTCCTTGAGAATCGACCAGATGCTGACAGGTTTTTCCTCTTCTGCCGGGGGCGGCAGACGCTCCCTGCGAGGTATCTTGGGGTACGTGAATCCCACCTGGTGGGTGGTGAGAGGTTGGGTGGTTTGGGGGACAGGGGGAGCACGGGAAAGAAGAAGCAGAGACACCTTGAAGTGGTCCTTGCCCACCAGGTCCTTGAGAATCGACCAGATGCTGACCGTTTTTTCCTCCTCCGCTGGGGGCGGCAGACGCTCCCTGCGAGGTATCTTGGGGTACGTGAACCCCACCTGGTGGGTGGTTGGAGATTGGGTGGTGGAAAATGGGCGGTTGGGGGGTGAAAGGGAAGTCTTAGAAGGGAAAGAAGACACCTTGAATAGGTCCTTGCCCACCAGGTCCTTGAGGATCGACCAGATGCTGACCGGTTTCTCCTCTTCTGCCGGGGGAGGCAGGCGCTCCCTGCGAGGTATCTTGGGGTACGTGAATCCCACCTGGTGGGTGGTTACGGGAGAAGAGAGAATCAGAGACATCTTGTCAGAGGTCCTTGCCCACCAGGTCCTTGAGATCGACCAGATGCTGACCGGTTTTTCCTCTTCTGCTGGGGGAGGCAGACGTTCCCTTCAAGGTATCTTGGGGTACGTGAACCCCACCTGGTGGGCGGTTGGAGAGTTGGCAGTTGGGAGTTGGTGGTTGGGGGAGAATGTGGGGGAAGAGCACAGGAAAGAGGATTTAGAGACACCTTGAAGAGGTCCTTGCCCATTCCATTCCCACATAGCCCATCACATCCAGCCCATCCCACTCCCACATACCTCCTGAAGAGGTCCAGCCATGCCACTCCCACGTACCTCCTGAACCAGCTCGCACATACCTCCTGAATATCCAGCACAGTCAGCACACTCCCCGAGCTGACAAAATCATCCATGGCCTCGAAAAACTCGTCATCCTGCCCGCCGCTGCTGCCCGACCCTCCCTCGTCCTCGTCATTGTCCCGAGCCAACACTTCAGCCTTGGCAGCGCGCCGAGCCTTGCTCCGACCCCTCCCGGACCTGCGGCCGCTGCGACCAATTTGCCTCGAACTGAGGTCGCTCCCACTGTGCTTCAACAACCCGTGGCCCGCTGTGGTAACCGCATTGCTGTCAACCTCCTGATCACCCCCAGCTTCCTCCTCCTCCCCTTCTGCCTCCTCTTCTTCGTCCTCATCCTCCTCTTCGTCCTCATCAAAGGTCGTGCTGGCGTCATCGCCGTCGCCAGCTGTGAAGGGTGGGAACATAAGGGAGGAAAAGGAGTCGAGGAAGAAGGGGGGGGAATAATGAGAGGAGGAAACGAATCAAGAAACGAAAACGGGAATTGGGAACAGGAGATGGAGGAAGTAAAGAACCAGCAGGGAAGAAGAAATAGGACGGAAGTCTCGCCCAAAACCATGCTTTGCCACATCTACCATGGAGTTGAAGGATGAAAGGCCGAGTGTGAGAACGAATCAAGAAAGGAGAAATAGTTGGCGGGAGATAGAGGAGATAAGCAATTAGAAGGGGAGGAGCAATCGGAACTGAGATTCCTTCGAAACCATGCCACAATGACCGAGAAGCTGGAGAATGCGAGCATGACAGGGAGATAGAGAGAGTGAGTGAGTGGCATCGAGGGAGAGGGATGCGGGTCCGGGAGACGTACTCATAACGACGCTGTTGCCTGCGTAACCCTGGTTCCTCGTCTCCTCCAACATGGCCGTTTCCAGCTCAACCTTATCCGCTTCAAGCTGCCTCAATAACCGCAGAAGCTGCAACCGCCGCTTCTGCTCCTCCCGCAGTTTATTCTCCAGCCTGAACACCACCTGTCGCCTCACTATCTCCTCGCACTTAGCGATCTCCTCCACACCCACGTTTATACTCGCTAAGTACGCTCTTAGCGGCTCCATGGCCAGAGACGACGCGGCCACCAGCCTGGAATCGTTTATCGAAGGAGCTTGTGCCGAAGCGCGCATCATTTGCAGGTGCTTTATTTTCGCGGCTTGAAGCGCGTCCATCCATAGTAGCCTCCCGGCTTTAGATTCCGTCCTTAATCCGAGCGTCTTAGTCCCGAAAACGTAGAACTTTCTACCGTCAGTTGTGCTGGCTCGGAGAGTCGAGACCTCCAATCGGACGCTGCCATGTGGCATGCGATCGCCAAGCTCTCCTTCGTTAGGCACCACGCCATCTTCGCGCTCCTTCTTCACAAAATGGCGTATCTCATCACCGATCAGTCGAGCTCGCGGACGACGCTCGAGCTCCTGTAACACGGTTACCCGATCAGGGCCTTCTAGTTTGAAGTAAGAAAGCAGGCCCTGGCGGGAGACAAAGGCGGGACGCAAGAGTGATAAATTATGATATGCTACTGGACAGAGAAAATAATATTTCGCGTAAATATCAGTGACTCAAGATGCTTTTGGACTTATAGAATTGGTCTTGGTGGACTTGTATTCCGTATCCATTGTTGGAACCCATTGTTGGAAATGCACGGGATTATCCAGGTCCCGCCTTGATATTGCCGCATAATCATACGGATGTTCATTTGGGTGCGACCTTGTCATCTCCATACTCTTACTTACGCTGGGAGTTCTTTGGTAACCTTGGTTTTGCCCCAGGATGGCACTGCGAATCCGGTTCCCACCTTGGAATTGCCGCACAATAACACAAGGAAATATCTAGGTCCCAGATTGGGACTACTGCAACTCTTTGAACTTACTTGAAAATGCTTCGACATTTTCAAAAAAAATCGTCGTGCGACGAGGTTCGTCCGATTTGGTCAATCAACAGGCGTCCGTTTTGGGAGTTCTCACATCACGTAGGCCGTGCAGCAGGGCAGAAAAAAAAAAAAAAAATCGACTTACCCCTTCCAGAACGAACAGCCGCATGCCCCAGCCTCGCCCCAGGTTCACCCACTTCCACAGAATGCCCATCACCACATCCGCACCCTCTTCCCCCACCGCCGCTGCCACTGCCGCCGCTTCCTCCGCCCTCCTCCCCGCCATCAGCTCCCCCCAATTCCCCCCGCTTCCGCCGCGCGCACGCACAGGCACCAGCGCGAGCGACTGCGCGCCGATCCCCGCCGACGATGACGCTGCTCCTGCGGCGTCTGCGGCAGGTGTCACGGTCGTCGCGCAAGCGTCCAGCTCAGCAAGCAGATCGCGCGCTTCTTTGCTGTTGGAACGCGACAACCCGGATCCTCTCCCGTCGCTCCCGAAAATCCCGAGGCCTTTCCCGTCGCTGCTTTTCCGCCGCTCGCGGCTCGGGCTGGGCCTGCTGCGGCGCGGGCTGAACCTTCCGCGCGTGCAGGAAGGAGCCATCGCATAGTTACCGCCACTTGCGGAGGATTCGCTCCCCTCCGGCTCAAGCATATTGACGTCATATACGGCTGCTGACGCAAAGTTCTCTTTGTTCCGTCTACGAAACGGGTTTGGTACTATGCTGGACAGACGGAAACCTGACGGAGAAGATGCTTCGCCGGGAGAGGGTGACGGAGGGCGGATTATCTCCCCGCTTTCTCCGCCGCTCCTCCTGGCTCCGATAACGCTGTTTCCTCGCGCGAATAGCTCATTGGCTGACGGGGATGACGTGGCAGCGGCAATCGCGGCGGTTGCCGACCGGCCAGCAGCGAGAATTGCGCTGGACGGCGCCAACCGATCCCCGCCGCTGCCGCCGCCGACTATGCTGTTGCGGAAGCTCCGTGACGGTCGGTGCCAGCTACTCGGCGTGGGAGCCTTCGCATTAGGCGAGAGCGTCTTCTCCGCCGGACCAGGAACGGAATCCTGCCACGTCATGGATCGAGATTTCTGAATCACTGGCGGCTGCACATTGCAGAGAGCTGGAACGTGCGCACCGGGCGAGCGAAGAGTGGCTGCTGCTAGAGAATCAGAGGACTTGGTGTTGACTATGTGTCGGCGAGCGAGATTAGGGCTGGGTAGGCGGTTGGGGCTGGGAAGACGGCGAGGGCTCGGCAAACGTCGAGGCTGGTCCGCATCATGCTGCTTACGCGTCGAAGCCATGGCTTTCGTTTGCTAAGGGGTTAGCGTTAGCGTCAGGTACTCAATTGCGAAGCTATTCTTTAGACTGTTCACTAGCTAACTGTACGGGACGCTAGTTTCTTACACATGTTGAAAGCCCATAAGCCCCCTAACCCGTAAGGACGGCATCGTTCCAGGCCCCCTCATAAAAGCGACACGGGTCTATCACTTTGTTATTAGAGGGCAGGACCGCCAACTATTCTTGGTCGACTGATTGAGTTGAGTACAAACGCCTCGGCCCTAAACTTGAGTAGTCCCGCGATTCTAGTTCATTAAGCCCGATGAATCAAGCCCGCAAGTACCTTCGAGTAGTAAGCGGCAGTCTCTTCTAGACGGAAAACTGTGACAAGTACTGCAAGGTTCACCCAGAGAAGGCTAAACCACAGCAGCTAAGATTGCTGCTGGGATAGGTGGTTGTGCTTTGATGGAATGGCGTGTTGAGGGCACGAGGCGGGGGATGGACAAGCGTGGAGGAGAGTCTATGAGGTGCGTGGTACAGTAATGGGTGCTGCTAGGATGGCGTGATGGGTGAGTTGCATAACAGAGTTGTTGCAAACTGATGACGAAGATCTCTATTTCTCTCACTCGCGGTCGCGGATGGAAGGTAGAAACACTGCTGCGATCTCAGATTCTGCGTGTTGTGCGGACTGATTGGAAATGTTGTGCTGCTGACGGTAGCAGAAATTGACGGAAACTTCCCTCGCAGTGGCGGCAGGTGGTTCGTCTCGTAGCTACTCTGTTCGCCGTTCCCCTAACACAAGAGAGGAGAGGACTGGTCTGACTTGGCCTTCTTCAAGCACGCTTATCTCCTGGTTATGGGGGAATACCAACTTCCCATGGGATGTGCGGGGTAATTCAGGTATGGAGGGTATAGCAAAGAGGGGAGAGATGGGCGAGGGGGGGATGGGTCAGCAGCATGTGTGATGTGATAGGTAAGCCGCGGTTGGGCAGGATCAGGATGGCGCCGCGTGTTTCACAACGGACGAACGAGCCGCCTCATTGTCGGTGTGTCGCAAATTTCTGTGTTTGGCGCAAACGGCAAACAACTTCATGAAACGATTGGCTAATGTGTTTTCGGGGCTCCCAAGTTCGCAAGGTGCCTCGGCGCGCCCCTTGCGGTTCGTAAAATAATGCGCGGGAAAGTGCATGGATTGCTTATGCGCTTGAACCACTGGCAAAGTACGCACTGTAGCTCCACCGAGCTTGCGTGAACTGCCGCAATCTGGTTCGCGAGAATCGCGCTCGAAGTCTTGTTGACGGTCGAATTTGTAACGAGTTTGCAACAGCTTGGTGTCGCTGCACCAATAATATGAAACCCAAGTTCAGTGCTCCAAAATAGCATTATAATATGGAAACATCCACCAGGTCCTTCCGTTTTGGAAACTTCGAAATAGCATTCGGATAAAAATGAGACATGAAAGTGCAATTATTCTTCTTGTGACATATTACTCAAAATGTTGTAGCATTGTGTTAACGCAGAGACACCCTTGCAATAAGCATTAAACATTTTGGTGTAGACAATCGAATCAGCAAGGTCAGGAACTGCTGACCGTTCTGTAAGTGTCCATTCACCTGCACACAAGCATCCCATCCCTGTAAGTTCCATGTAAGTCCTCCCTCACAAATAGCTAAAGAACGGGAAATGCTGGAAATTGTTATTACCATGCAAAGGAGTCAGGGTAGAGAACCACCCCAAACCTTGGGCAGCAAGAATGGCCGCACCTTTCACCCCAACTTCCTGGAGCGAACAGTGCCGTGCACAAAATACAATCACAACGGACAAAACCACAACGTTTGAGTGAATCTAGCTTACTGCAACGAATAAGAAATGCGTAAGGTAAATCGCAGCGGAACATCACATGCCTTGCACATCACATCCAAGCCAGTTGGGTAGCCACGACCTCACAAGATATGAGATGCTTCGAACATGCTTAGAGGTTCTAAGGTGGCTGAAGAAGAACCACATGGCACCAGATAACCCCACCTGAGAATCAGCGAGGCAGTCAATCTGCCGGTTGAACACGGATGCCATAATGCGAACCCAAGTTGACGAGCTGGAGAGAGTAGGGGGGGGGAACGGGAGGGTGAGGAGGAGACGAGACGAGAGGAACGATATTTCCTTTCTTTTTACCAGAAAATCACCTAAGGATGAACACAAATGCCATGATGCGAACACTAGTTGACGAGTTAGAGAGATTGAGGGAGAGTGGGAGGGTGGGAAGCAGGGGGAGGAGGAGGGATGAGGGGAAGAGAGGAAAATTCATTCTTAAGGCTAACTCAAGAATCATTTCCGGCTGAACACGAATGCCACGATGTGAACTCATGCTGATGAGCCCGATACTAGTGTGGGGAGTTGGGGGAAAGAGGAGTTTTTTTTTTGATTTATTTTTTCTTTCTTTATTTTTTTGCATGGCTTTTTTTTTTAGCAGCGACAGTACAGCATGGACATACCGGGCGCCACCACCGACAATGCACAGAGCAGAGGGGTTGCTGTTCCAATGCCTCCACTGTGTGCGTGCATGGCATGGCAGTGATCTTGAGACGTTTCAAATGACAGAAATAAGGAGCACTAAAAGCATTGCATGGACATACCGAGCGCCACCACCGACAATGCGGAGAGCAGAGGGTTGGCTGGTGCTTCCAATGCCACCACCCTGTGCGTGCATGGCGGTGTGGGCTGAGAGCAGCGCGTATGCCACTCCCTCTTGGACCTGCCAGGATGAGGAGTGGAGGGAAGGTGGAAATGCACGAGTCATGGGTGGATAGAAGGGAGTGGGAGGGCAGGGATCAGTGGTGGCAGTGACAAGTGATCCTGACTGTGTGCATAGCAGTGTGGGCTGAGAGCAGCGCATATGCCACTCCCTCTTGGACCTGGGGGGATGAGGAGTGGAGGGAAGGGATTAGTGGGAATGCAGGACGAGGAATGGCAGTGTCAAGAAGTGCTGTGTGCGTGCATGGAAGTGTGGGCTGAGAGCAGCGCGTATGCCACTCCCTCTTGGACCTGTCAGGATGAGGAGGGAGAAACGAGGGAGTAGGTGGGGCAGGAATGAGGGATGGCATTTACAAGAGATTCTGTAGGTGGGCATGGCAGTGTGGGCTGAGAGCAGCGCGTATGCCACTCCCTCTTGGACCTGGGGGGGGATGAGCAGCGAGGGACAAAGGAAGTAGTAGGAGGGGCAGGAACGAGGGATGGTATTTACAAGAGATTCTGTAGGTGTGCATGGCGGTGTGGGCTGACAGCAGTGCGTATGCCACTCCCTCTTGGACCTACGGGGATGAGAAGTGGAGGGAAGGGAACTTAGCATAGCATGGGGCATGCCCTGCACATACCATACCATGGGGCATACTACGGACATACCGCACGTATCATGTGTGGTTGAGTGGTAGAGGCAGATATGCCTATGAATGCTGCCCGCATGTTGGGGTCCTCGAATGGACACCGCTCGCCTGAAAGTATGTCACGCCATGGCATGGCATGGCACGGCACGGCATGGCATGGCATGGTGTGGCATGGCATGGCATGGCATGGCATGGCATGGCATGGCATGGGATGGCATGGCACGGCATGGCATGGCATGGCATGGCACGGCATGGCATGGCACGGCATGGCACGGCATGGCATGGCATGGGATGGCATGGGATGGCATGGCATGTGGCATGGCATGGCATGGCATGGCATGGTATGGCATGGCATGGCATGGCATGGCATGGCACGGCAAGGCATGGAAGGTGAGTGACCGTGCAGGAACAACTGAACAGCACAGCTCATAGCACAAACGAGCTGCAATAAACAAGGTCATATTCTTGAGGCGATCAAGTGGTTTGAGTGGATGCTAAGGTTTGAGAGGATGATATGTTGTGTTTGAGTACAAGATGTTTAGGGTTGGGGTCTAGAGCTCCGGGTTTAAGGTGCGTTTGGAGACGATGATAATGTGGCTGTGAGTCACCGTTTAGGAACGGGAGGTAGAGGAGGCCACCGCTGCCAGCTGGCACGGAAGCTGCTGCCACGTCAGCATTGTGGAATGCGGATTCTGAGACGTCTGGTTGGAGGGAACGGTGAAGGTGATCAGTGGATGGGACGCAATGCGATAAGCGATACGAACCTAATTCAAAATGGTTTATGCAGTCACACACAGATGCATGTGCATGCACACACACAAGCATGCCCATACACGAAAGAATCGACACTCGCGCGTTCACACATCAGCATTACAGTAGATAAAGACTTGCCAGTGGTGCTGCTGCCACTGCTGTTGAGGAGGTTGCTAATAGCCCATTTCAGATTGCCCCCTGCAGTCATTATTGGCGCTGGTGGGGGGGTGCACAAGACAAGGGTATGGGCGATGTTGGCACATGGGCGATGTTGGCACATGGGCAATGTTGGCACATGGGCAATGTTGGCACATGGGCAATGTTGGCACATGGGCAATGTTGGCACATGGGCAATGTTGGCACATGGGCAATGTAGGGGGACGAGGCAAGGGTACAACTGATGTGCTAAAACACGTTATTTGCCTTGTTTCTAATTTACTTTATTTCAAGACTGGCACACGTGACACTCACACTCCATCCCACCCGCCTGTGGTAAAAAACAGAGAGGGTTTGGGATTCTCAGCCGCCTCTAAAGGCATCTACCTGTTCTGAAGACCAGTGAGGGGTCAGGGTGAGCGAGGGTGAACACGCCCTGAGACCATGAAGGCGGTTGACCGGAAGGGAGTTGCGTAGACGACTGGTTGTGTGGGTAGGTGGGTGGCTGTGTCGCTGGTTGGAAGGGCGGGTGCAGGGGAAAGGACCCAGCCACCCACCTGATGCGTTGAAATGCGCAGGGGGAAGGGAGAGAGTGGGGAGAGAACGTGAGAGGGGGGAGAGTCAGAGGCAGGAGGGTGAAGAAAGGAAAGAGGTGAGGTTTCGGATGGCAGGATTTGGATCTAAGCTCATTTTGAGTCGACTCAAAAGCAGATCTAAGCTCATGTTGAGTCGACTCAAAAGCAGATCTAAGCTCATGTTGAGTCGACTCAAAAGCAGATCTAAGCTCATGTTGAGTCGACTCAAAAGCAGATCTAAGCTCATGTTGAGTCGACTCAAAAGCAGATCTAAGCTCATGTTGAGTCGACTCAAAAGCAGATCTAAGCTCATTTTGAGTCGACTCAAAAGCAGATCTAAGCTCATGTTGAGTCGACTCAAAAGCAGATCTAAGCTCATGTTGAGTCGACTCAAAAGCAGATCTAAGCTCATTTTGAGTCGACTCAAAAGCAGATCTAAGCTCATGTTGAGTCGACTCAAAAGCAGATCTAAGCTCATGTTGAGTCGACTCAAAAGCAGATCTAAGCTCATGTTGAGTCGACTCAAAAGCAGATCTAAGCTCATGTTGAGTCGACTCAAAAGCAGATCTAAGCTCATGTTGAGTCGACTCAAAAGCAGATCTAAGCTCATGTTGAGTCGACTCAAAAGCAGATCTAAGCTCATGTTGAGTCGACTCAAAAGCAGATCTAAGCTCATGTTGAGTCGACTCAAAAGCAGATCTAAGCTCATGTTGAGTCGACTCAAAAGCAGATCTAAGCTCATGTTGAGTCGACTCAAAAGCAGATCTAAGCTCATGTTGAGTCGACTCAAAAGCAGATCTAAGCTCATGTTGAGTCGACTCAAAAGCAGATCTAAGCTCATGTTGAGTCGACTCAAAAGCAGATCTAAGCTCATTTTGAGTCGACTCAAAAGCAGATCTAAGCTCATGTTGAGTCGACTCAAAAGCAGATCTAAGCTCATGTTGAGTCGACTCAAAAGCAGATCTAAGCTCATGTTGAGTCGACTCAAAAGCAGATCTAAGCTCATGTTGAGTCGACTCAAAAGCAGATCTAAGCTCATGTTGAGTCGACTCAAAAGCAGATCTAAGCTCATGTTGAGTCGACTCAAAAGCAGATCTAAGCTCATTTTGAGTCGACTCAAAAGCAGATCTAAGCTCATTTTGAGTCGACTCAAAAGCAGATCTAAGCTCATTTTGAGTCGACTCAAAAGCAGATCTAAGCTCATGTTGAGTCGACTCAAAAGCAGATCTAAGCTCATGTTGAGTCGACTCAAAAGCAGATCTAAGCTCATAGTGGAGTAGCAGCAAAGCAGAAGAAACGCTTAAGCAACAGTAGGCTGAGCACTATAGATCGCTACTCTTAGTAGGCTTCCTGCATTTCGAGATTTGAGTCCTCCAGTAGGCTATCAAATTTCAAGCTCATAGTGGACTCACATGAAGACTCAACTCTGTAAACGAAGACAACCTCTTCATCTACATATATAAACTCACCCTGATGTGCCGAGATAGATGTACTCTGTACCGGGTAGGCCCGCTCCACACCTGGTGTTGCTGCTGAATGAACTTTATGAATGTGGAATCAACTCTATGAGTGAAAACTCACAACCACTTCTGCTGTAAGTGGGGACTCACCCCGAGTTACCGAGATAGATGTACTCTGAACCAGGTTGGCCCGCTGCACACAGCGTTTTGCTGCTGAGCGAATTGTATGACTGAGGATTAACAGCATCTCTTACTGTATGCGGGGACTCACCCCGAGGTGCCGAGATAGATGTACTCTGTACCGGGTAAGCCCGCTCCACACCTGTTGGACGTGGCAATGGAGGGATTGGGAAGGGGGAGGGAATGTGAGAGGGCAGAAAGGGGGGAGTTGGGAAAGAATGTGTGGTGTGGGGTTGGACTGGATAAACTTTGCAAAATCGAGACTCGAGCTGACCAAAATATGAAATTTATTCACAGGTGCACATTACCCAAAGGAACTATTTGCCAAGAGGTTTGATTCAGCCCAGAAGTTACATTTACCCAAAGCCGAAACACCCAGAGGTACTAGTTACCCAACAGCAGAGGCTCCCAGGTCTCCACACGAGTGAAACACAGGGATGCCCGCCAGGTGGCGCGCTCCTATTCGCTCCGCTGCTTCGGCAGATAAGGTGCCTGTTGAAGCCAGGTCAGCAGGGGAAGGATTTCCGCATTTGTCTCATACATGTACCGAGATTTGAAAGGCCTTAAAAGGGGATATTAAATATCTGATTCCATATCGTGTCAAAACTGGAAGTTGATGACTTGATAATCGTATCGCTCGAGGAATTGTCCAATAACGATGCCAGCACAAAAGTGGGTGGCAAACTGACCACATGTTTGGGTGGGCGGCAGGATCTCAGGCAGAAGAGGCAGCCAATGGGAGAGGCCGAGCGAGTGAAGCAGGTCAGAAGCATATGTGATGCCTGCAGGAGAGGGGAAGCGGGGAAAGAGGGAGGAGGTGGATTGGTGTAAACGAGGGAGGGGTGGTAGAGCGAAGGAGAAGAGGCAGCCAATGGGAGAGGCCAAGTGAGTGAAGCAGGTCGGCAGTGTATGAGATGTCTGCAGGAGAGAGGAAGAGGGGATACAGCAGAAAGTAGATAGCACTTTTGAGTCAACCGATAAGAAGTAGATAGCAGATGCCAACGGAAAGAAAGGTACTGTTTCAGTTACTGCTGTTACAGACTGTGCAATGATATGTGGCAGCAGATCTTTGGTTCATGTGACACGTGGCATCATACCAGTGGTGGATGGACACGTGGCATCATACCAGTGGTGGATGGACACGTGGCAAGGCCTGTGGTGGAGAGCGTGGTGCAATCCACAACTCGGGCCGGCCGACCAATCAGGTGGCTGCAGACGTAGGCATGGCTGGGACGGCAGGGAGTGGGGGGGGGGGAGTAAGGTGGAGGGGGGGGAGAGGAGAGAAAGAGAAGGGTGAGAAATGCCAAGCATCAAAGGAAATGCTTGAGGTCAAAGTACACAACGAAATTTTTCAAGAGTATTGACATGGTTTCAGAACACAGCACAGCAGGGCACAAGCAGGTTTCAGAACTATCCCTCAAACTCCGTCTCGAAAACCCTGAGATCAACAGAGCAAGTAATGCTCAATATGGCCAGAGCTCTGTCTCAGACTGAGCTTCACGCACGCGCCGAGAAGCAGTGAGGAAGCTTCCTTTAGTGCGTGTGGTCGGTGACGCTGCAGCCAAAGGAGCTTCGCCAGCACGCTGCGGGGTACAGTGGGGTGGGAGGAGGGTGGAGAGGAGTGGGGGATGGATGGAGTAAGATGAGCTGGCGGAATGGGCGAAGCGTGGATTGGCTTTTGAGTCTGGCAAAGAGCCTGCTTGCTGCAGCCACAGGAGCTTCGCCAGCACGCTGAGGGGTACGGTGGGGTGGGGGGAGGGTGGGGGGAGGGTGGGGAGGAGGGTGGGGGCAGGATGGGGAGGAGGGTCGGGTTTTGGGGTCGAGTCGAAAAGTGGTCGGTGATGCTGTAGCCAAAGGAGCTTCGCCAGCACGCTGAGGGGTACGGCGGCGGGGTGGGAGGAGGGTGGGGGGAGGGAGAGGAAGGGCTTAGGCTTGGGAAATGACCAAGGCGCATGCTTCCCAAGCCTAAGGTCACACATGCATGTATGTATGCTCCAAGACATGCCACCCTGCACCTGCTTGCATGCCTCATGCCGGCCTCTGTGCATTGGTATGTGTGCCGCCCACCTAGTGGTGTGCGTGCTGCACTATGGTGCCATGTGTGCTGCATGTGCCGCCCACCTGGTGCCATGTGTGCTGCATGTGCCGCCCACCTGGTGCCATGTGTGCTGCATGTGCCGCCCACCTGGTGGGGCCTTGTCTCATCCCGGTGGCTGCAATGATTGCTTCCTCGCCTCCTGCTAGTGATGCCATCTGCGTTCAAACGCACACGGCCACATGCACATGCACGCACGCACACACACGCACGCACACACACACACACACACACACACACGCACACACACACACACGCACACACATAAACACACCGTTGAACCTCCTCCCCTTGTCACCTCTTGCTATTCTTCCCCCCACTCCCTCATTTCACTTGTCACCTCGTTTCCTCATTCCCCATCTCCCTTATTCCCCTCATCCCCTCACCACTCTAGCCTCCTGAGTGGAACGAGCATCGCAATACAGAATGGCATGTGAAGCTAGGTTGTCCCTCTCATCTACCACCCTCCCCCCCTCCAACGTCCCACACCCCCCCGACCATTCGTCCCCTCTCACCTCTCTGGCCTCCGCAGTGGCACGCGCATCGCAGTACAGAATGGCACGTGGGGCTTGACTATCCCTGTCACCCCCTTCGGCCCCTCAACTCCCCAACCCAACCTCACCTCTCTGACCTCCGCAGTGGCACGCGCATCGCAGTACAGAATGGCACGTGGGGCTTGACTATCCCTGTCAACCCCTTCGGCCCCTCAACTCCCCAACCCAACCTCACCTCTCTGACCTCCGCAGTGGCACGCGCATCGCAGTACAGAATGGCACGTGGGGCTTGACTATCCCTGTCACCCCCTTCGGCCCCTCAACTCCCCAACCCAACCTCACCTCTCTGACCTCCGCAGTGGCACGCGCATCGCATTACACAATGGCACGTGGGGCTTGACTATCCCTGTCACCCCCTTCGCCCCCTCAACTCCCCAACCCAACCTCACCTCTCTGACCTCCGCAGTGGCACGCGCATCGCAGTACAGAATGGCACGTGGGGCTTGACTATCCCTGTCACCCCCTTCGGCCCCTCAACTCCCCAACCCAACCTCACCTCTCTGACCTCCGCAGTGGCACGCGCATCGCAGTACAGAATGGCACGTGGGGCTTGACTATCCCTGTCACCCCCTTCGGCCCCTCAACTCCCCAACCCAACCTCACCTCTCTGACCTCCGCAGTGGCACGCGCATCGCAGTACAGAATGGCACGTGGGGCTTGACTATCCCTGTCACCCCCTTCGGCCCCTCAACTCCCCAACCCAACCTCACCTCTCTGACCTCCGCAGTGGCACGCGCATCGCAGTACAGAATGGCACGTGGGGCTTGACTATCCCTGTCAACCCCTTCGGCCCCTCAACTCCCCAACCCAACCTCACCTCTCTGACCTCCGCAGTGGCACGCGCATCGCAGTACAGAATGGCACGTGGGGCTTGACTATCCCTGTCAACCCCTTCGGCCCCTCAACTCCCCAACCCAACCTCACCTCTCTGACCTCCGCAGTGGCACGCGCATCGCAGTACAGAATGGCACGTGGGGCTTGACTATCCCTGTCACCCCCTTCGGCCCCTCAACTCCCCAACCCAACCTCACCTCTCTGACCTCCGCAGTGGCACGCGCATCGCAGTACAGAATGGCACGTGGGGCTTGACTATCCCTGTCACCCCCTTCGGCCCCTCAACTCCCCAACCCAACCTCACCTCTCTGACCTCCGCAGTGGCACGCGCATCGCAGTACAGAATGGCACGTGGGGCTTGACTATCCCTGTCACCCCCTTCGGCCCCTCAACTCCCCAACCCAACCTCACCTCTCTGACCTCCGCAGTGGCACGCAAATCGCAGTACAGAATGGCACGTGGGGCTTGACTATCCCTGTCACCCCCTTCGGCCCCTCAACTCCCCAACCCAACCTCACCTCTCTGACCTCCGCAGTGGCACGCGCATCGCAGTACAGAATGGCACGTGGGGCTTGACTATCCCTGTCACCCCCTTCGGCCCCTCAACTCCCCAACCCAACCTCACCTCTCTGACCTCCGCAGTGGCACGCGCATCGCAGTACAGAATGGCACGTGGGGCTTGACTATCCCTGTCAACCCCTTCGGCCCCTCAACTCCCCAACCCAACCTCACCTCTCTGACCTCCGCAGTGGCACGCGCATCGCAGTACAGAATGGCACGTGGGGCTTGACTATCCCTGTCAACCCCTTCGGCCCCTCAACTCCCCAACCCAACCTCACCTCTCTGACCTCCGCAGTGGCACGCGCATCGCAGTACAGAATGGCACGTGGGGCTTGACTATCCCTGTCACCCCCTTCGGCCCCTCAACTCCCCAACCCAACCTCACCTCTCTGACCTCCGCAGTGGCACGCGCATCGCAGTACAGAATGGCACGTGGGGCTTGACTATCCCTGTCACCCCCTTCGGCCCCTCAACTCCCCAACCCAACCTCACCTCTCTGACCTCCGCAGTGGCACGCGCATCGCAGTACAGAATGGCACGTGGGGCTTGACTATCCCTGTCACCCCCTTCGGCCCCTCAACTCCCCAACCCAACCTCACCTCTCTGACCTCCGCAGTGGCACGCAAATCGCAGTACAGAATGGCACGTGGGGCTTGACTATCCCTGTCACCCCCTTCGGCCCCTCAACTCCCCAACCCAACCTCACCTCTCTGACCTCCGCAGTGGCACGCGCATCGCAGTACAGAATGGCACGTGGGGCTTGACTATCCCTGTCACCCCCTTCGGCCCCTCAACTCCCCAACCCAACCTCACCTCTCTGACCTCCGCAGTGGCACGCGCATCGCAGTACAGAATGGCACGTGGGGCTTGACTATCCCTGTCACCCCCTTCGGCCCCTCAACTCCCCAACCCAACCTCACCTCTCTGACCTCCGCAGTGGCACGCGCATCGCAGTACAGAATGGCACGTGGGGCTTGACTATCCCTGTCACCCCCTTCGGCCCCTCAACTCCCCAACCCAACCTCACCTCTCTGACCTCCGCAGTGGCACGCGCATCGCAGTACAGAATGGCACGTGGGGCTTGACTATCCCTGTCACCCCCTTCGGCCCCTCAACTCCCCAACCCAACCTCACCTCTCTGACCTCCGCAGTGGCACGCGCATCGCAGTACAGAATGGCACGTGGGGCTTGACTATCCCTGTCACCCCCTTCGGCCCCTCAACTCCCCAACCCAACCTCACCTCTCTGACCTCCGCAGTGGCACGCGCATCGCAGTACAGAATGGCACGTGGGGCTTGACTATCCCTGTCACCCCCTTCGGCCCCTCAACTCCCCAACCCAACCTCACCTCTCTGACCTCCGCAGTGGCACGCGCATCGCAGTACAGAATGGCACGTGGGGCTTGACTATCCCTGTCACCCCCTTCGGCCCCTCAACTCCCCAACCCAACCTCACCTCTCTGACCTCCGCAGTGGCACGCGCATCGCAGTACAGAATGGCACGTGGGGCTTGACTATCCCTGTCACCCCCTTCGGCCCCTCAACTCCCCAACCCAACCTCACCTCTCTGACCTCCGCAGTGGCACGCGCATCGCAGTACAGAATGGCACGTGGGGCTTGACTATCCCTGTCACCCCCTTCGGCCCCTCAACTCCCCAACCCAACCTCACCTCTCTGACCTCCGCAGTGGCACGCGCATCGCAGTACAGAATGGCACGTGGGGCTTGACTATCCCTGTCACCCCCTTCGGCCCCTCAACTCCCCAACCCAACCTCACCTCTCTGACCTCCGCAGTGGCACGCGCATCGCAGTACAGAATGGCACGTGGGGCTTGACTATCCCTGTCACCCCCTTCGGCCCCTCAACTCCCCAACCCAACCTCACCTCTCTGACCTCCGCAGTGGCACGCGCATCGCAGTACAGAATGGCACGTGGGGCTTGACTATCCCTGTCACCCCCTTCGGCCCCTCAACTCCCCAACCCAACCTCACCTCTCTGACCTCCGCAGTGGCACGCGCATCGCAGTACAGAATGGCACGTGGGGCTTGACTATCCCTGTCACCCCCTTCGGCCCCTCAACTCCCCAACCCAACCTCACCTCTCTGACCTCCGCAGTGGCACGCGCATCGCAGTACAGAATGGCACGTGGGGCTTGACTATCCCTGTCACCCCCTTCGGCCCCTCAACTCCCCAACCCAACCTCACCTCTCTGACCTCCGCAGTGGCACGCGCATCGCAGTACAGAATGGCACGTGGGGCTTGACTATCCCTGTCACCCCCTTCGGCCCCTCAACTCCCCAACCCAACCTCACCTCTCTGACCTCCGCAGTGGCACGCGCATCGCAGTACAGAATGGCACGTGGGGCTTGACTATCCCTGTCACCCCCTTCGGCCCCTCAACTCCCCAACCCAACCTCACCTCTCTGACCTCCGCAGTGGCACGCGCATCGCAGTACAGAATGGCACGTGGGGCTTGACTATCCCTGTCACCCCCTTCGGCCCCTCAACTCCCCAACCCAACCTCACCTCTCTGACCTCCGCAGTGGCACGCGCATCGCAGTACAGAATGGCACGTGGGGCTTGACTATCCCTGTCACCCCCTTCGGCCCCTCAACTCCCCAACCCAACCTCACCTCTCTGACCTCCGCAGTGGCACGCGCATCGCAGTACAGAATGGCACGTGGGGCTTGACTATCCCTGTCACCCCCTTCGGCCCCTCAACTCCCCAACCCAACCTCACCTCTCTGACCTCCGCAGTGGCACGCGCATCGCAGTACAGAATGGCACGTGGGGCTTGACTATCCCTGTCACCCCCTTCGGCCCCTCAACTCCCCAACCCAACCTCACCTCTCTGACCTCCGCAGTGGCACGCGCATCGCAGTACAGAATGGCACGTGGGGCTTGACTATCCCTGTCACCCCCTTCGGCCCCTCAACTCCCCAACCCAACCTCACCTCTCTGACCTCCGCAGTGGCACGCGCATCGCAGTACAGAATGGCACGTGGGGCTTGACTATCCCTGTCACCCCCTTCGGCCCCTCAACTCCCCAACCCAACCTCACCTCTCTGACCTCCGCAGTGGCACGCGCATCGCAGTACAGAATGGCACGTGGGGCTTGACTATCCCTGTCACCCCCTTCGGCCCCTCAACTCCCCAACCCAACCTCACCTCTCTGACCTCCGCAGTGGCACGCGCATCGCAGTACAGAAT